ATGGATCATTATACGTATCGAGCGAGGCGAGTCAGTGTAGTGTAACATTTCTTCTACTACCAAACCACACCAAAACCTAATTTATAAAGTTGTCTGAGCCCACGCTAGCACAGTCTTAGACTGCGAAGCATTTTAACAACTATGAGAATTACTAGAAACGAACGCTTCAAGGTATTGGCCCTTTGAGCCGAATCAAATTTCTACGTCTAAAACAACTCGAATATGTTCACAACGGTTAGCATGTAACACTAAATTGTTCCCAACGGTAAAACAATAAAAAAGGCGGTATGTGGGGCGAAAACGCCTATTTGTTCATTGGTAGGTAGTAAATATCTTACGAACTGTACCTTGCAATGTTAGAATAATCTGAAACCTTTGGTATTTCTACCCTTTCGTGTTATGGTTGCACAAATTTTGTATTTTTGAAATGATTTAGGCTCGGATTTAGGTATTGGGAAATAATTTATCTCGTTCCACTCAATTTTTCTACATACATACTTATAATAATACATCCTGTATAATCTTATTTGTTTCAGGTTTCGGAATATTGTTTTTTTTTGTTCGAAATAAGATAAGAGTCCAATTGGTGTTAGATCTAGGGTTGCGGTTGTACTATCATACACAATGTTTGTTAAAAATAATTATTGCTAGCGCTGTTCGTTATTAGTTTTACCGTTTTACCCAATTCGGTGACGTTGACCGTAGACAAACTCTTTAAGTACTACCTACAATCGGTTGATATGGGTATCTCATATTTTTACGTGTGTCACTCGATAACAAAGTGAACAAATAATACAATTTTATACGGTAGGTACACATACAAATACATACACTGTTAAATTCAATTTATTGTAGTGCAACCAAAGGTGCTTGAGGTCCATTCGGCAAAATATCTTCGATTTTATTCCATATATGTATTAATTGTCCATAATTATGTTTCTAAACGGCATGTATGTTTCGGTGCCGCTAGTTCTAAATTTGGATTTATTTTTTCGAATTTTGTAGAGATAGGTTGAAATTGTTTGAGATTTTAAGGGTTAGAGTGATTTAGGCACCACATATCATACATTAACAGGGTGTCACAATTGAAGAGTAAATTTTTACCATAAATATTTGGTGGAATTGTAAACAATGATTGGTAAGTGTGTAGGAATTAACAACCGTCCTTTCTGCGTATTTTGATTTCTATGGAGTATTGTTTTCTTAATGGGTTCCGGAACTCTTAGGCGGCGTTCATACTGAGGATAAACATGTATCGTAGGATATACACGATACGCTACTACGATGTATCGCTATCGCTTATCTTATATCGCATCAGTATGAACGGCGCCTTAAAGACAAATGGTTGATTTAATTAGCAAACGTCAAGGGCGAAAGAAATCGTTGCTTAATTACGTTAGAAGAAAGTGTCGTATTCTAAGTGGCAACACGGAAATTACATATTGTGGGAACCAGTTTAATATTGCTTTGACTGTATGTACAGTACCTACAACGTGATTACAAATATTAACTAGGTATTACATCTGATTGAGTTTGTTTTGTTGGTTTGGTCTGGTCAATAAAGGAATAGTTGACCTTGTTGCACAACTTTGGTTTTGTGACGAGGATCTCGTATTTTGCCTATTTATTAAACGTCCATCCTTCAAACACAGCACCACACCGACAATTTGTAAAAGTATTATGCCGCCTATTACCATATAGAATACGTACTGTTCCAAATCGTCGTCTTCTGTGCTTTGGTTAGCACTCGAGTGGGTTGAGTTTTCCATTTTTCTGAAAAAATAAGCACATTGTAGAACATTATTACTGTTACAGAAGAGAAAATTATAGGTAGATAATAACAATCCAACTTCACAGTTCACATTCTGACGATCAAAATATTGTAAAGGGACCCCGCTGGGCCGTTTAGATTTTTCGAATTTTAGATAGTGTAAAATTTGCATATGTGCACATTTAGAATGTGTGGGTTTTTAAGCAGAGATAGCAGTGAACCTTTCACTTTCCTGGGCACAACCGATATAACGGAAATGGGGGTAAAAAGGGGACGTTGGTCGCGATGTGTGCGGTTGTGTTTTGGCCCTGCAATTACAGCTTACGAATAGTCGCCTTGTTATCAACTTGTTCTTAATTAACTCATTACATCTGACTAGAACTTACTATTACTACTAAAGAATTACTAATTAAAAATACCGATTATTCTCGGTTAAAGACATGCATTGGCCTTTGGATATAAAAAGTGCACAAGCGCTAAATGACAATTTGTACATAATTATTAGCATATGAAATGACTAATTATTTCTCGATAGGTAGGTACCAAATTACCAACTGTAAATCTCGTGTCCATCACAGCCTGTGACAATTTTTAATCCCGAAGCGAAGTTACAGTAAAAAGTTGTAGGGTGCATCTATACCGTTTAAACCTAAAGAATGTGCATGTAAATAATTAATTTTGCGTACGCGATTCTCGATTCTGAAAAGAGATAAGCGCCCTATAATTCATCGTGTCCAGAGTATTGTTTGATTTCGGAAGTACCCAAGTATAGGTATATATTTGTGTTAGTGGATGAGTGCACGTAAATAGTTTATTGCGGTTTGCACGCTAATTATTCGAACTTTCTTATTTGGGGATATTCATACCAACATTTCGACGACGGTAAAACTAAATTCTATTGCCATTGTAAGAACGATAAACGATAAAGTTTGCTGAACCGTGGATTTAAAATTATTTAATCTGGGTCCAACTAAGAGCACTCAATTATCATCATGTATTGGGGTTTCTTTATTTTTTTTGTAAGGGAACTGCACATACCAAATAACTCTGACCTTGTCCTAGGGCAACACGAATTTCTGATCTTGACGATGTTTCCAAATAATACGGACTAGAAACGTATTATGAATTTATTTTTTGTATTCAGTTTATGAGCTTATTCCCATTTAAGTCTACCAATGTATGAGATGAGATTATTAAAATTAGTCTTTAGCATTTCTATCAAATTTTATTTTGATTAAGAAGTCACCCCAAATAATGATAAGGGGGTTAGCATTCTGGTATATGTAAACCAGCCAACGAAGAAATTTCAATATATTCACTGAACCGAGAGTGTGGCTTGGGCAGGCTATGTATATTTTTGGGGTTTATTTATACGTGCTAATTTTTGTTGTGATCCTCTTTGCATCGGTGGGTAGCTCAAAAAACAAATTCTAATACCATTTCCTTACGGAAATTTACTAATTTTGCAAATTTAAGAGTGAAGGAGTGAACAGATCAAATTTTGAGCATATGAATGTTTTCACGGAGGACTCGATTCCGCCGAGAAACATGACGGATCACTAAACATGCCGTGATCTTCCAGGTTGTTTTACCATTTTATTTATATTGAAAAATTTTAAATGAAGCGATAACTTTTGCTTTAGATTAGAGTTATTATTAATCTAGCTTACTCTGATACTCTTTTATGCGCGAGAAAAGTCCATCCGTACTTTTATAATTTTTAGACAGTTCTGAATACGAATTTGCACATACAGTATCTTCACGAAGACAGTTTATGGTAGTCTCTTCTGAACTTGGTACCAGAACATCCGGTTAATTCAGCTGCTAACCAAACTTTTATTTTCACGATATTACTACAAGTTAAATATCGCTCTCGCAATGTTTATTTTACAAGGCGTAACGCACTTGAACCACATTTGGACTGGGTCACTGGGTCACTGAATTGAACTGGGTCGCTGGGTCACGTCATACTCTCTTCAGTTAGACCCAGTTTGACCCAGACCCAGTGACCCAGTTTGACCCAGTGACCCGGTTTGACCCAGCGACCCAATTTCACCCGGGGACCCAATTTGACCCAGTAACCTAGTTTGATCGAATAACGCAGTTAAGTCAGACCTCGGTTCAAGTGTATAGATTATGAAATAAATGAAACTTGATGCTGGTTTGCTGAAAATAATACTCGATTGCTTGACAACTGCTATTTCTGTGATGTTTGCTTTAATACTGCCGTAAAAAACTTTCCATGTCCCGAATTGTATTATGGTAATGTTATTTCTGAACAGTTCCCTCCTTCATTTCTTTGCTTCAGGGCTTACCAGTTGCTTACTGGTGTTCATTCGCATTTAATTTTATTCTACCAGTTAGATTAATCCAAATAAATCTTTTCTCTAAATACTTTCATTGACTACTTGAGTACAAACTATAAACAAATGCATTTGATTTTTTAGGTATTAGTTCTCTTGAATGAAATTGGGGTACGTGCTTGTTGGCGAATATTATTGAGGAAGTTTTTTTTTAAATTAAAAGTTACTTGAAATTGTTTTGGATGCCAAAATGTAAATACCAATACAAACCTAATGCTATAAATTTGAATAAAAATTAACCTTAAGACCTAGGGGTCAACGGTTTAAACTCGGCCACCGGGTCAAACTGGGTCACCGGGTCAACTGTGTCGCCCGGTCACTGGGTCAGTAAACTAACTGGGTCACTGGGTCACTCTATGCTTGACCCAGTCCAACTCTGACTTGAACTACAACCCTTCGAATTTGGCGGACTTATGGTCGGTTTTGCGCTATTTGTATCATGATTCTTGTACTTGAAAACCAAGAAGACTCAAAACGTATTTTTTTCTAATTACTTGCTCTCTTCGACGGCTCGACGCAAATTAATTTTTTATTTTCTGTGATCTTTTACAATAAGCTAACTACCTCTACTACAGCTCGGAATAATTAATTCCCTCTCTCTTAGAACTATCTAATTTCCCAGACAGTCGCCTATAATTGCTCCAGGGGGTCTCAGGTACTGATTTTTAAGGAGTTTAGTTCGACCTCCCTATTGTTCCTTCCACTATGTATAACCTACTACCTCTAACTCGACAAATTAATAAATGAGAGAGGGCGTTTGTTTAGAACTAAGAAACTTCCGTAAATTATTATTCAAGGACTAGTCAATGTGTTTAATAATGCATTCGTGCGCAATATCTATATTTGTTTGACTGAAAATAAGTACTATCTGATGAACTTCAGTGAGAAGTGAAATTTTGTTCGATAAGGTCAAAAAGTAGGTACTTGACGCAATCTGTAATGATAAGATTGCAACGGAAGATCTCCCAAGTATTTTTCAGAACGTTAATATGTCATAACATACAATTTAATCAGCGATGCCCACTTATTGATTAGATTAGGCACGTTATAAGAAGTTAAGGGTAATTTGTTATTGGTACATATCTAAGCTCCCATATTCACAAGTTGAAGATGAAATGCCTAGTACTGCTATTGATTTTCCTTCACTTAACAAAAACGCAGTAAGTTATTGTTTCTTTGAAAATTTATATTAATTTGTATGTAACTTGCACGTGCTTTGTTTAAATGCGATTAAAAAACAAAATTTATGTAGCGATTACCTACCGATTTGTCTTATCGTAAATATGTTTTTCGCAGATTATTTGATTTTAGAAGCACTGATTCTGTCTGGACTTGGACATGCAAGAATAATACCTGCCAGAAGGATCGTGTTCAACCAGCAGGTAAACCTCTCAGTTTGGCGGCATGCAAAATATTATGCGACCCTTATGGAGGGTTATGGCCAAAACCCACAGGTCGGGTAGAGATCGGCAAACGCTTAATCCCCATTGTCAAGGGAAAGCTAGATAAAAATACGAAAAATAAATTAGTGCGAGCCGCCTATAGAAATTTTTGGAATAATTTGCAAAAACTGGGAAAACTTGGGCATTTAAAAGAGAATGTCTCAAAGTTAATTGTTTCAGTATACATCACGGATCCTAGTCAAAACCAACTTAAGTTGAGTACCGATGAAAGTTATAGTTTGAAAATATCGAAACTATCGTCTCGCGATATTAGTGCAAATATTACCGCAGCGACTTACTTTGGGGCACGGCACGGATTTGAAACGCTGGGTCAGTTGATAATTTATGACGATTTTGAGAACAGTCTCAAAATTATTAGTGATGCAAATATAACGGACGGACCTGCGTATCCATACCGGGGAGTCATGTTAGATACGGCGCGCAATTTCATTTCAGTCGAGACAATTAAGCGTACGATAGACGGACTCGCAGCCTCCAAATTGAACACTTTCCATTGGCACCTTACCGACAGTCAAAGCTTTCCGTTTGTTTCCAAGTCAAATCCAAGCTTGTCTAAACTGGGCGCATACTCTCCTAAAGACGTCTACGCCCCCAAAGACGTGGCGGATATTGTGGAATACGCCCTCGAGCGTGGTGTAAGGGTACTACCTGAATTTGACGCACCTGCACATGTCGGTGAGGGGTGGCAGGACACCGACTTCGTCGCTTGTTTTAATCACCAACCTTGGAGGGAAAAGTGTGCGGAACCACCTTGTGGGCAATTTGATCCGACGAAACCAAAACTGTATGATGCTTTAGAAGGTACCAAGCTCAATTTGTGCTTTACACGAATAAAGTTCATTCTCCTTAGGTTTATACAAGGATATAAGTCAACAATATAATCTGGACATGTTTCATATGGGAGGTGATGAAGTCTCTGTAGCTTGTTGGAATTCTACGCCTAGTATTGTTGAATGGATGGGAAAACAGGGGTGGGGTAGAAGCGAAGATGACTTCATCAAGTTATGGAGTTATTTCCAAAGTAATGCATTGGAAAGGTTCGATAGGCATTCCCACGAAAAGTTGCCCATCATAATGTGGACAAGTGCATTAACCAGTTCGAAGCACGTGGAGCAGTTTCTGCCTAAGGATAGATACATTATTCAAGTATGGACATCTAAGACCGATCCGCACGTTACTCACTTGCTGAGAAAAGGATACAGAATGATACTGAGCAACAGCGATGCCTTATATTTAGACTGTGGCTATTCCGGTTGGGTGACTGGTGGTAATAATTGGTGTAGTCCATATAAAGGATGGCAACAGATATACGATAACAGTCCAGCGCTGTACGGAAGTGCGTATACCAATGTCTCCAACTGATTTTTTTAAACACATTTTACAGAGACCAATCAATTTTTGGGTGGCGAAGCAGCTCTATGGACCGAACAAGTTGACGATACTGCGGTTGATAGTCGCATATGGCCACGAGCGGCAGCTTTAGCGGAACGTCTCTGGGCAGAACCTGCTAATTCATGGAGAGCCGCAGAAAATCGCATGTTAACCCACCGCGAAAGATTAGTTAATCGCGGTATTAAAGCAGACGCTTTAGAACCTCGCTGGTGTCGGCAACATGAAAATAATTGCCCGTTGTAATTTAATGCTAATTATATTTTAATTTTTTTATATTTATTAATTTATTAACGAGCTCCTACCGAGTTTATAATTTTGCGGTGTCTGTCCGCCCGTCCGTTAACACGATATCTCGATAACGAATGGACGGATTATTATGAAATTTTGCAGCTGGATACTCTATCAAATTTTTAGATCAGAGTTCGTGAATTAGCAGTGTAGGTCAAAAAATAAGGAAGGTCCGTTTGCTATATTTTTCACACGTTTCTTCTTACTACTGATGGTTTTGTATCAAGTGCCGCTTTAATTTTGCAATGGAACAGAATTCGCCCGCTAAAATTCGAGTTAAATATTCCCGATGCCACCCCCGGCGCGACGAAATTCAAGATTGCGCTTTGTTTCGTTTCCATGGAACACGTGTTTTTTTTCTTCTCTGCCCTACATTCAAATGGACCATAATTTACAATAAAAGTGTCAAACAACGCAAGACGAGGAAAGTTAATGATCCATAGCGACCGGACGACTCGATATTAACAATTTTCGTCTACAATTTACTTACAGGAGGAAATTTGGGCAGACGTATGTGTGCTTTAGTGAAATGCAGTCGTAATTTAGTTTGTCGAATAGTTACTGTGGCTGTTTCGATTGCAGTTACTCTGGTGACGTATTCTTTATCTTTACATTTATTGCATCCATCTAGTAATTTTATGATCGTGTTAGATTATTTGTCAAATTAACGGCATTCCCTTACAGCATGGGTATTGTCAGTTATAACTCATTCTAAATATAAATTGCCCTTTTATAATTATACTGATCATACTTTGAATTAAATGCAAGATTTCATTATGTTTTCTACGTAAATATGTTGTTTTTCAATTTACAGTATCCCTTTGTTCCTAGTGCTGGTTTTAACTGCCAACCCGCAATATGAATTTCTGGCCGATTTAGGTGTTTTTATTTATATTTAGATACAGTATGTTCTCTTAGGGATGATATTCAATACGAGTATGCAGAATTAAACGATGTAATAAATAATATAGCGATTCGTGGATAATGCTGTATTTGGAAACATCGATACTACATTCCTAGTTTTTAATTGAATTTTTTGCAGCACGTTTCCTTTCTTTTGCATGAATATGTTACTGTTTATTTACAAGGTGCTTCATCTGGAGGCGAGTGAAGTATGTTAGGTTGTTGATTGTTGCGTATTGCACTTGGCATTGAGAATTAATTAGGTACTTTATACCAATGTTTTGCCACGACATGTTCCTTTGTTTAGTTGTAAACTATTTATTTGAACCGGGTGAAAGATTAATATTGACTTGTTTCGAATATGTACTGTGCTATATTTCATTCCGATATTTAATCTATCTCGAATTGACGTAGCAGGGGCTGGCTAAAATTCAGAACTGACATACGCAGAGATATATGTTTTATGTACTGTTTTTAGCGCATTTTTTAAGAAATAAAAAAAATGTGCTATTGTGTGCGTTTTGTCCGTCCGTCAGTTCGGATTCTGCCGTTTCAAACTACTTCTAGGGGAATGGTCCTAGAGTCCTGGAATTTTTGCAGTAGGTAGCCTATACTTTGAAGGTGTGCCAGACGGCCATCAAATTTCGCTGTCTAAAAGCCCCCCCCTCCACGAATTATTTCCTGAGATGCTGTTTTTGAAAGTAAAACGTGCAAAACTTTTACATACGACAACCAATTGGTCTCAGATTATGCATACGCATGCCTTTAGTGGTGCCAAGTTAAACTTTAGAAAATTGGGGGGAGGGTAAACACATGTTCTACCCTCCATAGTATTCTAATGAAAGGTCTCATCGAAATAAATTGGTTTGTACAAACTATAACTTTCCCGTGCGACTCTTTTTCGAGATCAGTGAGCGACGGGGCCTGAGGGGGGGGGGGGGTTAAACATTAATTGTATCTCTCATTGTATTCCAATTAAAGGTTTACAAGAAAGAAACCGTTTTCTACCAACTACTGCCCTTCTTTCTGTCCTCTTATCAAAGTACGGAGGGAGGGGACAACTTCTTCCCGGTTTTCTGGTAAAAGGTCGATTGCCACTTGCTAACACAGGCGAGTAAAGCTTCGAGAAATCGAACTCGACCATAACTTGTCAACGGTGATAAAGATATCGACACAAGTACTCAGGGTTGTGGGAAGGCCCAGGCACTGACCATCCCTGCCCACTTAAAAGGGTTTGGATTCTGGGGGGTCGTAAAAGTAACTTGATAGTAGGGCAAAGAAAATAATTTGTGCGTATTATTTTCCTAGGCAAATTTTTCATGATCCTGCTGGACCGTCGGCGGCCGAATCCCATGCCCACGTGAGGCATCCGGCGGGGCTGATTGAGTAACGGCCAAGTACGATCACGTGGAGATTCTGTTTCGGTTAGAACCAGGATCTCGTACAGAAACTTTCCAGTACCTGTGCCATACTATCCGTAATGCGCACAACGTCTTTATCTTAACACAAGTGGAGCCATATAAGGTAACCAGCCGCAATAAAGCCAGCATTTTTCGTCAAAAGGCGAAGATCCTTTGAATATACTTTCAAGTTGTACTTCGTCCATTTACTTGATGTAAGTTAAACTCTTTATTATTATTATTATCGCCTCCCACCCCCCCCCCTCGTGCTCTGGTAATTCACCCATCCCAAAAGTGTGAACTAGGTGTTTGTTTCTTTTTTCCCATTGTTTGATATAAAAAATATCTTCCTTTGATGCTCTGGAATACCGCAGTATTTATAACAGATAAACAAAACAAGTTGTAAATCAGCATATGCATGATTAAAGCGCATTTTTGGTAATGCAGGTCAGTATTTTATTAGCGAAGTTTAAAATTATCGATCTCACGAGTAATTTTGGCTGCGTTAAATAATTAATTTTATTTAATTTCAATTGAGGGTACGTCTTCATTTTGTAAAACAAATCACAAAGTTAATAATAAGTTTTTATACTGGTAGCGCTATCTAACGGTAAAATTATAGCATCTCCGAAACCCATATCGAAATTATTTTCTTCAATTATCGATCTCACAAGTAATCTAACTCAAAATAGACGAGTGCCTCCACATCTACACAGAAAGCTTTTAGTGAGAATTTGAATTCTCTAGCTATTGTAGTTGTGGAGATCTCACGCGGACAACCGGCCTGCCAGCCATAACGAATATAATAGCGTATTTTTTTCAAAAATGCGCTAAAAAATATGGGAAATTCACCTTGTAATTATTATCGATAATAGAGGTAATTGGATCAAAAAATTAACAACTGTAATTATTATCTATCTGTTTCATTGAGTTTCTCTTGCTCACATCTTTTCTTAAGAGTGAAATGTGACATTCTTGTTGAATTGGGTAGTTCGTCAAAAAATTTTCTGTGTGTAGGTCTTTTCGACAATCAACCAGACGATGTTAAAAAAAGTCTATAGTACGATCAATAGATTATAGTTAGTTAATCTGTATAGGTAGATACGGGTGTGCACTTTCTATTTCTTCAATAATTTATTATTACCGTTATCGCTTTGGTATAGTGAAATTGTAGAGTAAGTGCATTCCGATATTGCTTAGGTAATCAACATATGGACTACCTAAATATCAGAAAATTATTGTGTAATGCATTTTTAACAACTCGCATTTATATGTTATCGACCTTTTAGATGACAATTGAGTGGACAATGCCCCTTAACTACGTCGCTGATTGTCGAAAAAATACGTTTAGGTACTAAAGTACCCATATTGCTGTAAGTAGGTGAAAGATTCTAATTATTGTTACACGCGCTTTTTTATAACTTTTATCGCACATTATATGTACCTAGGTGGGGGCCGCCAGATCATTTGGAAAATTTATATGCACATAAGGACAGAGATAGGTACCAGTTTATAAAAAGATACGGCTTGACCGGTGGGTATGTTAATGAGAGATGACCAGAATATTTTTAGACGTTTGTAGGTACGTAGGTTTCACTTTAGACTAAAATTAACAACGGATGCAACCATATTACAAGTACATTCTGCAGATACCTACCTACTTATCTTTTTACAGTGTAAGTAATCGCATGTTATACCACCTGCCCATAAAATTTATTTCTACAGATTTATGATGAACTGTCTACCGTTCCTTTTAGTAATCCTTCATTTAACAAAGACACAGTGAGTGTACCTACTTGAATTATCTTTTGATTGTTGCTAGTTTTAAAAATTGGGTTTACCAAAATCTCCTTTTAGAAACACTAACCCTGCGTGGACATGGACCTGCAAAAATAACAACTGTGAAAAGACTCGTGCCCAACCAGCCAGCAAACCTATTAGCTTGGCGGCTTGTAAAATATCATGCGATCCGTATGGAACACTGTGGCCGAAGCCCACGGGAAGGGTTGAACTTGGAGGGCAACTAGTGCCGATTAATCCGAACGACATCGAGGTAATCGAAAATGGGAACGAAAATCAATTGGTTCGAGCGGGATATAGACATTTTCAAATGAACTTGCAAAAACTGGTGGAGCCCGAAAACGAAAACGGGGAGAGCGCGCATTTAATTGTGACGCTTTTCATCAAACGTCCTCATGAAACGCAACTTAAATTAACTACCGATGAAAGTTACAGTTTGAAGATCTCAGAATTGCCCTCTGGCGAAATTAGTGCAAACATCACTGCACCGACATACTTCGGGGGGCGGCATGGATTGGAAACGCTCGGACAACTGATCATTTTTGACGACATCGAAAACAGTTTGCGAATCCCCAGCGATGTCTATATCACTGATAAACCCGTATATCCGTATCGAGGAATACTGTTAGATACGAGCCGAAATTATATCTCCGTCGACACCATTAAGCGCACAATTGACGGAATGTCCGCCTCCAAGCTGAACACATTCCATTGGCACATCACCGACAGCCATAGTTTTCCTTATGTTTCACAATCAAACCCGAATTTATCAAAATTAGGCGCCTACTCGCCGAAACACGTCTACACTCCAGAAGACGTGGAAGAAGTCATGGAATACGCTCACGAGCGAGGTGTAAGAGTTTTGCCCGAATTTGACGCACCTGCACATGTAGGTGAAGGATGGCAGGATACAGATTTCGTCACCTGTTTTAATTACCAACCGTGGAATAAGTATTGTGTAGAACCTCCATGCGGACAGTTTGATCCGACGAAACCTAAACTGTACGATGCCTTGGAAGGTAAAGTAGTCAAATTTTCAATGGAACAAATGCGCGACCAATTTTTAGGTATCTACAAGGATATGATTCGGCAGTTTAATCCAGATATCTTTCACATGGGAGGAGACGAAGTTTCCATAGCCTGTTGGAATTCGACACCTAGCATCGTACAATGGATGGAAAAGCAAGGATGGGGTAGAGAAGAGGAAGATTTTATGAAATTGTGGAATTATTTTCAAACCAACGCGTTGGAAAGATTCGACATGCAATCCAAAGAAAAAATGCCCATTATAATGTGGACGAGCGGATTGACCAAAGCGAAGTTTGTGGAACAATATTTGCCTAAGGATCGTTATATTATTCAAATTTGGACGGCGGGAAACGATCCGGAAGTCTCTCAGTTATTGGACAAAGGATATAGACTAATATTGAGCAACTACGACGCCCTGTATTTAGACTGTGGTTATGCCAGTTGGGTAGGCGACGGTGACAATTGGTGTTCTCCGTACAAGGGATGGCAACAGATATACAATAATAGTCCAGCTTCTTACGGAAGTACATACACTTTGAGAGTATCAGTGTTTTCATAGCCACTTTTTAGATACGAACCAATTCCTAGGCGCCGAGGCAGCTTTGTGGACTGAACAAGCTGACGATACCTCCGTTGACAATCGTTTATGGCCAAGGGCGGCAGCTTTAGCAGAACGCCTTTGGGCAGAACCTGCTAGTTCATGGAGAGCGGCGGAAAATCGCATGTTAATCCAACGCGAAAGGCTAGTGAACCGCGGGATAGCGGCAGATGCTTTGCAACCTCGCTGGTGTAGTCAAAATGAAAATAATTGCCCATCATAAAACATTTTGCTTTAATTATAGCCTCTCTCAACCGCGTAATAATCGTTGTTCTCATTCCCTTTTGTTGCAGTCATCGTGATTACATTGGTTTTACACTACAAGCTGCTTGGAGTATAATGTGCATGTTCTAGCTACCTAATTATACGTTACTTATATTTGACTACGATTTTTAAACCAACTACATGCCAATAGTCAAACGTTTTGGTCATTTGTCATAATGTTCTTTTTAGCGCATTTTCCAACGAAGTTGGGTGCGCTATTGCAGCCACTTTCTCTGTCTGTCCGTCTGTCCGAGGCCTTAACTACTCCCACAGTTTTCATGATATTTAGTACGTTCTTTTTACATTCGGTAGCGTATCGCTTTGGCACCTGAGTCAAGGAAAATCTTGACGATTGAACTGCGCATGCGCAGACTGCGCAATGTTAACTTTTTTATTTATTAATCTATTTTGTTGAAATTTTAATCACAGCTACTTGTAGTAAAGGAAAATATATCGCATATAGTAAAAATCAGATGTGCGCATGCGCAGACTGCGCAAAGCCAACTTTCTTGTTTATGGAGATATTTCTTTGAAATTTTAACCAAAGATGCTTATAGTAAAAGCAAACGTATTGCATATTGTAAATATCAGATTAATAATCGCATGCGCGGGACGCGCAATATCAACTGCGCAGTAAGTGTCAACTTCCTTAATTATGAAGATATTTCTTTAAAATTTTAACCATATATGCCTCTAGTAATGAAAAACATAGCGTACATAGGTATGGCCTTTGGGGAGGTACCTATTGATCAATTTATGGAAAATGCGCTGAAGTTACTCGCCTTAGGGCGAAAACCTTTTTACTTGTTTTCCTTCCAACCTACTTTCTGTATATTCTATATGGTCATTCGGATTAGATCTCAAACCCTATGATGGACTGTTGAATGGAATTTACGCCAAAAATTAAATAACAGTGATTATACTACATATTTAGTCGGGGGTTACGATTATTGGTTGGTGTTAATATGAAACTTTCTTACGGTAATTGCGACGTTCGTAAAGCAATTTACAGACTACTTTTTGTATTTTTTTATGTGCGTATAGAAGTCGGAAAAAATAACATCCGTACATTAGTTCCGTACGTATGGCGTAAAAACATTGTGTGTATATATGGGGAAATGGCGAATATTTTACCATTCCAATAATTCTAGATTTCCCACGACATATTCTCCCATTATTTCGTTATCGAGATATTCGCACTTACTCCCACCAGCAGATGCCTACGTTCCAGTCATCGTTTGTATATAGACACTCTCTTCCATTGTTGAGAAAGAGATGAGATGGGAGTTGATAGAATACAATTTTTTTGGATGGAATGGAAACATTTTTTTCCCCCCCCCCCCCCCCTATGTCCACTTTTACATGATAAAAAGGCTCCTGAAAGACGCCTAATTTTATGCAACCAAAATAACTTCTTGAAACAAATAAAGATCTGGCTGCCATATTAATTATTAATTTGAATATTGTTGCTTTAGCTTCACAGAAAATAAATCTCTTAAGCTCCTTTAACTGTTATCGGCACTATACCAATTGGAAATTGGAAAAAGACTTTTTATCATGTAAAAGTAGACATAAGAAATTCCTATAGGAAATCCCTATGTCTACTTCTACATGAATATCACTGTATGTGTTTTTGCCCAAAAGTCGGTATATTATTTAACGTAAGGAAGCAAAAAGGGAATTAGAAAAATAAAGTAATAATCGCGGTTAGAAATGCAATCTTATTTCAGATGTAAATATAGGATCATAAATACTGCATTACGTGTGTATATTCGGAATTAGATAAATGCGTGAATCGAATCATTGTAATAAAATGAAAGCGAGATCGAACTGACGTAACTTTATAAACGACTCGTCAATGTGCAGTAAACGTAAATTAATTACAGTAGGTACCGAGTGGAGGGGTATAAATCTAAGTGAAAAGTCGTGTGAGAAGTTAAGTTAGTCCATAGAATTGTTCTGGGGTTAGTCCACGAGCAATCTCAGACGCCGAACCTGCGCTAGTTGTCTCGTCGAACCGTGCATTTTTTAAACTAGTCTTCTTTGAGGCGTCTGAGGGGCGGAACCAGATCATTACTGACCGAAGCAGCGATCCAAGAGCGTATAGAGAACTCCTAGTGCATAAACAATCAAGGTATTTATAAACATTATCAAAATATAAGTGATTTTCGTTTAGTACCTGACGGTGATTCATTTGCCATTGAGTTAATAATAATAATGACTTTATTTGGACACACTATGACAAATATATAAACAATACCAATATTATACATTCAACTTGACGTCCAAAAGGCGAAATTCACTAAGAGGCATGCAGCCCTCTGTGCTCTTCCACTTAACCCGTTTTAGTTAGTCTCATACATGATTATAAATAATGTTTAAATATTTCCTATCAATGCGAAGTATATTTTTGAAAATGAATGTGGTTTAACCGTTTAGTTTACAGGATTATTCCCCCTAATCCCATTGTAGGTACTTATATATGTGTTCCCTTACAGCAAAGGCGATACTTTAAGAAAATAAGAACCGATCTTAACTTTAATAAAGATTATTGGGCTATTATTTATCACTTTTGGCTCTTATCCTTATGGCCAAAATGCCGTTATTAACCGACGAACAGCCGAGATGTATATTTTGACAGGTGAACCTGACAGTTCAGCTGCGACAGGAGAACTTGACAGGTGAACCTGTGGGTGTGTACGTATAGGTAAACCTTTACATACCGTGCGTGAGAATTAACAATATGAATATAAAATGCAGCAATTTCATATACAAGAGACATTCTATGCCAATTTTACATTAGGTATACTTTTTCTACGTCTCCATAATGATTTGTCTGACTAAACCAAATAAATGGAAAAAGAAACGGTTTTATTAATTAAGAAAATTGAATGTACAATCATTAAATATCACAATTGGTCAGTTCTTTTTAAAAGAAACACTTTTATTGCTTTCAAAAGTTTGAATTTTTGAAGTAGACGCACAACTTGCCGATTATACTCGATTGAATTCATGATTTTATTTGCAACATGGTTTTTAGGGGAATTTTTCGAAAGAAAAAAATTATCCCCTTAGGTGATGGTTTTGTCCGTCTATCGGTCCGTCTGTTCCTACCCATCTATAGTCCGAGAACGAAAAGAGAAATCAAATTTTCGTTAAATCAGTTACTTGCATTCTGAACATTTCATCCGGCGGCAAGCACCGATATAATTCCCATAATTAACACAACCTACAGGATTTATTTGTGAATATTTAGGCTAAAATGTGTAATTTAGGTGCATTTGCCAGTAATTATTCTTTATTAGGAGCTTCTTTTGAATTTGTTAGTCTTCTGCAGCAAAAATGGTTGATTTCTCGCGACTGGTGCCCAAAATACCTACCGCTGCGATTTTGTCACACGCTTTAAAATTTTTTAAAGCTCGAATCGCCTCAAAAATGGAGTAGTATTTTGTGGAGGGAGCGGAGTCCACCAAAATAGCGCATTTATATGGGGCTTCGGACCGACAAAGGCATTATGGTAGCCTCTGACTGATGCTGAGGTCAACTTTAAACATGGATTGTGGGTAAATGGGACGTCTGAAGTGGGTACCGACAATGAGTATGTGGTAAACCGTCGACGAGGTCTTATTGATAGTGGAGTCAAAACTGGCTGACATACCACACAAAAATGCTCTGAAGTCCCTTTGATCTCACACGAGGACTTTTGAAAGTTTGTTCATATATGGCGGATTGCCTATGGAGGTAAGTAACCTGTTAAATCATACAAGTTATCCGTTTGTCTGTATTCCTTAGAAAATCAACAAACACTAAATTTGATTAATTTGAAAACTATTGTTATTTACAAGTAGGTACGTACCCCTTTCTGGGGTTCAATCGTACACGTGCCATCGGCATCAATGCCATTTAAAGCAAGAAATATCAAACTCCGTGAGTGTAAGAAAAGTTGCCTATTTTTAGGTGAATATATATAATTAACTACCATCCAAATAGCACTTACAAATCCAGTGATATTCAAAGCAAGAACTCAAGAAGTAACTTATAAATAATTACCCTGCAGTCCGGTGGATGAGTATCCCTAACCATGTACCATGCATTGATCCATTCCAGTGAATAAAATACGTAGATAAAAAGCATACAATTCCAATCACAGAAAATCCCTTGCACTGTTAATTAAAAGAGCTAAACTATTCAACCATTGTGCAGTTGCAGACATACAAATTGCCAATTATTTTGAAATTTAAGTATTTTACTTACAGCGTGTCTGGCAAAGTGTTACTCGAGCACAAACAACCTTTCACAATAGGATGTGGTCGATCGCTCTTGATAAATAAAATCCAGATAAATCGAAATATTGTTTATTTTAAACTTAAATTAGGGCATTACGTTCAAAGATTTAAAACTATTTGCAACTGATTTTGAAAGGTCACAATTGGCCTTGTATATACAGTATTACAATGTGACTAAATGGTAAATTAACGAAAGCAACAACACCGACAATAAATACTCAAAGTCATCACATTGTGAGTTCCATGATGGCGTTAACTATATCGTTTTGATTATTTTTCAAAGCTTTAATGGCTTTGCTACGACTAACATTCGCCTGCGTCATAACAAGTTCGACATCTTTGTCTTCAACCCCCGTCTCGTCCACTTCTTCGTCTTCAGACTCTTCCGCGATCGGTGCTACCGATGTGGTAGGATTGCCGGACGCTCCGTCACCTGCCGGATTTACTTCCTTGAACTTTTCGGCTGCCGCAACCTGCGCTTGCTGAGACAGATCTTCTATTTTCGCCTCCCCAAACACTATATAAGTATCGCTAACTGGGTTTTTATAAACATCGGGTTTGTTTATAACGAACAGGATATTCTTAGATTTGCGAATGGTGACCCGGTTTACGCCTTGTACCTGCAAAAAAGAGTCACTTACAACAAGCACTTACGAGATCGAAAATACTCAAAAGTTGGTATAAACAAATCAGACAGCCAAGACTATCAGCACAAATTTCAGTAAATAGATTGCGAAACCTTAGCCATTTTATCATCATATTTAATTTACTTACGATCTACTACCACTAATAAGATTGAAGTGTTTACCTGTTTAAGGCCAAGTTTAGACATAATCTTCCTCGCCTTCTTTTCTCCCCTCGATTGCTTTGCCTTTGACACCATGTCAATTGGAAGACCGGCGGCGGCGGCAGCTCCCGGAAAGGCCCCCGTACCCGCCGCACCTCCGGCACCTGCATCCTCCAACTCCGGAATTTCATCATCGGTATCGCTGTCAGTTGAGGAATGACTGTGATCGGATTTTGCTTCTGCAACTGTTGCTTTCTCTATTTCGGTTAATTCGGGCATCGTAGCTACAAACAATTTGAAATTGAAAGTAATTTACACAATGCAAAACTAGTGGTAAAAAATTTTCGCACCGGCAAAATATTAAAGAGTTACTTTCGCTTTCATGCAAAATTTATCTGAAATTAAGTACGGATGACACGAATAAATAAGAATAATTACCTTAATGTTAAATAAATGGAGGTTGTAAATGCAAAAAGAGGATTGCCGGTAAAGAAAATTTACAGATTTCTGCAATACCAATAAAAATAACTCTTGGCGAGTGCACCAACCTAAAGATAAAAAACTCAAAATAAAGATACCATTACTAAAGACGTGTTTACCAAATGCCGTACACATCGTTTAGCTAAAAAGTTCGCATGGGCGAAACAGCTTGAATAAAAATTATAGAAATTAATTCTAAAAAATAGTCAAAACTCAAACATTGTCCAATTAAGTTTCTTAATTCTTTCAGTGAGTTAAACTGACTGTTGTATCTGGAACAAATTCGATGGACGCAGTGGGTCTAGCTCCGCTCTATAGCCGCCTATTATTATCAATCCAGTAGACCACAGCTCTGTCCGTTGTACTTACTATAATTCAATAAAACCCCAAAATAATCAAAATTCATTCAAATGAATCGGAATAACCTCTAATGAGTGAGAAATCCCAAGAGTTCGGAGACTCCGAAGAATCGAAAGAATGTAAGGAATCTTACAAATTTGATAGGTTTGAGACCAATTAGAAAAAATTGATTTCAGAAAATCCGAATTATCGAGAGGATCTGAAAAATTCAAAGAACGAAATAATACTAAGAACGAAAGAGTGGGAAAAAAACCAAAGAATCAATCGAGAAAGGACTTATCTGCCTGAAGAACCGGATCAATATCACATTTTAGGAACAGACTTGTGGTCGAAATCGCAATCTTTGATTCCAATGCCGCCCTAAACAAACAAGAATAGAAAATGATGTGCCGCTTCTTAGCTATAGAAGTAGGAAGATATTTATTTGTGATGCGAACTTCATGCCGAATATCTAACCTATAAGTTCTGTTTTTGTTCCACGTATTTGAAAATAAATTAAGGCAAACCGAGTCATTTGCAATGGACAGTTCTCTTTTGGTAAATGAAACGATATCATACAATTAACATACATATTCTTTCCCCACAGCAACCCACCCTGTACACAGTTAAAGGAATTGTAATAATGGATAACGATGGCAACAGAATATTGGCCAAGTATTACGATCGCAACGTATTTCCCACGTCCAAAGAGCAGCGCGCCTTCGAAAAGAACTTATTTAATAAAACACATCGAGCTAATGCCGAAATAATCATGCTAGACGGTCTTACCTGCGTTTATCGTAGTAACGTGGACTTGTTCTTTTATGTAATGGGTAGTTCGCACGAGAACGAGGTACTTGTATTTCTCTATATTCTGTATTTCCCTAATACTGACACTTGCAGCTCATACTGATGAGTGTATTGAATTGTTTATACGATTCTATCAGTCAAATACTTCGGAAGAATGTTGAGAAACGATCCGTATTAGAGTCGTTAGATATTGTGATGTTGGCAATGGATGAAATTTGTGATGGAGGGTAAGTACAGAGTTAAGGTGCTTGTAGAAAGGTGAAAGCTGGGTTCGTTTCTGCTGATTTAAAAACAGAAATGAACACTATTACGAAGTTCAGTGGTGTTCTGAATGAAACAAAACTCACTGTAGAGCATATTCAAATATACAACAAACAACATAAAACAGATAAGTAAGACGGTGACTATGTTCTGAGCCAACCTTCTCTCTCAGGTGGTTTTGGTTAGTTAAATTGATTGTCAGCAGAAACAAACAGGAATAAGTAAGCCTTGCTTTCTTTTGTTTCTGTAAATAAAATGTTTAAAAGCAAGGGGGGAAATTTTCTTGCCATTTTAATTAACTCCTGACTTTTATAGAATTATTATTGATGCGGATTCAAGTTCGGTTGTCTCACGAGTGGCATTACGAACAGATGACATTCCATTAGGTGAACAAACTGTAGCTCAGGTAACAAATGCTTTACATTCATTATTTTGGTGACTGTAATTAAATTAGGTAAATATGATTTTGTTTATTTCAAACTGCATACCTTCCATTCAGTTTCAAACGCTTATCGATGAATGTTTGCCTGATTGCTTTATGAAGTCTACATTTGTATTTGTTTCAGGTGCTGCAATCAGCAAAGGATCAATTGAAATGGTCCCTGTTAAAGTAAAAGCTTGTAAAAGAAATTTATTTTTATTTTATGTGTGTACAATGTAAGAAATAATAAGTCTAAATCAGACCGCTGTTTCCTAAATTTATTGCTATAATAATATCTTTAATATCGTTAAAAACTAATTTCACGTTGCTGGTATCGGTTGCGACAGTGAAATGTACAAACAGTAATTCCGATTTCACATTTTGCTTTATTTCAACATCTGGAAAAAAATCCACCATTTCGGGTTTTGGTGGCCTGCTCGCAATTTTCTATAGAAAAAACCAATTAATGTATTGGTCACATATCCAAATTTACTTACCAGCACTTGATCGCGAATAAAAAATTTAGCACGATGATATTGATTAGGTTCGGCCTTTTCGTAATTTGCAAATTCGGGGAAATAGTTTTCTAACTGTTTTCCACTTTCAACTTTAGCTTTTAAAATATCCTGCTTGTTTAAGAATACAATTTTACCAGCATTTCGCACGAATCTAAAACTTTCTTCTAAATAAAGTGTCCTTCACTGGGCCACAACTACCTGCTCCAAAATATGTCTTTGAACACCTTAAATCCTTCGTTTAATCGATTTGTTACGCCGTCCTCTCTTAGTGTTTGATCGAAATCACTTGCAGCTATTAAGAACAAAATTGCGCCTATGCCTTCAAACACCTGCAATGAGGTTGAAAACGTTGATGTGGATGGAAGAAGCTTACCGATATCCACTTTTTTCTTTCTCCGCGTTGTCCGCCAACGTCATACATACAAAAGTCCACATTTTGTCCTTTGTAAGGGATGGTGAATTCGATTTTTGATATTGCTACCGTCCTTGTGCGGCAGTACAACATATCTTGTACAGTAGGCACATAATTTGGATCTCTTATGCTATCTATTCGATCTAAAAAGCTTGCTGGAAATATATTAGGATATCAAAACGATCTACTATACTAACTGTGCAGCACTGTCAATGAGTTGAAACTCATTCGAGCGTTGAAACGTGTTCTTTACACCCGAGTCCGCCCACAAAGCGGTTACGGTATTGTAATACTCCTAAAAAATTCATTTATCAAGCGATGCTTTTCACTTATACCAGTTGTTACATCAGTAAATTCCCGTGGCGTTGCCTCACCTATTTGAAGTATGTATTCTCCTAACGCGCAGTTTTTAGCTTCTAAACTGGTCCGTGGATCAATTTTGCTCATATTATAAATAAGAGCGTAAATTGACTCGTGTATGTTTTGCTTGATATTGGCCACCTTGTCCCGTTTCTCCCTAAGTAACTTTGTCTCAAGAAGATCCAATTAATATATCACTTACTGTTCAGAAAATCCGTTAATGTGAATAATTTTCATCTGCTTAATAATTGTCGTTTTACCGGCTTCTCCCGTTCCCAAAAGCAGTATTCGTTGTATCCTGTCTAATTTTTTCTTCTCGCTCTTGAGCGCGTTATCGATAACGTTAGATCTTTTTGTTTCTTCGTTAATTTTCTTCTTCCTGCATAACATTTTTATTCACAAATTCGGTAACCGGTTAGAAATCAAGTAAAGATGTAAGTTCAAGCTCGATATCTAATCTTAAAAGTAGATAAAGGTATTAAACAGTTGTAATACTCCAATGTAGGGAAAGGTGCTTATCATTGCCTCTGATTGTCGCCTTTTCATTCTTTTTTAGGGCTTGTCTAGCAGTTTGTAGCCAATAATTTTAAAAATTTACAAAACGCGCTCCTCAAATAAAAAAGGGGGTTTTGCGCATGCGTGCACTTGACGTTCACCACACTTCAATGTTACTTTTTAAAAATGTTTTGTAAACGAGGAGTTCTTCTTATTGAAAGAAAAATTTGTCTTATCTTTTGAATGCGTTTACATTTTGTTCACAAACGCGCAATTAAAATGTTTTGTAATAAAATATAATAAAGAACAAAATATGTGTATAAAGTGTAACTATCAGATTTCCGAATATGCTTTAAACACTTCTAAACAAACATTAACTTACTGTATTGATTCAAAAGAACACTATAATTTTGGTACTATTCTTAGCCTTAGCTTGTTCAAAATTGTGACAGTCAAGCCCCAATTAACACATTCACAATGGGCATACGTTAATATATGAATATTAATGGTATAAACGTGCCACTTCGTTTTTATTTTTGTTTAGTAATTTGTACAGATACAAACAAATAAAAAACACTTTCTCATTGACACTTTTTGAGCTTTACAAGATAGCGTTGAGCGATTTGTAATACAATGTTTCATTTTGGAGAATTCATCATCACCTTTCAACAGGATGGTGCACCCGCGCACACCGCCCCTATTCGTGCGAGACAGCACAAATTTTCTATTTTCCAAGAAATTTGTACGAGGATTCTTACGCGATTTCCAAAATGCACAACTTTTTTTAAAGTCATACCTATTCATTCGACATGATTGTTTAACACATTTTATTTCCCATAATAAGGCAGCATTCAGTTGTTTAGATTTCAGAAAACAAATGAGTTATGAAAAACAATAAATTGAATTTTTTTAAATGGCAATATTTACACCTTTTCATTGGGCTCATTTGATAGAGATTTTTTCTCTTTTCGTACCCTAATTCAAAAACACAGACAGACAGACAGAAATAATGAGCGCAAAAGTGCACTTTTTATTTATTTAAAGTCAAAGTACACTAAAAATCTATCAAATGAGCCATAATGAAAGTGTGATTTGCTATTTAAAAAAATTGTATTGTTTTTCGTTATCCATTTGTTGTTTTCAAATGTTGTATGCAGTCGATTTTTACCGAAATATATACTGTATTCGATACATAATGGGCACCCTGTAGGTATATACCTAGAATCAAATTTGAATTGAAATTGATAATGAAGGGAGCTGAGAGGTATAAGGTTCTGTTTTATAAGTCAAGTCGACATAACTGACCAGCGCAAAGGAAGTAATATGACGACGGCGCGTGTTATGCTTTTTCCCACCACCGTTATATTCTGTCTTATTTTTTACTTGTAGCCTGAAGTACGGTTGGGAACGAAAGTAAAAAAAAACACTGAAACTGTTCAAATTTGGAAATTTAATCGAAATAAATTACATTGCAAGAATAAACTTTGAAAATGGTAGGTAGTTGACTGAGTAAAAATAACAAGTTAAAAAGTAATTGTAACCGATTTACAAAAAGCCCATTTCCACTTGTATTCATTTCCCATTTATAAGATGCTACTTATGTTAAAATCGTAAAAATCCGACCACAAATATGAAAGATAGCGTTGCAAATGTGCAATCCATTTTTGACGTGCTACTTCAATTTCAGTTTATAATAATAATAATGTATTTCTGTCAGTAGATCACAAACAATGATATAGACAACGTCAAGGGTTTACAAACAAGATAAACACAAACAAATAAGGTACCTATAATAATAGTTGCATGGACTATGCCGATCTCATGTACATTTCGTTGAGCTATAATAAGCTCTCCCCGTTAGATATTGTTTTAATCTTTTTTTAAATAAAGATGGCGTCTTGGCCATGTGAATGTTGGGAGGCAATTCATTGAAGATTCTGATACCATTGTAAAGTATGGGCTATGTTTGAATTTGCTAGATCTATGTTTATAAGAAGAATTTCATTTCAATGCTTTTCTAAATAAGAAAGATGGAACTGCGCATACGCAAACATAAATTTTGCAACTAATGTTAGATTTTCCTTTGTTCCAAGCGCCTATGTATCAAATTTCATTTAAATGCTTCCATAGATAAAAAAGTTAGCACTGCGCATGCGCAAAACCAAATTTTGAAACTGGCGTTAGATTTTCATTTATTCCAAGTGCCTATGTATCAAATTTCATTCAAATACTTTTATAAATAAAAAAGTTAGCAATTCGGTTTATAAATGGTCGAGATGCGAAAAGGGCACTTTGTGATTTTGAATGAATCGATTTGACTCAACTTTTGGCATTGCGTATTATATGGCTGAAGCTATGCCCATATTGAATTTCATACAATTCAGTTCATAACTTAACGGAGATCTAAAAGCGATCGGACATTTCTAAACAAAGTTATCGTTCACACGGACAAATAAAGGGACAGACAGACAAAGGAACAGACGGACAGCAATATAAAATTATAAACGATCTCTAGGATCGTTAATAAACGGCAAAAGTGTAAAATGGAACATGTAAAAAACGGTTTTTTGGTTTTTTTACAATAACTTTTTTAGCAATAGACGCAGAAAAATTCCTTCCTTGGTGCAAGTCTCGACACCATAACGAACCAAATAGCGAAAAAAGTAGAACAATAGCTCTTAAGATAAAGAACTAGTAGCGTCGCAAAGCGAGCGGACGGACGGACGGACAAAGTGGCCACAATAGCGCATTTTTTTTTAAATTTTTGTGGAAATGCGCTAAAAATAGGCTGAGCAAAAAAAGAACTTACCAAGAAAAAAACCAGCCGGCAAATTAATATGAAATTGGTGTAGTAAAATTAATTGTTTGAAATAATAAGAATGCATAACATAAAGTTATATAATTTATAATATCAATATAGGTTAAAAACAAGTTTTGGGAACAATGGGTTAGTCGACAGTTGTTTTTTTTTAAGCGTAAGTTTACAATTACGGACGACATTGCGGAGATTAGATAAGGAGGGCGCGCGACGCTGACCTCTCTCTCTACCTGTTATCGCTTCGCCTAACAATGTTTCCGAAGTCAGTAGTTGGCAAAAGTTCAAGCCATGCGGTGTAGTGTAGTGTAGTGTCACTCCAATGGTAAATGGGGTAAACGGCTAAGGGTGAGTTTTTATTTTTGTTTAAAAATCGCTTCTACATTTGAACAGTAATCGAAAATTATTAGATGGACAGGTTTGTTTTGTTTTGATTCGCGACCCTGATTGTAGCACCATTTATAACACTTTAGAATCTGAATCTATGACTAATGAGGTTGAGATTATAATTATTTCAAGAGAGGATGACGTAAAAACCCAAAGAAGGGTAATTATTGACCATATAATTAAACTCCCATCGTAAATATACTGTGATTTTGTACTTTTCAATTTAGATAAATCAATTCGTTAAATTATTATACAGGGTGTCGATTTTAAAATTTTCCAAACTAAAGAAGATATTGAAAATCGCGCAAAACCGTTTCGGGGGTATCGAGGGGGAACCAGAATGACGTTATGAGTGACAACCCCCCAGCCACCCCTCTTCAAAAATCCTAAATGGCAACCCCATACTTGTGACACATCGTTGGAAAGCTACTGAAAAATGCTTTCCAGTGGTACCCATAAAGTCAATATTCATTAAGACAATTAAACAAAAATTTAATAATTACTAAAAAAAAAAGTAAATGTAGACATTGAGGGATTTATGGCAAATTGCTCAAGAACTTCAACCTGAGTTGCTTCATTAAGCAATCTTGGTTGCTTTCTTTTTTTATTGATAATAGATCCCGTTTCTTCGAATTTAACGACCAAATCTTGAACATAGGCATGGCTTACATTTATTTCTCCCGGGATGTCTCTCATTAAACGTTCTAGCTGTTCTAAAAGATGATTGATTTTCGGAGCCATAAATGAATACTATTTCCACACGTTCAGCTGTACTGTAAGTCAATAAAATGTGCTATTATACTCCAGCATCGCCTACCATTCATTTAACATGAAAAGTACAAGTAGGTATTCATGTTAAAGTCGATCATCTCACAAACAGCCCCCATATTCTATATGGAAGAAAAGTTAATTAGAGGGCTCCCCTTCTGGCATTGCTAAAACACGCAAGAGCTGGAGTCCGCACGAGATAAAGCAGCAACATAAATCATAATACAGCGAAGAATAAACGGTGAATCAAACATACAGGGGAACCACACAATAATAATAATCTACTTCCATGTGAATACTACGAATAGGTACATAAATACGTAATAAAATAATACAGGTTTGTGATTTAATAACGGATAATAAGAATGAAAAGGGCGTGCTAGGAAATACGCTTGGATCACTGAACTATAGTTGTATCAAACCATGGTCGTGGTTGTTCCCTTTAATTACGAAATGCATTCCCGCGAAACCTATAAAAGTATGAGGTGCAATGAAGGGCGCAATAACTGCACTTAACATCGTTATATGATCATTATAAAACATTGATATAATTAATGTTACTCCTTACTCTTGCATTGTCTCAGGTTTTTGTCTTAACATAACCTCTACTTTAATTTCCCATTTCTCCTAGGACACCCTGTACAGATACCTTTGAAATCTGTTTTGAAATTTTTAGTGGCCTATGGATCGACAAGGACTTTGACATTTTGTTTAAATCCATAAAATCAAGGGTTTTTTTAAAGTAATAATAATACTTTATTATCCTGGCGGAGACCAGCTGTAAGCTGTTTTTCCCAACCAGCAGAATTACAATTTTCTAGAAAATACTGATTGAAAATAACAAAAATTTAAAAAAGATATACCTACTATTTCAATAACTTGAGTTGTACGAGACTACATGAAAAGAAAATAAATGAAATCTTAGAAGAAGACGACAGATTGACAAAAATGACAAAATTTCTCCACGTGTGTACATATCTAAAAGAAGTATATAGAAGAATACATATAGAAAGATTAGGTAACAGAAACTTGGTATACTTAAAGGTCTAATTATTGTTCATTGTAAATCATACTTTTTACTTTGCGTCTAAATTGATAGATATTCAATGATTTGTATTCATCAGGCAGCCTATTGTACAAAAATGCAGACATGTAGGTAAACGAAGATTTGTAGCTTTGCAATCGATGTGCAGGTATTTGAATATCATTTGTATTTCTAAGGTGAATAATAATAATAATAATAATAAATAGTCTTTATTGCATTAAGAATATATAAAAAAAAATTATGAAAATTAAATGCGGGGCGAGAATACTTCTTTAATTTTCCTGAACTACCTACTGGTTTTCTAACAGTATCAATTTTTGCTGTAGTTTGCTTATTTTATCCTCGAGATCTTCACGCATACATATTTTTTACAACACACCTTAAGGGGTTGATTTTGTTCCACCAGATCAGCATAGCTTGTAAAACAAATTTTTTGATTCGCCATTAGTTTTACTTTTTATTACTTTTATTTGGGGTGCCTACTTAATTTAAATATCTTAACAAATTAAAAAACCGACTGCGCAGGCACAAAACAAATTTTTTTTTATTCGCCCATCGTGCACAGGGACTCGATCCATTAATAAACATGAACAATACCTTTCTAAAGATTGAGAGAATAAGACAACTTATGCTTTTAAAATATAATATGATATAAAATATGTAATAAAATATATTCTTTTCATAACAATCACAATTTACTCAAAATGTGCCTATACAAAATAAATTGATAATGATTACTTTGAGAAATTAAAATGTAATAAATCTCGCACTGCTCCCGGTCCATTCCATTTCCCATTTAACATAAGATGCCAATACAAAGGAGGCATAAAATCTTTTTTCATAGTATACATAAGCCACATCTCCTTATCTTGGCTTATTGGGAATGTTTCAAGGGGATTTAAATCGTAATCGAACTCTGCCAAAATACATTTTCCATATCCGGTTACCAAAGGACATGAGGCGTAACCGTTGTATTTGCCTTTTAACGGTTGGTTTTCCATTACTGCCTTCATATTTTCATATACAATGTTCGATTGAGCAGCTAAAAATGAAAAATTATTCTCCGATTGTAAATTGACGAGGAAAACGTACCAACAGATGCGGCGGTTTTAGAATTTGGAGTTGCACTGCAATCACCTATAGCAAATACGTTGGGATATTTGAAGTGTTGCAGTGTGTCTTTATTAACATTGACAAATCCCAGGTCGTTTACCAGATCCGTACACTTTTTCAACGAGTCAGGTGTACTCATTGGTGGAGTAACGTGCAGCATGGAATACTGGAATAAACAGAAATAAGTTGCAGGAACATTAATCAATTCTCTACCTCCATTTCGGTAAGTTGTTCTGGAACGTCTAAATTTTGAAAGACTGCAACTTTTTCTTTATGCTTAACCTCGACCAAATTGCAACGTAGATTTACATTTATATTACGCTTTTCTACAACCTTCCAAAGTGCGTCGGCATATTTTTTTACGCCAAACAAAACCGGTAACGAAGTGTTGTATGTGATATTAACTTTGTCCCGAATCCCATTCTAGAAAATCAAGATAGGTATATTGCAAATAAACCAAAGAAGTGCTAACTCTTGTAAAAAAGTCCTCGGCAATGTAGCAAATTTTTTGGGGAGCACCTGGACATTTAACTGGCGAGTTTGGATAAGTAAAAATTGCATTTCCAGATTTAAACTGTTTTAGAATCTCATATGTTCGATTCACATACTTGTATGAATAATTTGAACAGACCCCTGTATTTGGCACGTTTAATGCCTCGACTAAACCTGGAATCTACAGTAAAACACTAAATAACTCTTCTTATGTCTCGGTCATTACTTTGTCATAATTTAGTTGCAAGCCTGTTGCCACTATCATGAAGTCGTACGTTATTTCATCGCCGCGTGAGACAGTAACAGAATTCCTTTGTGGATTAAACTCGGTTACGCTATCTTTAATCCACTTTGCCGTATCGGGAAGGACAGATTTCATGGGTTTACCACAATCGGCTAATTTCTTAATTCCACCACCTACAAGCGTAAACAAGGGTTGGTAGTAGTGAGTGTCGCTTGGCTCTACAATGAATATCTCTCCCTTATTGAAATGTTTGCCAAATTTCGCTGCCATGGTGCAACCCCCCGATCCTCCGCCGACGACTAACAATCTGCATCTACAGCGAAAGGTTTATTAAATTGGCTACAAAAGATAGCAGTACTTTCGATTTTCGACGGGAGCTGAGGATGTTGAAAGACATCTCAGTATTGCAGTTTTGAGATTGGTGGTTCTTCGGAGAATCAGCATTTTGATATGTTCACTGTAGGGACAGTTAATCGACAAATTCACTCGGGACGACCACCTGTTAATTTTTTACGGAAAAGTGCGGAATCATGTCACTAATTACACTCACTAGAGATAACAACCGCAAATAGTATGTTTGTGATAAATTTGATAGGATCACTGCATGTCAGGGTTATGTCACTGTCAGGTGTCATGGCCAAATACTGTACAGGGTGATCAAAAAGATCGTCCTGTAGAGTTACGCTTATATCCTTATACCCAATGTTCCTCTTATTATGACACATTAAAAACTGCAAAGACATTTGTAGCCCATGCAAATTAGTGGTCTAGCCCCTAAAAATTGCTCGAGAACTGGAAATAGTTTTAACTCCTTTATTAAGGGGTCCTGAATCACGGGTAGGGGTATATGAGTTTGCGACGGTTTCTAGGTTGTGCGTCAGATTTGAGAGTAAAAAGCGCAAAATGTTTGCACTTTTTTTAACATTTCGCTTATAACTCGAAAAGCACAGAACATTTTGCCCTCTTCTTTTCTAAAGAGCATTATATTATGCGTCGATTGGCGTTTGAAACATTTAAAATTTAACCCTTCAGCCGTCAAAGATGGGCGATTTTTACAAACTTAGCTCAAAAGTTGACAACCCTTTGAGAGGCAGAGGCTTCCAAAAAAAGCATCAAGTCAGCTGAACGAGCCCGTAGAGGTCAAATTCTTCCAAACTTGCCAAAAATCCTGGCCTCCTATGTGTTGTCTCGATTTTCCTCGATCACAAACCCACTCCTGGGCCAGGTTGCTGATCTTGGAGTGAAATTCACTACAACAGTTTACTCAGGCACCAGAGGGCAGTCTCTCAACCAACTGAGATGTCCCTCTCAAACACCACTTTCAACTTGGCGTCGTTGCCCCTCACCACCAACATTCCTTCAGGGCGTTTCTGGAGGTGCACATGTGGAGAAACCGAAAGATGAATGCAGAGCAATGGGGATGGAAATCCGCCCCAGATGGTTTGATGCCTGTCCAAACCACTCGGCCTCCAGCACCCGAGGCATTATTAAACTCCATTTCCTGCCCCTGCAAAATGTGATGCAAAAATGCATGTTTCTGCCGAAGTCGCCGGGCTCAAGTGGTCATAGCCATTTGCGCCCACTGCAAGGGGCAAGCATGCCTCAATTCAGTCAGTGAGCAGCATGAAATAACCATCGACTGCTCTGAACTCCAAAGTGCTTCCGAAGACGAAGTTGATCCGGAGACAGTAGAAGGATCAGCCGTAGAAGAGGAGGAAGAGCAGCAAGAACTGCAGTATGAAGAAGAGTTGCCTAAACAAGGGGGACGCTCTAAAAGAAGGCGAACCCACTAGACATCATATTTGATAAATTATTGCAATTATGTTTGTTTGTGGTATAGCAATTCCTTCCATTCCTGGTAATCGGTCCTTTTCGACCTACAGGCGTTAGAAGTTGAGAGTTGTCAACTTTTGAGCTAAGTTTGTAAAAATCGCCTATCTTTGACGGGTGATTACGGCTGAACGGCTAAACTTATTTCAATGTTTCAAACGCCAATCGACGCATAATTTAATGCTCTTTAGAAAAGAAGAGACTAAAATTGTCTGTAGGATAAGTAGGTACTTTTCGAGTTATAAGCGAAATGTTTAAAAAAAGGGCAAAAATTTTGCGCTTTTAAACTCTCAAACCTGACGCACAACCTAGAAACCGTCGCAAACTCATATACCCGTTATTCAGGGCCCCTTAGAGGGGTTAAAACGATTTCCAGCTTTCGAGCAATTTTTAGGGGCTAAACCTCTTTTTAGCACTTATATTATGTCTCATGCCTGGGAAGGCTATTGGGGCCACTTCAAAATTTTGGAAAAAAAATTCTTAAAATCGTAGCTAACGATCGTTCTGTAGAGTTACGCGCATATCCTGGCGACTTGAAATTTTTACCCAATGTTCCTCTTATTATGACACATTAAAAACCGCAAAGACATTTGGGACCACTAGTCTCCTAGAGCATATAAGTAAATTCTGAAAGTACAATTTTTAGTAACGAAGCGGCAAGCTTAACGTGCTTCTAGGTACAGGATGTTCAGCAATGCTGGTCGATTCCACAAATATACGGTGTGGTCATAACTTCGGGTAGGAAGTTTCAGGGTGGAAAACGGGTGAACACTCCCCACCTAATTTCTTAGTGACATATAGTCTCTATAACCAGGACCCGACAAAACAAAGGAAACTTCCACTAATCTCATCTCAGAAGAGGAAGTCTTGACAAATTTGTTTCATTTCATGCCGCCTGCAAACAAGGGGTTTCATTTGATAAGAGTTCCATGTAAGAAATCTCCAGGATTTTACACAGCCAGCCCCTAAAAGACTTCACAGACATACATAGTGACTTTGCTGAAACTTCACATTAGAGACCAACAATGGCCCTAGGCCTTTTTCAAGACCTGTCACTAAAAAAATATTTGTTGTTATTTCTTTCTAAATGAGAAAGAATATGGTAAAATGAAAAACCATGCACATCAATTTATTGTTCACAAAATAGCTACAGCTTAAAGAATTTATCAATTTTCTTGGCAGCTTCCACAAACCTAGTATGACTATTATTAAATTATTATTAAAATGTGAATGTACCTTCCAATATCCGTCGACGGCTTTGGTTGGTAGGAACGTTTCTTGTACCAGTCTGCATCTTGTAACTCGGGATCATTAGTCCAGAAACTTGTTTCCATTGCTGTTGTTAACGGGTGACTATACATCTCATTTGGAGCTAACAAGTAAAATATAGTTTTGAACTGCACTATTATCTGTTCACCCAACAGATGCAGTTAAGCTCCTCCCGCCAAACTTAAATCAACATTTTTAATTGGTCGAATTTTCAAAACCTTAACACACGCAACTATTTGCTTCCAATTATAATTGCCGTATCTAAATTGACATCCTTAACGTCAAATCTGTCATTGCGTTTTGTATTTGCCTTGCCTCAATTTGCCGTTAATTTCATTTATACGAACAAACTAATCTTTTTGAACAATTTGAAACTATGTACTGCCGTGTGTTTAACGGTCAATATTCAAAACATAACACTTTATAACTTAGCCCCAGTTGCACTAACAAAATTAAGCCGTGCTTAAAGTTAAGTCGAACTTAAAATCTATGGCAACGATTATTAAGACAATTGTTGCTATGGTATTTAAGTTATGCTTAACTTTAGGGATACTTAATTATGACGGTGCAATTGGCCCTTAGTCATACAAATGTGACATACGATTTTAAATTTCCTTGTTTTTATAATTTTGTGACTGTGAAACGGGTCTGTTATTAACATTGGCCAAAATTTATTGGGAGTGGCTTAACTGCATCTGTTGGGTGAACAGATTATAGGTATACCTTACCTACAGGTTTCGGCACACCTCGTCTCTTCATTCTTTTGTACCTATCGATCGATTTGTATGAATAGCCATCAGCCCTCCCAATATAAACATCAATTGTTGCCAAGAGATCCGCAAACTGTTTCTTGGTACCTACATTTAACCTTTAGAACACTCACTTCAGGAAATATATACGTCTACCTTTTGCCAACTGTTCATAAACTGTCGGTTGTACTTCGGGTTCTACGTAATCATCCCTCATGTATGCTTTTAGTGGATCTGGATATCCGTACATAGTTATACCAAACCATTCCATTTTGTTAAAGCTATAAATGTCAAAAGTTTCATATTTTCTATGCACACTTTCTTAATTGACAATTATCGTATCTTGTAATTGGCCATTCACTCAGCAAGTGCAGAAGATCCTATTACTACCTAGAGGGTTTCTGCTTTGAATCCATCTGGGCATGGAAGTTCTTACTTATATACTGGGTTAAATTGCGAGAGCAATCTCTGATTAAACTCGACCAATGTAATCTAAAAGATCATCGCAATACTAAGGCAAATAAATATCTATGGGAAGTGTCAAATTACAAAATAAAATAAATTACGTGTTTATTAATTACGTACAATTAAAAACTTCAGTGAGAGCCGGTTTTTCCACCCAGAATAAAAGAAATATCTTAAGTTTTAGTATCTACAATAAAATCAATTATCCACAATAATAGTTCATAAAATTACTAATTAATGGACGGTAAAAAAACCAGCGCTACAGACACAAATTAAGCTAAATTAAGTTACACAATGTGCCCATAAACAATAATTGTCACACCATAAGCTTAAAAAAATTGACACTACTACACCATAAAATCTATGTATAATATATTAATATATAAATGTAAATTTTAAAATGTTTGTATAAATAGTTAAAATCGCGCCAATTTCCGCCCTAACTACGATGACTTATGTATAAAAACAAGACAAAAAGTAATTAAAATTTGGCATTTTGTTTATTCCCAGCCTCCTTGATCGCGTACTCCAACACCCAAAATAGGTCGACCTAATCGTTTCGTATCCGTCGGCGGTAGGCTATTATTTTGCGAGTTGGTTTGCTCGAACGACGACGACTCGGAGGGCTTCACTTGCAAGACGTTCACAGAACTTTTATAACTGTCGAACGCTTTGTTTGGTTGCAAGATCTCTATGCTTAAACTACTGTGGGTGTTCTAAAACAAAAAGAAAAGGTCATTATAATTCATATGTTTCACACTCGATTACAATGTACGGGCAAGGGAATGGTTTTACCGGTTAATAACTTGGGAATTGTGGACGGGTGCTTATACTAAACAAAATTATAGATTCATATTCACTGATATGCATCTAGCTAGAAGGTGCAGTATTGGAACTGATATACTTTGTTTGTAATAATTTTTTGTTTAATTTTTAACAAGTGCACTAAAAATGTACAGAGTATTCCGTTTAAAAAATACAAATTTCAGCATTTATTATTTGGGGTAATACAGGGCCGCTATTAAAGATGGAATGGAAGCTATTAGGCTCAAATAGACATGAAAATGAAACCATTTGAAATTATTTCACATATTTTGAGGGTAAAAAAAATTTTTTTATACAGGGTGTTTAAGTGCAACCGCCATCTTGAATTCTTTGAAATGGCAACATAAGTCTTGTGATAAGTCATTAAAACCTTATTTTTGTTCTCTTTCTTACTACCATGTATGAAAAATAATGCAAAAAATTAGAAAAACCTTGCCATACACTTGACCGACTAATGTATAGGTATTTCATGTTCAATTTAGATACCTTTAAAATAATAGAATGTCAAAAATTAACAAAAAAGCAATGAGCAAACACACTTTATATAATTGTTTTTATTTGTTCATTATTGATTATAGATTAAAAAATTGGATTGTAGGTCATTTCAAAATTTGCGTTTTTTTTTTAAATTTTGTGTTATTTTTTTGGGGATTTCCTATGTCTACTTTTAAATGATAAAAACTCTTCTAAAGGACGCCCAACTTTATGCAACCAAAATAACTACCTACAACAAATGAAGATCTGCCTGTCATATTAATTAATTTGAATATTATGGCTTTGACTTCCATATTTTAATTTTCATTCGTGTGCGATGTATTCAACTAAAGAAAAAGTTGACACTTTCAATTGATATAGGGCCGGTAACAATTAAAGGAGCTTAAGAGATTTATTTTCTGGAAGCCAAAGCAACAATCTTCAAATTAATAATTAATATGATAGTCAGATCTTTATTTGTTTCAAGAAGTTATTTTGGTTGCATAAAATTAGGCGTCTTTCAGAAGACTTTTTATCATTTGAAAGTAATAGGAAATCCCTATGTCTACTTCTACATAAATATCACTGTATGAAAAACCGGCATCTGGGACAGTGCAATTAATTCCGCATCAATCCTGACCATGTGGCAACCATACCCATTTATGGGGGTTCCAGTTTAAAGTTAATTTCATTAAAAAAAATTCTGCCAAATGGGCAGATAAATTCCACACTACACCAATAAATAGACATTCTACCTAGTATGTGCAATTACATTTAACAAAATTTAATGGTAGTGCTTAACCGACATAGAGTACCTTGATGGTTGATGGCAATTTATACCTACCTGGAAATTAATCATCTCATTTTCACCTAGTTTGTCTTCATAAAATTTATGAATCTCCTTCGGTAATGGTCCAAATCGACTGTTGGCAATATCTATAGCTAAAAGTAACCAAGCTTTGGAGATCAGCGTCAATTTTGTATCCAATATTAGTACATCACGTACTTGAGATAAAAGAGATGATACTGTTTTTGTGTCAGACGATTCAAATAATGCACCATTCCTGTGTAACTAAATTGTACCCAATTAAAGTTTGCTCCTAATAAAGATCAAGCTAAGAATTAACAACCAACAAGTTTTAGAGATAATTTACTGGCACTGTGCATATTGAATATTTAATAACGTAAGAAAATTAGAAACATTGCAAGTTGTTCATTCTAAGCTAGTTTTAACTTACTAGTTTAGTAAATAAGGACAAGTCGGGCTCTTGCCCCTTTGTTAGTAGCATTTCTAAACAAACTAAGTTAGGTTCTTTCAGTAATTTATCTATAGAATTTGAGGGCCCTTTCGCCTTGTGAAAGAATTCGCCCATCATTTGGACAAAATTGCGAAATGCTTCAGGGTGATCCGTTTGAAAGGCGGTGCGTGCTAAAACTCGTGTTAAAGTCGCTTGGATAGCAGTCACACTTACCATCATAGTGAGACTGTAGACATTGAACGAGAAGAATTACCAACTTTTTACCGTGCAAATCAGTGTCGAAAGGTGGTAATGCGATAACTGTAACGAATTTTGTTGCCAAATTTGTATTTAGCAAGCACTTGGAATATAAGTAATAGAAACTGTCGCTGGAAACAACACGGTGAGTTTACATTACACTTTAAGTGCATCTCTTTACCTGATTTCATCGCCATTCTGACAAAGTTCAACCCACAATTGTCTAACGTGCTTCACTTTCCTACTCAAGACAATCGAATCGTCTTTATCATCGATCAGTTCAATTAGTTCTATTAGTTTTGCGTATTGTAAGCCTTCTTGATCATTTAGGCTCAGGTAGGAGGTGATCTTGTCCATAAAACTTACAATATCAGCGGGAACACCTCCGGGACGTGGTACACTGTTTAATTTCATCCAGCTTCGTCCCCTACCTGAACCTCTACCTGTGCGTCTACCTCCCATTTTGCCCTTTTCCATTCAGATTCCCTTTTTTGGTTACAAAATTGTTACATCTATAAAGCGATGTAACGAAATACGTTACAGATAAAGTGGACTAAAGAAACACATTCTGGAAAAGATACTAAATATTATTGTATAATTCGTGTTTTACTGCTTTTTTACCTTTATAAAAAAAAATACCAACAAACAAACGCCGACCATACAAACGAACTACCACACACCAAAGTGGCTCGTCAATGCGAACTACTATTCTTATTTGGTTAACTTGGAACTACTAATTTAGTACTGTGGCTATGTTGCCACATAACAAGATTCGGGTACAGCGTGAATCCGAATTTGTTACAATTTCAAATACACGCGGACATGCATATTATTATTCGTTAATTGTTGTAACAACACATTAGCTAAAAAAGAAAATGTCTACACATATGCCTTCTAGATCTTTCTGGTATATGATAACACATTGTAACAAAAGTTTTCCAAAGAGATAGGTTCAATTTCTTTTCATTCTTGTAGAGATGAAAAGTAAATTTGGCTAGGGGTACGCATGGTTATAAGCTGGGAAATAGAAAGTATACAGAGTGGTTAAATTATAGGGGTAAGTAAAAAAATACAGTAGCGTAGGTAATGATCTTAGGGGTCCCTCAAGCGGCACTGCAATCTTGACTCTGAGCAAAGATAATACTACATTATTATTTTTGTTCTGAGGGAAAACTACGAGCAAAGCTTTTAAATCTTGGTAGCCGTCGCGGCTAGGACCGGATAGCACGAATATGTCCTACGTTGTGTATACTAGCGCTTCTTTTATGTGTTGGAACTTAAGACCATCATAAGACATAATCGTGTGTCTGCGTAAACTACTACTGAACTTATGTGACTGTTGTAGTTGTGTTTTTTTTTGTAACCTGAAACTTGGGAGTGTGTTTTCAAATGCGATTTCGTGCTAATTAATAAATGTGCATCTTCATTCTTCACAGACCACGAATTTTATGTTATTGCTCGTCATCCCGAATCCCAGACAATTTCATCGAAATGGCAACACCGTAGCACCGAGGCCTACCCACAGTGTTTTACGTAAAAAGTAGTGTACTACTATTGCGAAAATCCCTAATCTTGCGGTTGTGCTATCGACACGGCGTCATTTAGGTAGTTTGTTTTTATAATTCATGTATAGAGTGCACACTTATATACAAAAAAATAGTGCGACAGCGTGGTAGGTCATTATAACGTTGGTACGTAAATATAAATTAATTTCAAATTGCGGCCATTTTCTAGATTTATCTCTGCTTCGTATTAATTCTGCTTCTGGTTAATATTTTTCTATTCATTTTCCCGCATATTACCTGCATTCTTTTTAAACGATTTTTTTAAATTAAAAATGCACTGCATGATTTATTACACTATTATGTTGGATATTTATTTGCCTTTTATAACAATGTTAAGTACAATGTATTTGCAGTATTGTTAATTGGTTTGTATGTATCCATACTATACTACTGTATAGTACCTAATTATAAACACATAGTAAGTTGATTTATAATTGATAGTTGATACAATGCACTTCCTTAAATGGCCCTTTAAACATTTTATTTGTGTTTGAGAAAATGTGTCTTACTATTTTTGGTTCTTATGCTTATCAGTTCTATACTATAAAGAATTAATGAATGAAAGCATTGTAGGTGAGCATCATCAAAAGTATAATATTGAAACAATGACTCATTTAAAATCCATCAAGATATGAATCAAAGTGATGATAAGTACCACAATCACTCATTATGACAAAAGTATAAATAACTACATAATACAATTAATCTAAAGTACCTATGTAATTGTTATTGAAAACCATAAAATATAAACTTTAGTATCAAGCATGCTAATATAAAATAAAACCCAGGACTTTTTGTTTTATATAACTTGATAATTGATATTAAGCAAAAATAATAAGCGTTGCTATTAGTTGTAGAAAATAATTAGGGTTTTGCAAGAGGGTAAGCAGTCATCTATCAAGTGTTTACATGTGAATAGTGACAAATAAATGACAAAAATGTTGCAATTATTCAAACTAATCTAGATTTATGCTTGGCTTGCATGGAAATGTAAATTGCACATATTTTTACAATTGAGTAGGCCTACCTACAAAGAACACTTGCAATTTCGAGACCCACGCAAAGTGCAATAAAGATTTGCGGGACTGAAAAATAATTTTTTTATTTATGCAATTGTTATTATAACGGTTTCAAAATGTTCAATTGTTTCGATTATTATATGGTTTCTCTCATAAAATTTGTATTAAAAATTACTTAATATTACAATAGTGAGTTGGTTAAATCTCCTAAAGGCTATTAATTTAACGGTAGTTACAAGGGGAAAACCTGATTTGTCTGGTGTATAGTCCTTGTGAAGTTTCCGGGAAGTCCCATGAAGTCTCATGAATCTTGTGAAATCCTGTAAGTTACACAGAAATCTTAGTGATGTGCCTTAAGTTTCAAAGTGAAACCGCGCATGTGAAGTTAGCCACTCATTAATTTTGGAGGTCCCTCCATCCACCCCATTGTGTCAAAAGTTCTTTTATTCACGATCATATTGAAATCAGTCTCATAATTGTCATTTTGAAGGATGCGGAAGTTGTCTTTTACAACACTTATGTTTCCAGGAGGGAGGAAAGTAGATTCTCGAGGTTAGTAATATTCGATTCGAGGTTAGTAATATTCATTACCTACCTCGATTTAGTTGCTAGTATCCTAATGGATGGCGCTCTCATTGTAAGTATCTGACACTGATGACAGCTGATTTAGATGCCAATTATTCAAAACCGCATTTTAAAAACAATTCTTAATCTTACTATGACTAATATGGATTATTTTAAGTTTTGTGCTTTTTTTTTGTAAATTGCAAATGAACGACCAAACGCGAAAAAGTAAAATAAGTAAAGCTGAATTTATAGTTCCGTACCCGCAACGCTGTACCGTAACGTTTGGAAATAAACCCTACTTGTGGCGCGTGAACATTTATAATTCGCGTTAACGTTGCGTTAGAACGGTTACGGTACGTAGGAAATGCCCAAATCTTATTTCTTACGGTCAATCGTGCTAACGCGCTTGTCTTCGGCAGAACTCGGATAATTCAAACAGTTGAGTTTATCCTGACGTTCGTTTCGTTTATTTACAATAATTATTGACACTTTGTTGGTTATTATTATTTTGAAATGTACGTTACTCTTACTGACAGATGACATACAATGACAGAATTCGTTACGCGCTAATGTGGAAGCTCATCACTTACCACTACGGTAACTATAAATCGTATTATTTTCGTTAACGTAAGATTTTACGGTTCCGTTCTTACGGCTACGGAACTATAAATCCGGCTTTAATTCGGACCGAAGCAAACACAAGTAGGAGTTGTGATTAACTTTAGCCAGACTGCGGGAGATAGTGTTTTGTTTCACGTAACCTAAAACTAAACGAGTGCGGTGCTAAATGGTTAAGTAAGAACAAAAGGAAAAATAAACCGTTAATTATTAAAGGATCGGTACTTGAGTTTAATGAAATTGATTGTTACTTTAGAGAGACCATTACTGTTTAGATTTCTGGGTGGAAAAGTTCAATTCTTGTCTAGACTTTAGACATGGAAACATTGGGTTGCGAATTATTTTATTTTTGATAATGGAATGATTATAATGATGATCGTGAATAAAATCGTATACGAACCTCGACGAAAGGTTATTTTTCTTAGAATATAACATTCTTCGAAAAATAACCTACTTTCGCACTCGGTGCGTAATATACTAATTTTCGGGTTCTGAAAAGATCAGTAGTTCTAAAGTTGCTAATAGTTAGGTCATTAAATTAGTTCCGTGAAAAATAGATGCAAAAGACCTCGTCTAGTGTTTTGAAATAAAAACTCCCAATATTATGAAATATACATTTTAGGGCAAAATCTCGTAATGAATCATCCTATTTATATTTGCCATTTCTACAGAAAGTTTCAGAACTGTTGAGGAACTCTCCAGCTCGACCAGAACCTCAACCCGTGTAACGGTACTTCCCAGTACAGTCCTAAACTTTTTCATTTTTTTATATAATTATGTATTCTCCCTTGTAGAATAGCAAGTCGGCCGCAACCCTCGCTGAAGTTTGGTGGGTTAAAGGTGGTTGTGGATTTTTGACTTCTATTTTTTAACGATTGACTTATTTTTTTATTGAAACGTTTTTAGTTACGTATATATTATGGTTTCATTATTTGGCATGTTACATGGGCAAGTTGCCCTAAAGTACGGTCCTGACTTTGCAAATGCGGTTTTTATCCAAATCGTCCACGCCGTTCCATACACTGCGCATGCGAAACAAGCACGATGTAACGTATGATATGATATAATAACGTATGTCTTAGTTTGCCCCGGGGCGGCCTTGTATGAATTCAGAAATTATTTGTTTAACAAAAATGTGGAAGGAACAGCGTGGACGTTTTAGACTAACATTAAATGCGGTTGAAAGCTGCGCACGCCAGTGAGTCATGGGATACGGCGTGGTTGGTTCGGTTTACAGGGATGTTTTGTTTATTTTGCAGTCGAAGGTACTACGTAGCGTGAGAATTACTTCACGTTGAGTTCAGTTATTGATGTCGAGAAATCTAATTTGCCAAAAAAATTAGTTGTTATTGGTGGAAAAAGTGTGCGTCACTCAAAAAGGAAAAGTAGTGGAAAGTTTGATTGTTCACGTCGATCCGCGAGGCATTACGCTTTTAACCGTGAGCGAGGTTGGGTCAAGCACCTGTAAAATTATCGCAGGGTGGTTTGATACAACTATTGGTGATCAAGACCGTGTATTTCTTGCGGAGAAATTTCGTGCTAATACGATAGCGAAATTAAATACGTGTAAAATAAACGCGTAAGTTAAAGTTTGGTGGTCTTCAATTTCAAGGGATCTTTTACTGTTGCTATTACGAGGTTAAATACAAACAATAACGACATTTTTAACATGCGAAATTAAGTTCTGTGACCCTGAAAACTAGAAGAATGAACTTAATACTTCGTCGTAATTCTAAAGCGGCTGATTGACATGGACGCTTTCGGTCGGATTATCTAATTTTTTTGAGTGACCTTGTTTCAACTTCAAATCAAAGAAGCCATCCATTATGCGAAACCTAGGATTTAGTATCGACCGTCCTTTTCAGCCATTTGGATCAACGTATTAGATCCAATCAGTACTTCGAGTTTAAACATCCAAGGCGAGTATTTTATTTGTATTTAAAACAGTTTGTCTAGAGAAAAGTAAAGTTTTCCATTAGGGATCGACCGATACGGCATTTTTGCCGATACCGTTATCGGACGACTTTGATATGCCGCAAAGCCGATCCCGATAAAATATCGGCGTATCGGCTATTTTTTTTAAATTTAATATTTTGAAGATGTCAATTTTGTTTTTTTAAGTTGTGAGAAATTGTGACACCGTCAAATGTTTCCATGTTTATTATTTCACGACTTGGAACACTTTTTGGGTATCGAACAATCGAGTTTGGTCTTTTTCTAAGAAAATTGATGCATAAATAATGATTTTGAAAATCCGAAGTCGATATGATATTTCTTATCGTCCAAGGGTTTTAAGCGATCTCCAACAGTTTAAGCTTACTCATTGATCGTGTAGATTGTAATCTCACATACGAGGTCACATACAAAATATAAGATAAATATAAGAATAAAAGAGATATTGAGGTGACCCTCATATCTCGAACGCACTGTATATTAATAATAAATCCTGTTAGAGATGGAATATAGCGTTCAGAACACAACGTCGAATTTTCATGATAATACTATTTCGAAAGTACCAGTCGATTAGATGTTAATAGAGAGCAAAGGTCATCGCAAGGCTTCCATTGCAAATATTTAAGTATTATTACAAATGTTGCTATCAGATTTCTCGAGCAGGCAAGGTAAGATTTGAATTGTCTCATCTACAAAAAGCCATTAGTTAGAAGGTACCAATTAAAGTCTAACCTGTGAACCTTTTTAAAATATTTAGGGTAATTTAAATGGGGAAGGGGGTAATAGCAAGTTATTAGCTGGTTAGAAAATTTACATTATAACAGTAGACGATTCATTTTCTATTGGCAGATATTTCCCCAACAATTCTGAAAATTCCGTTTTTTTTTCAGCAACTGTAAAACACAAAAGGATGGAGCTATTAGATTCACCAATGGTTTTGAATTGATCCATTCCAATTATGTAAGAATATTTTTCAGAAAAACCCTCTGCCGAGTCCCTGCAATCTTTAGTGGTAAAGTGGAAATAGAAAATTCGTTAGTCCCAATAGTAGTGTTTTACCCAACCATGGTTTTACACGTCATTCAAAATGTGGTTGGTTTTTTGTTCAGTTTCATCTGATTTTAAGTCTGAACCCAACAGTAATTTCTTCTTCTTTTGTTAGAAATAGTTTTTTTTCAGCAGGGTACAGATTACTCTATCCTCGCTTAACCCGTGATTAGTTTGGACGCGCTCGGTTCTTTTGATCTGTTTTGAAATTTAATTATGAATAGATTTTGTGGTTAGAAGTGTAGATTACCAAGGCCCTACACTTGCTCAAGACCATAAAAATGGGAAAGTTTGTTTTTAATTATTATTTAATGACAGACATCTACATGTTAGACTGTTCATTAAGAATAAATCTCTATGGTTTTTTAAACAGGTTTATAAGTTTTTATATTTATTCCTTGCCTAATTTGGTAAACATGTCAGAAATAATTGATTAGCGTTGTACCTACAGCCGTTAGAAATTCCAAAAGCTGGACACCGCTAACAGGATTTATCAAACGCTTTGTTTGGTCTTATTTTACTTACGCTTTCAAAAATATTGGATACCATAGAACTTGATTTGTATTTGTTGTGTTGTCTTATTTCTTTTTTTCTGAGAATTCATTGAGTTGGTTTATTATGTACCATGTGGGAGTTGATATTACATGTAATCACAATTCAATAATTATATGTTTGCCCTTGTAGAATTGACTATTTAAACGCAGAATTTGAGTGTGTGTGGGTTAATAATAATTATTTGCTTGTTCGTATTTGCCAATGGTTTGTGTTATATTTTAATTAATATATTTATTACTCGATTTATTGATTTGCTCTTCTTGTGGTATGTATGTAATTTTCTTTTCCTATGTTGCCAACTCAAAAAATTGATCCTTATGACTCATACTTTGGGAATAGCCCATAGGGATTTACTTTTAGTACAGTAAAGGCCTTCCCTGAAAGTTTTTGAATATTACTCTTATTAGTAAAAAAAATTGTATTGTGTGTAAATTAAATGCGAAAAAATTTGTGCAGCGAGTTGTCCAAAATGGCCATAAAATTATGTAAATTCATTCGCATAACCAATTAGGATCTTGGTAAACAATTTGTTTAATTAACCTGTGTGTTTTAGTCCATTGTCAGTCTATTGTGTTGTTCCCGTCTCGCAAAACCTTCCTGTCTTAAAAGCACTTTTTGCTTTCTTCAAACTACATTTTTAGTTTAACGTTTTGGAGTGACAGGTGGCAAGATGAGTGATTTACGGTGTCTTTCAATGCGCATGCCAAGAGGTTTGTTAAATTTGATTAAATTTTAAACTTATTATAGTTAGCTACAAAAAACCGAGGGCTTTAATTTTTCATTGTTCTGCGTCAAAAAGCCGACCTGCACCTAATTTGAAATTTAATAATAATAATAATAATAATCATCATCATCATCATTAAATGGTATTTAGATTTTAGTCATTACATTAAGTTGTGAGAAATAATTTTTTGCCCAGGTAGTCGGTGATACACCCGCAATACATCTAATAATTTGTTTTTGGAGATACAAATCCTGAGACCTGGAGCCCCAAAACATAATACCGTAAAAGTAGGAGAGACTGAAGTAAAACATTCATATCGTATCAATAGATATTTGTTTTTTTTAAGTGTCTGATTAGGTAACATATTGAGCATAATTTTTTTCGCAATTGAATGCAATAACTACTCCACTTCAATCGATTATCCAATGTGACACCAAGGTAACCTTAGTCTTTTTGTTGAGGAATAGATTTGTTTCCTGACCGAACTTACAATGACTAATCGAGTGTATTATCAAATACAATTGCGCTCGTTTCCTTATTTAAAGTTTTAAAATTTTGCACATCTGTAGACGCTATATAGACAATAATTCTGGAAAATTTGAGGCTGAAACAATGCAAGATGTATTGTCAGCGAATTGGTACCTATGGTATTGATAGAAAGAGTAGTGGTCCCATTATTGATCCTTTTGGTACCCCTTGGTTTATATGTGACTACATTGATTTTATCAGGCTGCTATCATTATGGCGATCGGTGATACACTATTACCCCTAAATCCATAGCGCTCTAGCTTCCGCAATAGTTATTTACATAAAAGTCAGGAAAATGACACATTACTGGAGAGCAAATATTGAAGTGTGAAGCCCCTTTGGGGCGAGTACTTTAATTTCCGAGTCAGGTAATGTGATTTTACTGACGAGTTTTGTATTAAATTTTACACGAAATCGTATTTTAATATAAAATTTCAATTTTCGTTTAGAACTTTTAATTAATGTCAATCTGTCAGTTATGACAGGAGTCATAGACATTTAGTAATGTCGCAAATGCGGCCGGTAAAGTGACAGGTGCGGCCAGTAAAGTGACAAGCGGCAGGAAACGTAGTCTGCTCTGCCTCTGTCATGGAATCTAAAATCTCCCAACAGAAAGTAGGCGTGAAATAGTTATTATTTACATAAAAGTTCGGAAAGTGACACATTACTGGCGAGGAAATATTAAAGTACGAGGCCCCTTTGGGGCAGAGTACTTTAATTTCCGAGTCAAGTAATGTTATTTTACTGACGAGTTTTGTATTAAATTTTACCCAAAATCGTATTTCAATATAAAATTTTATATAGAACTTATTAATGCCAATCTGTCAATGATGACAGGAGTCATTATAGACATTTAGCAATGTGACAGGTGCGGCCGGTAAAATGACAGGTGCGGCCGGTAAAGTGACAGGCGGCAGGAAAAGTATACTGGCCTGCCTCCGTTATGGATACTAAAATTTTCCTGACATAAAGTAGGCATGAAAATGAAGGTTTCATGCCGATTTTGGGTAAAAGTATATTCTGGTTTATGGTGTTGAATGCTTTCGACAAATCAAAATAAACACCAGTAGTATTTATATGATATTTGGTAATGGCAATGATGGAATTGTTTACGTTTAAATTGCGTGGTCTTTTGATTTCCATATTGTTTAATTACTGGATAATTTATAAAAAAACATTTCCGCGATTTTTATTTTTAGATATTAAACCAAGCGTTCCAAGAAAACCATGTTATCATAGGGTTTCCATGTTAAGAATAAATTTTGATGATTTCATTGAACGCCATTCATTTGTTAATTACAAAAAAAACACTTGAAAGTGAGAATAAATGCACACAAAGGGGTTTTGTTTTATATTTCAAATACATTGTGTTTACCATATGTGCGTTACGCTTTTTTAGGGAGTTTTCGAAAGAAAAAAATTTTTCGTATGTGATGGTTTTGTCCGTCCGTCTGTTCCTCGTCTCACTCGAGAACGAAACATCAGCGATGTCAAACCTTCGCCAATCGATTTCTGAGTTCAAGGATCAGTGCTGTTGAATATGAGCCGGATTAAAAGTCTGGTTTCAATGCGAGCTGAGTGGCAAAAAATTCCCCTACTGGCCGGCTCGTGTGGCGCAGTTCAGTTAAAGCTGAACTGTGGTGCTAAGGGTCCCGGGTTCGGGCATGGATATTTGTAAATGTATAGTGGGTTGGGTTGGTAGAGCAGCCTTGGCTGAAACCCCGCCCACTCAAAAATAAAGGCAAAATAAAAAATAAAAAATCGTATGCGATACTTCGTATCTTGTTTTAAGTTAATTAAGCATTTTCTTTACAAAGTGATGTCAATATATTTGTCACCGACAAAACAATTCATAATGTATGCGTAGAAGGTGTGAAATCCCATGCTATGAAGTATAAAGATCATATTAAAAAATTCTAAGGATTTCACGCACCACAGATCAATAGACGTATGCGACATACAAAATTCCAGGGACAAATCCATGACAATTGATGTAGTTTTCAATTTTTTTGGGAAATTCGTTTCATTCCCTCTGTCTACTGTATTGTTTATATACTTATACTTATTCCAAAACCGTAATAAATAATAATAAGACTTGGCTAGTTAGAGGAAGTTACCATACGTATAAATCTAAAGGTGGAGTTCGCGAAAGATTGCTATCTTACCCGCTCTTCCACTAAACCCTCTCATATACCTACTTATAATTACATAATTATGAGAAATGGAGGTGTAACATGTAGATAAAAATTAGCAGACGAAGAGCCGGAAATTGCGCTTGTAAAGTATCATTTGCAAACCATTCCCTGTAGCAGGAAATTTTACACAGATTTCTGAAAGGGAGTTAATGACAATTATACTGATTATGTAAGTAAAAGACCCTTCTTCATTTTTGGTTCATGAACAGGAATGTCTAATAACATTAGACGCAGACACGTGTTTTGAATCAGTTGCACCCTTCTTGATAACAACGCCCATAGATCTCTGAGCAATAAAATACCATAGTACAAGAAGGCCTTTGAATGTTAAACAGGACTACTGGAATAAAACCAATTATTGTACATTAATATTTTAGGAATATTTATCATAATGGTACATTGTGTAGAATTTAATTAGTGTTTATAATTATTATGAGTGCCATTTAATTATTTTTCATAATTATGTTAGTGGAACCATAACACACAATTATAAATTGTCCTGATACTTGATGAGAGGCAGTAGATTTTGAATCGTGACTGGTTGAGTAGATCTCTATTTGCATTTGTGTCAAATGGCAATGGCCTGAAGATTAAAAAGACAACAATAGCGTACAATTGTAAACTATTATTTTGGTAGATTTCCCATTAATACCAGGTCGTATAGATAAGAGATATCTTTTAATGACTCGTCGTTTAGGTAAGAAACATAAACAATATTGTAACTTATTACTATCATAATCCTGAACGTACACCTAAGTTATTGTCTTGGCTTATTTTTTATGATTCATAAATTAAGACATTTCTTTCCGAAAGTTTGTAGTTGCTAAAAACGTTCTCTTTTACAGTATTGATAATGGCGAAGCATTTCATATCAGTCTGTGTCGTATGCATTCTATGTGCAACCCACTTTCCATGTGAGTCGCACGCCGAAGTAATGCACGCCAACAGCACGAATCATAAATCGGATGTACCATTTGCGGAATCGGATTTGCCGCCAGACGATCGTACGAATGGACCGCCAACGAAGAATTCCAGTCGTGACCAAAGCCAAAGGAGTGGGGATGATGTTACCGACAATAGTATTACTAATGATAAGAGTCAGTACATTAGAAAGATCTTTTCCATTTACGGAGATGGAAATACCATAACCATGCAAGGTTTTGAGCAACTCTTAAACCACTTTGATCTTGTAGCTCAAAGTTTGCACGGTAAAACAAATCCCACACTATCCTTTAACAATATAGCTAACTTAATTTCTTATGAGACTGAAAACACGACTGATAATAATAATAATAATAATACTGTAAGTATATAAATACGATTTGAGGACACTTAATCTTGGGGTCTTATTTTTTAGTGTATAAAACGGAAAAGCATAATCGACACTGTTTTTCCTTCTAAAGATACATCAAACAATACGCTTAATTATAGTTTAGATAGTAAATTATTCGAAAAGGTGTGTCCTGTTGTAATATATAGTATGATTGTTGGAATGTGTAATAGTGAAACGGAAATGGCGCACGTACACATGGTCGAGAGCCGGGCCGATATTCACTACACGGTATGGCTGTATTCGACCGTTTCGGTGATTGTGATCAGCGTCTGCGGGTTGCTGGGTCTGGGAGTGGTCCCAATGATGCAGAATAGGTGTTACAAGCAGTTGTTACAGTTTTTAGTTGCACTTGCCGTCGGTACTTTGGCGGGTGACGCTCTTATACATTTATTACCGCACGCTATGAGTTCGAATGGGCACGAACATAACGAAAGCAGCCATGACGAAATTATGTGGAAAGGATTTGTCGCAATGTTTTCCATCATTTTCTTTTTCGTCGTGGAGAGAACCTTTAACATTTGCGCGAAATGGCGGAAAGAACGGCATCTTAATGATAAGGTGATATACCCTCGAAGTCCTATATTTTTGATGAATCGTATGATTTTCCAGATTCCGAAAATGAAAGTTATGAAAGAAGGCCTACAACCATCATCGACGAGCGAGAAGCAATGCAAACATAAATATAGTTCAATTCCTTATTGTTATGATGCGATAGCAATGATTGACAAAAATCGTAAGTATATATCATTAATAAATTACTTATTGTATTTGTAATTACCAATTGACCATTCACAAAAGAACTTTCTCTGCCTCTTTTTCGCTTCTCTGCTCCTATTATGATGTTATATGAAATTGATGAAAAGGCTACATCAAAAAACAAAGGCTGCCAGAGAACTACCAAAGAATATCACTTTGATATGTACCTAACCAACCTAACCTTCAGTTGACATATCTATTTTTATGATGCAAGTTGCAATATCTAAATGAATTGGATTGTTACACATTTCAGATTTGCATATGGTAAGTATATAACTAAGTACTAAGTTTGGATCTCCGTAACGGTAGGGGAAAATGTCTCATTTTTTTTTGTGAGTAAAAAACGCATTTGAAATTTCTGAAAAATCTTAGAAAATAAGTGAGATGTTACCGAAACACTGAAAATGTCAAATTTCGTTTTCATTTGTCCTAGCTTAAACGGTCGGAAATGGACTGTTCCTGTTACCACCTTCTATTTTGGGAATTTGAATCTGTTATCAGCATTTCCATTACACGTTAGGTATAGAAGCTACAGGCTACTATTTTCTTATTTCGCCATATTGGCTTTTTACCATGTTGATTTAGCAAGATCTAGTTACCCATGGATGTTTTGTTTAGTAATGAATGTGAAACATTTGATTTTGAATTTCTCGTAAAAGTGTGCCGTGTGACACGTCATTATTTTTATTTTTCTACCCTCTATTTCATTTCGTAAAAATCGCGCCCATAAGAAAGTAGTAGTCTGTAGCTTCTACATCTAGCTTGTTATGGAAATTCCGATAACAGATTCAGAATCTCCGCAAAAGGTGCCCACAGAAGGTGCCAACGGAAACCGTCCATTTCTGACTGTTTAAGTTAGGAAAAGTGAAAATGAAATTGACATTTTTCGGTGACATCTCACTTATTTTCGAAGATTTGTTTAAAAATTTCGAACGCGTTTTTGGTCACAAAAAGGGGCAACTTTGCCCTTATTTAACCTACACTGTATCTCTCACGAATTTAAACCACCCTGTATAATTTCTCTAAATCATATATCGTGTTCAATTTACTATTCTGAACTGTATCCATCGTTTAATTTACTACCTACATCAAAGTAATAGACATTTTTTCAACATGAGTAGGTACATCCCTACAGTGTGAATGTAAAGTCTGAAACTATCACAATAAATCTTTAGTCTTAGTAAACGTTTTCGAAAAAATCTTTGCGCCACGTCAATTTTTATTTTATATGAGACATATTTGATTGTAATTGTCACTTTAAGATCGTCTTCTGTTTTTGAGATATGACGTCAGCGATAATTTTTTTAAATGAAATCCCTATTTTTTTTATGCGGAACATTGAAAGAGCATGACATTGTAATGTATATAAATTGTATTTAATTAAACTTTTTTTTGTTGGAACGGGCGTTTTATAGTTTATCAAAATTTGAGAACTTGAATTTTAAGAAAATGTAGCAATTAATTCTTTCTTAATTTTGACTTCTGTTAATGTGTTGTTTTTCGTCACAATGGCAGTAATAAATGTTATTCTGTTCTATTCTATCGATCTGAACATTTAAATTTAAACTAATTTTTTGTAAAAAGGAGTGCAACACGTAGTAAAGAGTAAATATTAATAATCAAAACAGGCTTCCGAACAATCGTGCTATAATCATTAAATGAATATCAAGCAAATGTAGTAATTAAATTCGATTGTATCTAAAACCAGTATGTAATCAAATATATCGAGTCGACGAGAATAAAAAAATTACCTTTGATCTTCAGGTCGCAACCTTGTGCGCTCAAAAGGGCGCGTTCTCCCTTCTCTGTAACAGACAACACAAACAAACAAATACCAAGGCTAACGTCTGACACTTATCAGGTTAATCGTATACTAAAACTGTAATTAACACTCAATAAGAATCAATAATTAGAATGACTTTACACTAGTAAAAGTAAAATTTTGATCGACCACGGATTTATCCTTACAAAATCTATATAAAAGCATAAATGTGACGTTAACTTCAAGAAAACTACTTTACGATGCACAAATAGCTAAATTTCTATACAACAGCAATGCAATCTAATTAATTCGAAATGTAAATCAGGCAGTATGAACAAATTTTTCAGGGTAAAACAAATAACGTAACTAAGTATTGTATCGAATACAGTGTCATACTTTTTTAGCGTATTTGGTCTTAAAATTGTATGCTCATTCCAAATGTTTGTAAGCTAAATCTTAAACCATTGCCCAATTTATTGTACATACCAATTAAATTGAGCTGCGCGCCTGGCCTAAAAATGATCAAAAATCCGACATAACCCCAATACAAATTCGCTTATTTGTTGAGATATATAGACTGTTTTTGGACAGAATAGAGGAATAGAGCAAGTAGTGTAAAAATATGGGTCACTTGGGGCTTCCGGTCTTGGAATAGCCCTACCCAACACTTGAGGGTTTCACACTACACGCTCTCATCCTTGTATAGCACACTGGTGTACTATGTATGTACATAACATGTACCTATGTTACTGAAATAACCCATGTACATGTTATGTTCATAATATAGACGTACATCTTAAGTACTTTTGCCACAACGATAGCTCAATGGTGTATGTACATTCTTTATGTCCAAAGTATGTACTGTATCTAACAGTTACACTTACAAAATACTTCTAATGGAATTGTATGTCTACCCACAGATCCAGTATATGTACCTAATATGGTACTACATATATTTAACTGCATTTCTCACTATATGGTAGTACCATAACCTATTTTGTTTTAAAAGTACTTGCTGAAATTTTAAGAAGTAATAAAGATGCAGAAGTACAAATATTAATCACTAACATATACGTAGAAGTACTTAAAGAAGTAATGAAAATACGAAAATCTTGCATTTTCGATTTGTTTATATGAATGTCATATAAAATTTAAAATATTTGTAAAATGTACTAGCAATGTACATGAAAATTCCACCTACAATTTTTGTACTGTAATGTATGCTATATGTACGTCGATTTTTAACACAAATCCGAACATACATAAAGTGTACATTGTGTACAAGAATTTTAAATCCACTGTTAGTATGTCCTGAGAAGTACGTCCATTTTTAGTACATGGCCGAACAAACTTAAACTGGACATAACATGTACGTCCGATGTACAGAGTGTCCCTCTTTTGTCGAAACCAAAAATTCGCAAGTGGTTTGGAGGGGGGGGGGGCATGTTGGTTTTTTTTTACTTTTTTAGGCTGTACAGGCCAGAACACGATTCTGTGGGCATTTTTGTATTCGACGCATCCGATCTACGTACTATAGCTAGCAACTCCTGTATGATTTTGACAAAATTTCCGAATTTTCATTTTTACATTGGGAAGATGAACATTGTCTAAAACTATCTGAAAATGACAAAAACTTGTTTTTTTACTAAATCAGGGGCGTAGAATCAAAATTCGAGTCGGTTTTGAGCTGAAGGACCACTTTGGGTCTGTAAAAAACGAACATGACCCCAATAAAAAATTCCCAGCTCCCTAACTGATTTTGGTATCGACTTTGCGGTTTTTTGTTGGCTAGAGGAAGGATTAGAGTGTATAGTGTACAAATATGGGCCAGTTAGTACTTCCGGTTCCGCCAGCCCTACCCCAAAGTTAAGATTTCTCATTAGTCGCAGATAGCGGACATTTTCACACTACAGGCTCCCATACTTCCTCCGTCGAACGCAAAAAACCGCAATTGGATATCTCAAAAAATGAGGAAATTGGAACGTTCGGAAGGTTTTTTTTTTTTACTTTTTGAGTACGATGATTATTTTTTCTTTCTTCCATTTTAGCATCACCTAAATTCTCAATCGTGGTCCATTTGAAAGAATCCATAGGTGAATTGTATGGGCCTCTCACTCTTTTATAATTTGTTTCTCCTGCTTGCACTAGAATAAGCAGTTATTTTATGAAGATTTACTACTATGCGATCAAAAATGAGCTGCTGTCTAGTCACCTTTGGAATTTTTGTTTATATGGTAAATCGTATTTAACTTGAACTTCCAAAGGCGACTCGACAGCAACTCATTTTTGATCGCCCAGTATAAATGTCAAAAAAAACTCTTAGGGGAACAAAATAAAGGTGCTGGGTGTGTGGATTTGTTTCCATTTACAGTAACGAGGGGCGAATCTACCTCTATTACAATGGACTCTTCCAATAATGCCTATGTAAACATTTTTAGAAATCTATTATCGATTCAGTTTATCTTTGGACACCTTGTATTAATAAATTGTAAAAAGGATTCCGAAGATACATTGCCAATAGGCAACCGGGGAGTACACACAGTGTATTAAAAAAACATTATTGCTGCTTTTTGGCTTTCTAAACGAGTAATTACATCGAAATTTTGGGAAAATGCACTAAATGTCAATAAATGTGATTTTTCTCCTAGTTCTTACATTGTTTTAAAAATGGAAGATCTCATAATGTTAGAAATCACACAATTTTGATGTTTGTAAAATAAACTATTCCCTGGCTTCCATGGGAAACCACAATTAGTTTAAATTGTGTGATAAAACGAGGCGTTTATTATCATCACGATTAAATAAAATGCGAACTTGTTTTGTAACTTAAAAAAGATTTGATAGGTTTCAGTGACGTAGAAAGGTGGGGGTAGGGTTAAGTGGTAGAGCTCTATTTCAATGATTTCATTTTTTTGTATTTATTGTATATGGCATATTTTTCTTTCGTAGGTGAAGCAGATGGTACAAATTCTCATAATGACACCTCAACAAACTTATTTGATCTCGATTCGTGCTCGGACATACAGCATTCGACCTGCAACAATCACGAAACGAATCAGAATATGACCGAATGTCCGAGCGAATTGACCGCGTCCAACTGTACGGAAGTTAACAAAATGCTGGACACCGAAAAAGAGGACGCGAACAGTACGGAGTACACTGTCATTTTACGAGAGCACGAAAATCGCCACCACGGTCATTCGCACGCGCACGGACATGTACACGCAGCTCCAAAAGATCTATCCTCGGTCGCGTGGATGGTCATCCTGGGTGATGGTATACACAATTTTACAGATGGTATGGCGATAGGAGCTGCATTTTCCGGAAGCATCGCCGGAGGACTGTCCACTACTGTTGCAGTATTTTGTCACGAATTGCCTCACGAATTAGGCGATTTTGCCATGCTTTTAAAGGCAGGGATGACAACTAGACAGGCATTGTTTTACAATGTTTTATCGAGTTTTTTATGTTTATTCGGAAACATATTCGGAGTATGGTTGGGAACAACCGAATTGGCAAGCTCGTGGGTTTTTGCAGTCGCTGCCGGCTCATTTATCTACATAGCACTTGTCGATATGTTACCAGAGTTATCGAATAGCCACGAGGATGAAGGGATGCCCTACCAGTGTTTATTACAATTTGGCGGGCTGTTTCTTGGTGTCGCAATAATGACTATTATAGCCGTTTATGAACACGATTTGAAGCATATCTTTTATGAAACGTAAGTGTCATTTAGGCCATTGGGCTGCTGGAACTGGATCGATTGTAGCAAATAGTTGCAGGGTGTCTGTTTTAAGTTTTTATTGTGATTACGATGATTATCAGATGAAAAATATGTCGATGTTTGTATAGTGCTTGCATGATCAAAGAAACATACAAAGCCGAAGAATTTTCGCTCCTTGGGCCGAACGGTACTAATACTAATTTCCTTATAGCCTTTGCTACATGAATGTTCCTTTTAAAATAAGTGTAACGTTTTCTTATGTGAAGAAACTAATATTTAACTTGAATGTATTATTAAATGTGCTTTTGCATATCGTTAGTTCACTTAAAAACTATGTTTAAGTAATTTTTACCGCACTTGTTACTTTTATTTGCACGATTTGAATGGTAGAAAAGTTTTCCTTTGTAATTTTTAATACTTGACCATTCTTTAAGTAAAACTAAAAATATGCTAATTTTGTATAATTATATTTCCTATGAGTAGCTGGATTGAATATAAAATATACAAAGCAAACCATGTATTTCATTGCTATTGATCTTAACTTACTAAAAGAAACGAATATGTGCTAATATAGGTAATTGGGAATAATGGCCGCTAGCATTAACAAGTGATATGTTTGTATCAACTACTTTTAGGACATCAGAAATCCAAAAATCAAGTCTAGAAATTAGAATTTATAGTACTATTTTACTGATAATCAAAATGGTCCTATTATTCATAGTTTATCTGTTAAGGCGGCTCAACTATCCGCAAAACTGAACCATTTCTTTAAGATTTTGATTTTATAATCGCATTTAAAAAAAGGACCAACGTCAAATATTGTAGGTATTAACCAACAGAATGATTGTGCCTAAACCGATTTTGAAGTTTGCCATAATTTTGGAAATGACTAGTACAATTGATAAAACTTGTCTGTAAGATAACGGCGCCTCTATAAAACATACAGACATGGGTTTTGGCGATTTACAACCAGCTAACAAAATTGTATGATTGTACATAGATATCTCTTTTTCATCCCTTAAATTCTTTAAAAAAAAAATTGGGAAAAATATTTTGATGACATCATGAAGTATTTCACCAATTGAAAGCACAGTTTGGCAACTTAAATTACACCATACTCCCACCTTTGGAATTAATCCTATTTATTTTTCTAACAATAGCATTAGAGATTAGGCTATTCATTGTTATCTGTACCTAATGAAATTTACCTCTTTGGGCTTTATCGGGCGTCATTAACACCTTCCCATAATTAGCTAATAATGTAATTTAATTTATTTCTTTGCTGGTTTCATTGATTAGAAGTTTGTAATGGTAAGATTTTTGTGGATACCTACTTCCGTCATTACACCAAGTATTACAGGCTGTGTTACGCAAACCGATAACGAAAAGTATTCAGGCTTTCATTGATCAATTAAATCTGACAATTTGCATACCAACATAGTTTTTCTTGATCTATCGAAAGAAAATATTATCATGTTCGATAGCAACTTCTTATTTTAAATAAAACACCCTGTATTTTCGAAATCTACATGAAAATCTACGCCGTTTGATACCAATTTTCCTATACCCAGCATCAAAGATTTACAAGTTATTCAAGATTTTGAAAATTTTTGATGTTTGTTTTGAGTCCTGTATCTTAAAGAGAACATTTTAATTTAAGCACTTAATGGCCACGTCCGACTCAATTTTCCTTAAAGGGCAGTTGAAAATGTGCAATTTCATGTAGGATTTGTAGAGCAATTGCACTTCAATGATACAGTATCTGGAATTGTCTTTTGTGTATGCAATTGGTACATTTGCGCCATCCCTTTGGTAATTCCTATACTTTTCCAAATTAATTTCTTGCAATAGTTGAACCAGTTCCAATGAGATGTCGCCACGTACGTAACTACATACAATCCTTTTTTTTACGAAAAATCGACTGCACCAAAATTTCTCGGGAAAACACTTTTTCTTATTAATTTTGGGGCGTAGAATCCAAAACAATTCGTACTTTTTCGATTAGACTTCTCAATCAAAAGTTATACACTAGAAACCAAATTCGAAAGAAAATTTAAAGGGCTGTAACTTTTGAACTAGTAGCCCAATCTTGGAACTGTTTGAAATTATGGATTCTACAGGCCACATTCTATAAGAAAATTTTTTTCCGGGTCTATCTGAGACAATTTTTTTTCGGGGCTCAAAAAAAGGCAGTGTATAACCTTCCTTTTTTACCAAAAATCGACTGCACCAAAATTTCTCGGGAAAACACTTTTCTTATTAATTTTGGTGCGTAGAATCCAAAACAATTCGTACTTTTTCGATCAGACTTCTCAATCAAAAGTTATAGACTAGAAACCAATTTCGAAAGAAATTTCAAAGGGCTGTAACTTTTGAACTAGTAGCCCAATCTTGGAACTGTTTGAAATTATGGATTCTACAGGCCACATTCTATAAGAAAATTTTTTTCCTGGTCGATCTGAGACAATTTTTTTTTCGGGGCTCAAAAAAAGGCAGTGTATAACCTTCCTTTTTTACCAAAAATGGACTACACCAAAATTTCTCGGGAAAACACTTTTTCTTATTAATTTTGGTGCGTAGAATCCAAAACAATTCGTACTTTTTCGATTAGACTTCTCTATCAAAAGTTATGGACTAGAAACCAATTTCGAAAGAAAATTCAAAGGGCTGTAACTTTTGAACTAGTAGCCCAATCTTGGAACTGTTTGAAATTATGGATTCTACGGGCCACATTCTATAAGAAAATTTTTTTTCCGGGTCGATCTGACAATTTTTTTTCGGGCCTCAAAAAAAGGCAGTGTATAACCTTCCTTTTTTACCAAAAATCGACTACACCAAAATCTCGGGAAAACACTTTTCCTTATTAATTTTCTTGTAATAGTTGAACCAGTTCCAATGAGATGGCGCCACGTACGTAACTACCTTCATAAGAACATTATAATTTATGCACTTAATAACCACGCCCGACTCAATTTTCCTTAAAGGGCAGTTGAAAGTGTACAATTTCATGTAGGATTTGTAGAGCAATACTTCAATGATTTAGTATCTGGAATTGTCTTTTGTGTATGCAATTGTTACATTTGCGCCATCTCTTTGGTAATCCCTATACTTTTCCAAAATAATTTCTTGTAATAGTTGAACCAGTTCCAAATTACAAGTTTATCGATGTAATCATTTTGGCACCATACAATATTTTAAAAACGCTCTATTCTTCGCTTTTACTTCAGCATCATCATTGTCATTATTAAATTCTTCCATACTTGTGGTATAAGTTCATAAAGCTTACTTGTTCATTACAAAACAAAAGTCTATTTCCAATACAAATCTTTCCCATTCGTTATTTAGCAAAATTAACTGGTTGGGAAAAAATAAGACAGTAATGCATGTATTGCTCAATAAATAACAATTATTAATTAGAATGCAAAAGTACAACAAATATCAATAATCTGGAATCATCTGGATTCTACAACATCACTTTCTAGGACGTTTCCTCCTTCGTCACCATTGCTTCGTCGGGTATTGTTGGTTGCGGTTCCTGTTTGGGAGACAATTCTTGTGTAATGTCCATCGGTTCAACTACACCTAAATCCTTTACAAGATTTCCGTCACCAAAAATGGGTGTTGCTGAGACCATATTTGTGTCATCAGTAATACTGGGTTTTGGCTCTTCTACTTCCGTTTTGATAGAAGGTTGGGTAACCGTTGGCGCGTCCAAAGATTCATCATAGTCGGATTCGGAGTCTTTCTGCAATAAAACACGTTTTAATTTCACTTCAAAATTGACCCTTATTTGTTATACTTACTAAGTTTTTTATCATCTTTAGCATATTAAATAATAAGTGTTAAATGGCATCATTAGCACTTCATAGACTTACCCTTGCATTTGCATATGAACGAACCTCGGGAATGTCAGTGTGTAATCTGCACGTGGTGTTGTCAAAAATCCCTTCGACTGCAGTTTGGCATTCAATTTCGTTTTGAATCTTTCCACACGACCGGAATAAAATTTGATTTGTGTCCTTGAAACATTCAGTAAATTGTAATATTAGAAAGTACTCAAATATTCCAACCAAACTTAATTACTTTTCGTGATTGTGTATTTAGCATCACATCTCTAACAATAGTCCCTCAAAATTTAAATATCATTCACAATATTTGAGTATTGTTGAAATTATTTTAATATAAATTTAAATGCCTTAAAAAATTGGTATTAAGGGGCTAGCAAGTTTTTTCATATTTTGTAAAAGTGTTGCTCTAACCTCGAGAATGTGTTTGCGACAATGTCTGGTGACAGGAAGTGCTCGTGAACCACATTTGACACCACCTTCAGTATAAACACATTTAGTAAACACGTGAGTTTTTGGTGTGACACCTTCCGTAATCTAAAATCGAGGGTACAGTTTCAATGAAAAAGAAAATTGATTAGTCTAACCTTGAGCCTACGTTCGTTTAACCGTTTGTTGCAAATAGCATCACTTCCATGTCTTTTATGATAGCTATTATATGCCTTTAACTTCTTATATAATCGACGTTCTTTGGTAGTCTCGTGCACTTGATTTGCGATGTTACCTAAAGCAATAAAACATTATACTTATCTATGTCTAGTTGTAGCCACTTACAATGAGATTCTTTTTCTCGCTTTACCGCATGGAGATATCGCCGCCTTCTCTCTCGAAGTGAATGATGTAAGTATCGGTACTGTTCGGAATAAAGATTTTGTAGTCGCATTAACTTATCCCTCGTAATCAAACAAATCTCTTCGGCAGTATACAACCTCGCGTGTCTACAACATTAACTTTAAACGCAATTCATTAAAACAGGATCATACTTCAAGACGTCTTCCTGCTCGGAATCGATACTGTCATTATCCGAACTTTCCGCTTGTATGTCGTGCCAAATCGAGCCGAAAGATGTCGCGTCCACGTCACTTTCGGAATCACTGCACATGTCCAAAATTTGGCTGCCCGAAGATAAAATTCCATTAACGTTTATGTCAGTGAACGGGTTTAAACTTTTTGTTGTTCTACTATCGACGTCATCGACGATTATGGTATCTTCATTTGTGGACGAAGTGTGGGCCTTCGGTTTGTGAATGTAATGTACTAATGAATGGAGTAATACTTCGGCGGTACGAGGTGGCTGATTATGACTGTTCCGTTTCCAGTTTTGCAGTTGAGTTTTTAAGGCATGTTCATTGCAGTAGCTGATTAACATATAATAATATTTGATAATAATAATAATGTCTTTTATTAAGTTACATTACATACATACATATATTAATTAGATTCAAACACCATGGTATGATTAAATCTAAAAGGTTACAGTAGTGCAAGATAGGGAAATAAATGGAGCAAAAGGTTTGGTGTATGGGTAGAGATTTTGATATCACATTTCTAATTCACTAACCACTGGGTAGTGGCAGCACATTGACTAGCTCAAGGTTTTCTGATATCCTTTAGAAGCTATATTCTTCTACTGGCTCCGGCGTCTTCCCCATGTTGGGCTCCATGCTTGGTGGGGAGGTAGAGGAACGAATTTACACGCTCCTGACATGGAGACTGATCAAAATAATTGACCTGAGGGAGCATCCCAGGATATATGTTACAGGTGACGAGCCTCAACAATACACCAAACCAACAACAAATGCATCTACGGCCCTAAGCAGTAAAGGAGAAAGAAGGCCAGGATGAAAAAAAAGCATAGGTAACTATAATGTACAGGGTGAGCCAAATTGGACTTTATTATGGAAACATTGTAAATTACACAGCACTCAATATCACTAATCCTGCCATCTTTTGTTCGCCATGGAAACCTAGATGTCTGCAATAATATTTTAATGTATAAAATGCAATATTGCAAGAGTTAATATTATAAATATAACAAGTACTACTTCAAAATTGAGAAAATTTTCCGCTTTTTTAAAAACTCCATAACATATAGGGTAGCTCGTATAGTTTAGGGTTGTATAGGAAAAACCAAACACTCCATAAAACAGCGTAACACGAAAAAAATGTACAGGGTACCACACGCAATCTCCAACAATCTCGTGCCGAGTTTGAAACCATTTTTTATATCAGAAATAATACAGATGATCTAAGAAAATGGATACTGTCATACAGCCTTATGAAAGATTTTCCCAAAATCAATTATCTATAATAAGGAAGATATGTTATTCGAGAAACGCCCCCTAGCGGCCGAACGATTAAAGATAACTAAATTCTGTTTGTGCCAATGGTTTTCTTTTTGAAACCGAGCTCCAGACACCTAGGTTCATTTTTATTTCTTAAAATTAAGGGCGTTTCCATAAGAAAATGTTCAATTTGGACCACCCTGCACATTAATTGGCACTACTGTAATCTTTTTATTTTAAGCACAATGATGCTTGCTCAAGTTCAGCGGTGAAGTACTTACCCAGGATCTTTTTTATCGCGGGGACAAGGTAGATGACACCGCTTCCCATTTGCGGCATAAATAAACGCACACTGCTTGTACGGTGCATTTTTGTCACTCAGAATGTGTCTCAAGCAATACTCGTATCCTTCGAGTGTGAGATGCGTGCACTCGATCGGCTTGTAACAGCAACGTTTAAGATTTTGCACGGCTACTTCGGCTTTCGCTTTAAGATTCTTGAGATTCTCAGTCACTTGCTTATCGTTGGGCGGCATTTGCCTGACTTTTAACATCTTATCCGCTTGCATACTGAAAGAAAATTTGCCGTTAAACATTTTTGTCGCCTGTCAGCATTTTGGCACGACCTCAAAACAAATTTCGCGGAATGTTGCCATTTGCAAATTGAACGTAGCCATTTTCAGACGAGACGAGTCAAGTCAAATAAGCAACGAAATAATTGAAATTTTCGATTGGTGGAGTATTTGCGAATTATCTATTAATTAATCTCGACAAACAATTACTACAAGATTAAAAGATAATTAGGAAAGATAATTTGAAGGATTAATAACATAAAGTGATTAATTTATAACAAGTACATTGCTTACCGTGGTTGATCGGCCATCATACAGTGAAAAACATCAATTGTTACGACTTTTGTGAAATCATTTTATTGCAGTTTCCAAAATAAGCGAGAAGGTGTAAAAATTATACAAAATCACGTAGCAGACTTTAAAATTTCAGTTAACCTAACGTAACAGTAATAAGAAATTAATAATACCTTAAAATTTGAGGTAAAACCAGCACAAGTCGGAACACTGGTGGAAAGTTTCTCGTTTAGTGAAGTGACGCGTTGCACAATTTTCAGACGTACCCAAAATTTGCCATAATTTCGAAAATAATTATTGTATTTGTAAAACGAGTGACTATGTGTGTGATTTTCTCGGTTTCTCGCTTTTAGTAAAGTAATCAAATGTACGGAAATATTTCATCGATATATAGCGACATCTGCTGTATTGCTTTTGACAAGTACTCTGTCGTTCGTAAATGGCAAACAGTAACAACCACTGGTATTTTACGAAAGATCAATTGGAAAACACACCATCGAAAGAATGTGGGGTTGAGCCAAGTAAGGAATTGTCTTACAGACAACAGGCGGCGAATTTCATCCAGGACATGGGCCAAAAGCTCAAAGTGTATCCTTAATCAGTATGTATGACATGAGGCATGCTTGTTCCTCTGGTCCCTTTAATTTTCTTCACTTCTACATACTCGTCTCGATCTCCTTTCGCACACATGTATGTGAAACCTTAAAGTTCACAAATATTCCACATTTTAGGTTAGATCAATTTACGCCAGCTTCGGGTCAAATTCGTTAGCGTTCATGGTCCGAGGGGTTCCATTTAAAAATCTATTTCTCTTTCATTTCAGGGCGGAGGACAATGATTTTTCTTAGAAATTTACGTTCTGCGTACCTGAAACGTCTCCATTTGCTTGTATTATACATTTTTGTAAACGAAGCAATTTTTCGTAGCTATTTCCTGCTGTATCGCTTTTTTGTCAGTCGTTTGGGAGCGTTTCAATTTGTACCTCTTTATTATTGAATTTTAGTCGAATAAATTCGCAAGTTGATCGATGTGTATTTATTTATTTTGAAGGTTTAGTTTGCGCCAAATTTGTATTTTGGGGCATTTTTTAGCTTTGTTCGTTCGTTAGTTTCATTGAGCTTGCTTCAAATATGCAGCCACTTCAATTAATGACGGACGGCCATGTGTTCATAATAGGCTAATAAACACCAGAAGGCTACTCTCACGTGCTAAAAGCAGCCACTAAGAAACCAACGAACAAATATATGTATATGTTTGTCAGTATTAGTAGTGGAGAAGAGCAAATTTGGGATGTTCATTTGCCAGATAGCTTCCCAATTACGCTAGGTAATTAGTTTTGGAGTCGTCACATTTTAATCAAATAATTTTTTTAGTTACTGAAGATATTGAAGTCTCGTCTAAAAATTCGAGTTGACCATATTTTTAATGCTACACACATTGGTTAAGGAACAACTGATGCGAATTTAGTGTTCTTTTCCAATACTGCGAGACGGTTAGTATCACACATTTTTAGATGCACACAAAGATGGAATAGAAATGGGAATTCATTCTTGCTTTATGAAACAAAAAATCATTTGTATATGGGTTTAAAAAGTTAATAAACTCCCATAAACATAAACCATACATAAAAAGTGGTAGTAATTCCCGTGTAGGTTTAATAGGTACTAACATGTTATATCATCGAAAAGAAAAAAAATCTATCAAATGAGCCTAATGAAAAGGTGCACTGCCATTTAACAAAATTCAATTGTTTTCTGAAATAAAAACAACTGAAGGCTGCCTTATTGTGGAAAATAAAATATTAAACAACACTCATATAGAAACATTTTGTATACAGTCTATATTTACAGAGATATAGACTATATTCCATAATAGTAACAATAATATTTTTATTTTTTTAATAATATTTTATTGTGCTCATGTGATGCTTCACTTACACTTGTCATACACTGAATAGATAATACCAGCAAATAAAAATATCACAGATTACTTTTACAATAAATAACATACTTTTCAAATGAATAAATAGCGTTCATGACTAGCAGGTTTTTTACATAAGACTTAAAAGCACAGAATGGTAGTTGCTGTACGTTTGCTGGCAAATAGTTGAATAAGAAATTCGATTGGTACTGGACACCATCTTGGGATTTGCGTAATCTGTAAAATTCATTTCGAATACTTGTTTTATTTCGGGTGTGATACATAATGGGCACCCTGTATACAAAATATTGCAAGTGCAATTCTTTCAAGTTTTTTTTCTATTTCAGCTCTTTTGTATCACTAAATGAGCACAATACGGTTATACATACCAAACCTTAAAAAAATATACAGGGTGTCCCTGACTCGATGGACATAACGCAACACCATATTATGTCAATTTTAAGTCAAAAGTTCCTTATAGACTTTCTTCTGAAGTTATGGGCAATATTAAATTTATTTATTGTCTCTCTTGTTCTGGGCCCCCAACAGGCTTGCACCCAATTACAGAGTGACCCGCATAATGCTTTTTAGAGATGTCCCTGCAGAAGGTCTTAAGTTGTTCTATACTATTCCGGTATTTACCTTACAAATTAGGAAAACCTAATTCATAGTAGCCGGCGGAATGCTCGAAATCGTTCTAAGAAAATTTCCATCTCTGCCACAGATGAAAAATTCTTACCTCAGCCCAGATTCGAACACCTGACCTCCGGCTATGTAGCCCAATGCTTTGCCACTGTGTATGTAGAATAAAGTAAAAAGCTTGTTAAATAAAGCAACGTAATATTTTTTCAATGAAGAATTTTTTTATTTTTGATACAAATTTAATTAAAGTTTTGGTTCAAAATGTCCCCTTGAGGAGATAGAAAGAAAGTTTCCTATTTGGACCAGATTGTATAGTTAACGCAACATCTGATTGCCTTGCATAATGTATTTGTCATTTATATATGTACGTCTACGATGGATAATCAGATACAGGTATCACAAAATTTACATACACTTTATACCCACCTAACATGGCACATATAAAATTTCAACCTTCTGCCACCGCTTATAAGGGTAGTTGTGTAAGAGTGGAAGGTTACACTTTTTTTTTTATAAATGGCATTTTGTACACATGTGCAAAATAAACAATTATGAAGTCGCCCCTTTTTGTTAAAAAATTTTTTTTTAATTCTGGGACTATCGCAGACCCAAGAGTCCTATTCAAACTTATTTTCGAGTTCAAAATTAGGCAGTCTCATTCGGAATTATGAATTTGACCATGAACGACTTGGTTAAGGTTATCCTCAAGGTCACCACTGATTGGTCCCAGTTGCACAACTTTTGTATGAAACTTTTTTTCGAAAAAAGATGATGCCATCAAGTAATTAAATCGTTTCCTCTTGATAAATGAATTGCATGGTATAATATACAGGGTGTATCCTTTCGATAGGTAAAATCCATCACTCAGTGATTTTGCATTATTTTCTGAGAAAAAAAGTGTTATAGAAATTTTCCTCTAGACGACTCCTTCAGGTAGATATTAACATTTTTAGATTTTTAGCGCATTTTTTAGGAATTAAACATGTTCTACCCTTCATTGTATCTCTCATTGTATTCTAATTAACGGTCTCAACGGCAGGAATCGTTTTCTACCAACTACTGCCCTTCTTTCTGTCCACTTATCAAAGTACAGGGGGAGGGGGGGAGTGGAACTAGTTTTATCCTTCATGGTACTCTAATGAATGGTCTCAACGAAAGAAATTAATTTCTACCAACCATAACCCTCCTCCTCGACCTCTTATCTATTTCGGTAAAAAAATGCGTTTTTATCTGCACAAGAGTTGTGCACAATTTATACTTGTTAAATCTGGTAACATGACAGTTGGTGACTGACTTAGCCGTATTTTTTCAATACAAAATGGGTGGTCACGGATAGGAAGGAGGCACTGAAGTCCTGGGTATGTGAATGTCAGGGTAAACTAAAGTCGTACAAACACCACCCGGATCGCGTAAAGAGCAGCAACCGAGTAGTAGGGGAAGCATTAAATAAATACTCTTTATTATCTCCTATACGGTCTATAGAGCCTGGAATCAAAATTGAAGTAGTAATTTTGACAATAAACTGACACTTGCAAATTCCAATTTTTTGTTATGTCGAATTATCTTTAAAACTACAAGATCTTCGTTAACCATATAATGAAAAAGTCCTACAATTACACTTAAAAGTAAAAAATGCATTCAAATACAGGGGGTTCCATTTTAAAAATGCACCTTTTTAGTGCCATACCTTGTAAACGCACCCTGTATAATTCAAAATATTTTTAAAATGTAGAGAATATTGAACCATATCATAATACAAAAGCACTATTGAAAAATCTTAACATCAAGGCATTAAGTTACTCCGTGCAATTGTTGACCACCCTGTACACCAATGAAGATAGTTGGTTTACTCTTCATTTTACACCATCTTCAAGAAAAATAATACGGTTGTGGTGTGACCGCACTTGTATAGGGTGCTCAAAAGGCAATCCTTCGATGTGTGCTTTTTCTATCATTGCGCACAAACATTATTTTTCACCTGTGGGAAAATACGCACTTTAATGGCATTATGCGATTTTTCCCACAGTGGTGGACTATGCAGGGTGTTCCTAAATATGATGGAAATACGAGAGGAACTAATATTATTTGGCTTATGTTATGATTAACAGTTTATATCAACATAGGTCGGCAAACGCTTATTTACCGATCTGCAGGGTGTTAAAATTTCAAGATTTTTTTTCAAATTTCCTGCAGTTTTTGAGATATTTCGCACAAATTGGTCATGTCAATGGTAGTTTGTTTTTTGTTTTGTTTTTTCAGGGGTCATGTTCTTTTTTCTACCCCTGAACTTTTTTCTGTGCGCCACTGGTGGTTTTTGAAACAAAAAATTTGATTTTTTGATTTGTTTAGAAACTGTTTGGGGATTTTTTTTGTATCTGTGCCCGTTATCAAGAATAAAAATAAAAATCACAATTGCAATTAGATTCTGCTTCTATTCCATCTTCGTTCTTGGGACCTAAATATGCACCATACTAACTGACCCAGTTCAGTCCAGTCTATCTAAAAAGAGTTGTGTTTCAATTGTTCCTTAAGGAACAATCAATCAATTGATTGATGTCAATATTTTTTGGAATGCCTAATTCATTACCTAAAAAATTAATTTCATGAAAATATAGGTATGTACTCCAAGACCAATGACAGCGTCATGAAATACCCCTCTGGCGTACAAGGAATTCCAACTATGTGGTCATTGTATGTGACCCATTTTCAATAGGGTTATTAAGTACATGTGGCAAAGTTTGAACCGAATCAGTTCAAGCGCTTGTCAGTTATCGGATTCACAGACAGACAGATACCATTGACTCCCCTAAAAAGCTTTTATCACTTTGCTCTACCGCTCAATCCTTGGTGGACAAACTTAACCTATTAAACTACACCTGTAGGTACCATCATACAGTTATCCTACCTGCACATAATGAAAAAATCTGTGGTTTTTTCTTAACAACAATATAGATCTCAACTATGTATCAACACTGCAATTGTCTACATGCATCGATTCTATGTGTTCCATTCGTTCACACGGTTCCCATGGAATTCGATAGCTGCGGCGGCTTTATTTCTAGCCGCAAAAGTAGAAGAGCAACCACGTAAATTGGAACACGTGATCAGAGTGGTAACGCCACCGAAAAATCCTCACGACACTAGTATTGATACGACCTCCGAAAGGCAAGACGACAAAACTGCACGATGTTATACTTACGTTTGAGTTTTTGTAGATACATTACGCAAGCTCAAGATTTAGTATTTAACGAAAATATTTTATTGCAAACGTTAGGTTTCGATGTAGCGATCGATCATCCTCATACGCACGTCGTGAGGTGCTGTCATTTAGTTAGGGCTAGTAAAGATTTAGCGCAGACTTCGTATTTTATGGCGAGCAACAGGTATGTTACTACGTTCGGGTGGTGTTAGATAAAGAACGGAGGACGATATTTTAGCTTGCATCTTACAACAATGTGCTTACAATATAAACCTACCGTAGTGGCTTGCTTTTGTATACATTTCGTCTGCAAGTGGTCCAATTGGGAAATACCGCTATCGAACGAAAAGAAGGAGTGGTTTTCTTATGTCGACGAAACTGTCACCTCAGAACTGTTGGAACAATTGACCAAAGAATTTTTATTTATATATGATAGGTGTTCGTCACGTCTCAAAGAGAAAATTATGGCAATAGGCGATGGTCTAGCACTGGCGCATAACTCTGGACATTCATCTTCACCTTTCGTAAGAGGCTACCTCTTCCGCTGTGTTATACTAACGCAACGTTTCAGGAACCTGACAAAAAATTTTTATCTTTTCATTCGATGGACCAAAAAGATGGACATGGACATCGGCCGCACCACGGCGATATCAAAACATGTAAGTATCACAGAATTGAAAATTATGTGGTGTGGGTAGGTATGGAAAGTGTAAGTATTAAGAAGTAGACATAGGGATTTGTTTCCCAATGTCTACTTTTAAAAGACAAAATGTCATCTGAAAGAGCGCCTAATTCTAAAATAACTTTAAAACAAATAAACATCTGGCTGTCATATTAATTAGTTTGAATATTGTTATTTTGCACGAACGAAAATAAAAATACGGAACCCAAAGCAACAATATTCAAATTAATTAATGTTACAGCCAGGTCTTTATTTGTCTTAAGAGGTGAGTTTGGTTGCAACAGTCGCCCTTCAGAAAATATTTTGTCATTTAAAAGTTGACATAGGAGTTTGTATAATCAATGACATAGGGAAAAACAATACACATAAATCCCTATGTCTACTTCTTAATGAATAGCACTGCATATCTCTCCTGATACAAGAATGCTTCTAAATAAAATCTTAATAGAAATATTATCTACCTTTTGGTATTAATTAAATTGTAATATGTACTTGTAAATAATTAGTAACAAAGTGTGATATGGTTATAGGATTTCGATCCTTTTATACGCACTTACTAAATTATTAACGGTAATAATCTAAATTCTTAACAGTTTAATAGTCAATTACGAAGTAATGTCTGGTCATTATTTAATACCATTATTATAAAATAAAATATATATTTATTGCTCAACAGCAAAGCCAGTTACAGAGCAACATCACAATTAATCTCACCTAGTGGGCACGTGCTAGTAAACACATGCATACTAAACTTAAGACATGTAAGAACAAAAAAAAAGGTAACATAAAATAGAAGAGCATCCATTCACAACTGAAATTTAACTTCATACTGTTATGTAATGACACAATTATAACAAAAATATTATTTCAGGTACCTAGAAAGAAATTATAATTATTTGAGAAAAAGCCATATTAGGCTACCAGTTATCTACCATTAGTAAAAATGACATCTGCAGTGTTTGAGTAACAAAGATATTACACTGCTATATCCATAAGTAGCTATCATTGACTGTTCGCGGAATACATTTGATACAGGAATTTTTTTATAACGCTTACTTTATCATTAAAAATATCAATGTCGCTATTTAGGGAATTGTACAGTCTACATAGTCTGATAAGGGGAGAGTTCATATGATGATTTGTATTACATGTCTTATAAGTAAATGTAATATTACTTCATGAAGCAAGTCTAGGTACATTGAATTGTAACAAAGACAGGAAATATTGGTCATCAATCTGGTAATTCACAAGTTTGCTCAAGTAAACTATAGATACTATATTATGACGATTTTCCACTGAAATAAGATTGAAGGCACTGAGCAGATCCGCATTGCTAACGGTTCCATTCGGATAAACGCCCGATTCTCGAAACAGTAGATATCTTATAAATCTTCTCTGCACTCTCTCCAACATATTTATTGAGTGTTTGAACTGAGGCTTCCAAACCACACTACCGTAGGTTAGTTTACTTATCACATATGCATTAAAAAGAGTCACGAGCGTATTAATTTGTAGTAGTTTGCCATTGCTTATTATAAATCCCATTATTTTCGAACACTCGGAAGATAATTGCGATACATGATTATTAAATGACAAAATTTCATCAAACTGCATTCCAAGATCACGCACTACTGAAACCCGGTTTAATGCATTACCATTAATTGAGTAATTAAACACTATTTTGTCCTCAACACGTGCAAAGGTCATACAAGTACATTTTTTAAGGTTTAATTGAAGTTTATTAGTAACACACCATTGGGATACGTTTTCCAAGTAATTTTGGAGAGTATGGCAATCTTCCACACTATGTATAGTGTTGTATAGTTTTAAGTCTTCGGCATAGAGTAAACATGGACCCTTCACAACTGATTGTAGGTCATTAATAAACAATAGGAACAGTGTTGGCCCTAGGTTGGACCCCTGGGGTACCCCACTGCTTGCTACATACGATGTGGACTGGAGACCATTATAAGCCACAATTTGAGGTCTATGATACAAATATGATCTGATAACTTGCGATATGTTGCTAGGGATGTTATACTTCTCTAACTTTTGAATTAAAATGTTGTGATTCAATCGATCGAACGCCTTACTGAAGTCAGTGTAAATGACATCTGTTTGAAACCTTTTATCTAAATTTTCTGATATGAATTGCGTAAAACCAATTAAATTTGTCGTTGTTGAGCGCTGTGGCATAAACCCATGTTGACAATATTTTGTTACGGACAATGGATAAAATGTGTTCACTAATTATGGATTCGAGGATTTTGGAAAAATTGCATATAATTGATATAGGTCGATAGTTTCTTATATCGCTTTTGTCACCAGATTTATGGACTGGGACCACTTTAACGCTTTTCCACATTGTAGGAAACTCGCCAGTTGATAGGATTAGATTGTAGAGATACGTTAATGGTCCCTCCAGCACATTTCGACAATCCTTAATTATAAAGGCCGGTATTAAGTCCAATCCTCGTGTTTGTTTGGCTTTAAGCTTCCCCAGGTGCCGAGAAACAATTTCTTTGGTAATAGATATGTTTCCTAAAGTGTTGTACAATGGTTTTATTGGCAGTGAGTCATTTTTATCGTACACGCTCTTAAAGTATGTTGCAAAAGCATTCACTATATCAGCTGCATTGTGTAGTTCTTCTCCAAGATAATTCATCAAACCTGGTATTCTGGAAACTGATTTTAGTGTGTTAACATATGACCAAAAACTTCTAGAATCTTGGGCATGTTTGCTTCTGATTTTATATATTTTGTACTGCAGTTATCATTACTTTTAGTTGAGACCGTGATTGGATATATAATTCTTTATGGAAATTACTTCGATGCTTTAGGTAGAGGCGTCTATATTTTTCTTTCATCTTAATCTTTTGAATTATGTCCTTGTTGTACCAAGCGGGATATTTTGAAGTGGAGCAGATTCGAGTTTTTGGAATATATATTTATCATTTATAACACACTGCTATTGTGCTTCCTCTAAATTGTTTCACTGCACTCATTTTTGAATCGGTCATCTTTCACCTGTGTTAAAAGTATAGGTATATGTTTATAACATGAAGAATGATATTCACATTTCTACACTTTTATTTTACATTATATTGACACAGATTAAATCATTGATACATGGTATAAAAGAACTTGGCAGTGAAGGGATCCAAGACAAAATGTTTGTTTGGCAATGTCTCCAAAAGATCCAAATTTACTTTTTCTAAAAAAGTACAGATTTACTTAGGTTTTTTATATGGTCCTTCCAATTCATAAAAAATGATTGAAAATTCCTACTTCGAGAAACCAAAAAATTCTGACCTTGAAATTTGGTATCTGGAGATTGAACATTAAAATAACCATTTGGAAAGGGATTATGGAAAACCTAGGTAAATCCGTCCCTATCCTATTCATGAAATTCCTATGTATAATCAAATACCTTTATGTATTAATACGGGAAACTGGTCGCAAATTAGAGCGCCACGACGTTGCGGTAGGGAGTGTCAACAACAAGCTGTCATACTTGGTTTAAACTTTATTGATGGTTTTACGTGCTTTATTATTGTTATTGTTATAGATAAATTGATAACATTAAGGTATTTAGTAATATCACATATCTTAGATGTTAAATAACCTTGGTAGTACAATTAATTTGCTTCTTAATTTTTCGTCATTCTACACCGGGCCGTGTAGATGGCGCTTTTTTTTGTGTCGCAGCTTACGCAAATGCAAACCGTAGCGAGTTTCCTGTATTAATATATTAAGGTATTTGTTATAATCAAATTGATACAGGGTGATTGTGGATAAGCTAAATTTTCCACGCTATAGGTATGTATCCCAGGGCAAAATTTGCCTTTAATACCGAGGTTAGCAGGTCAAGGCTCTGTTGTAGCGGAGCAGGAAAGATTCGATCCATCCCTGGGGAATTTATACTGATGAAAAGTCTTCACTACCCACCTTTGGTTGGATTCACTATGTCCACACTCCTCACTCGCCCGTGTGTTTTGCTCTATTAAAAAGCTTCATTCTTTTTACTTCCAGCGCGCTGCCACAGAGAGTTTTTTAGGCTCTCCAGTACCAGGTGCTCTGGGAGTAGTTTGTTGGGTTTTTTTTCCTGGTCCATATGATTCCCAAGAGTACCGATATATTTAATACATTCGAGTGGCGCATAGTGCTCCAAGGTTGGAGCGGTAGTTCCTGATCCTCTATTCAACCCTTTGTTGTCAATAATGGTATTACAAACACATTAAAGAAAAGATCAGATTACATATCAGGATATTTAATAAAGTAACTGTTTTTTTAATGGAACGCCCTGTATATCTTATTTTGAAAGAATATGAAATTCTGAATGAAAAATGTTAACACGTGATAAAAGTACTAAAACTACATTTAAATTTATTACAAAGATTATATAAAACCGAGTATAAAACGCAGTCGGCCGGTACTTTAAACAAAAGAACAAATAGACGGAAATATGCTAGAAAGTTTAAAGTAATAATAGTTTTAATTCATTTGTTTTGAAATAAAGATATTCAGGGCGTTCCCTTAAAAGAAAAAGGTTCATTGAATATCTTCACAATCTGATGTGGAATTGTTTTTCTGTTTCGATTATTGTAATCGTGAGAAAAGATGATACATATTTGCTATTTAACCAACTCAGTAGTTGCAATAATAGCACAGTTAGTAATAGTGCCGACTTCACTTTGAACACATTGTATGTCTTCCTGGTTCTATTTATATGTTCCTATCGTAAAATATTGCTTAAACCTGTATTGAAGATTGTTTATTACCACCAACTTTTCAAAACAAGTTGTAAATAGCATATGAATGATGAAACCACATTTTTGGTAATTCAGATCAGTATTTCATTAGCAAAGTTTAAAATTATCGATCTCACGAGTAATCTAACTCACAATAGACTAGAGCCTGCACATCTACACTATAGCAGAAAGCTTTTAGTGAAAATTTGAAGTCTCTAGCAATTGTAATTGCTGAGATCTCAGTCGGACAGCCGGCCAGCCATAACGAATATAATATCGTATTTTTTTCCAAAAATGCACTAAAAATTGTTTCTCAAATGCACAAAATAATCAGTTGCTTCTTTTTTTTGTTGTTGTAAGTTGTTGATTATTATTAATTCATTCCTTTTTTTTAAATTTTAAGTAACCATGGAGGACTTCAAACAACGTCCGTTGAGATATCCACATGATGCTGGTTCAAGTAGTCAGCATCGTGATCGTGAACGGGAATATCGAGAGAAGAAAGATAGAGAGCGTTTGGGACATCACTCAAAACCACCACCACCACCAGCTGCACAAAGTAGCAAGCAGGGATTGTTTCAACACGGGCACCACAGCAGCAGTCATGCACCCGGTGTGGATCCTAAATTAAGTAAACATGGCCGACCACAGAGTGTGGGTAGTCACCCGACAAATCCACGTTCCGAACCTAGAGATATACTGCGAGAAGCTACTCGTGATATAGGTTTACCGACAGTGAGTAACAAAGAAACTAATAATTTACAAGTGCGGACAAATGATAAAAGAGAGTATGTGCAACAAAGACCCGAACATAATAAACTTAGTATTAATACTGCAGATGTAAATAATCCTAATTCTAATAGTAATAGTGATAACAAACACAGTGATAGTTCAAGGTCACGACCGCCTATGGATTCTAAACAACCTATACGCCGACGAGAAGACCCTAAACCCCAAATTAAACTAGAAAGTGATATTAAAAAACATTTAAGCGCCGCCATATACGAAAAGAATCCATTTTTAAACAAATCACTCAACGCTACCTCGCAACCTTCGCAAAAGGTCAAATCGCCTTTCAATGCAGACACTTCCAAATCCGTCCCTAATCCGAGTACAAGCCAATCGGCCTCGTTAACAAAAACCGAAACCAAAGTTTTACCTCTGAACGGTGGCAGTAATGTTAATGTACATAATTTACCACTGATCGAAAACGATGTCGTCAAAGTCAAGCCGGAATTTGACGATTCCATAAGTGCAGTTAAAAAACCTAGTTTGTTTTCGCCGGAAAAAAGCCCCCCCACTCCGAAAAAGTGTAAAACCAAAACGCCGCCAAGTTCTGGTAAAAAGTCGGAGGAGTCGCCCGAGCTTCCCGAAGGAAACGGCAAGCGAAATAGGACGTCAAGCACAAACTCTGAACCAGAATTGCGGCCGGTTATCAAAAAAATTGATCAAGTACAAGGTTTTGAAAATATAATGCGAGATTCTTCAATAGGTTTAAAGTTACATCAAGTTCCAGATATTATCACGCCGATTCCCGAAGGAAAGCAAGAAAAGATGACCATTCAAGGTTCAATCGCGAAAGAATTGAAACCTCCCGATTTAATCCCGCCGTTTAGTTCGAACGCCTCAATGATGAATGGTATAGAGACGAATCCTAGTTTAATTAGCAGCTTGTTGAAGGAAACCCCACCCGTGCCACATCTTCCTTCCGTGATTGCGGCCAATGCAGCTTTGCCAGAACCGTCAAAGGAGAAAGAACACCACAAAGAGCACAAAAAGAACAAAAAAGAGAAACATAAACACAAAGATAAAGACAAAGATAGAAATCGCGACGAGAAGGAGAAGAAGAAAAAGCACAAAGACAAGGACAAGGAGAAAAGTAAGCATAAACATGAAAAACATCAGACGGAATCCGAATCAAGCTCTACTCAGCCGATTAGAATTACAATTCCGAAAGACAAAATACAACCTCCAGAGAGTTCGGCACCTAATTTTAATGTAAAAATTAAAATACCAAAAGACAAGATTAAAACTGAAACGATAAGCGAACCTGTAGCTCCGGCAGTTCGTGGTAGCATAAAAATTAAGATATCCAAAGATGTAATAAACAGTTTTAGTAATAATGACACTAATAGTAGAAAACGGGGACGCGAGTCACCTACAAACGGTGCGCCCCCTAATAAAGTCTCCAAATCAAACCACAATCGACCCATAGACACTAAAAGTGCTAAAAATTCCTACAATAAGGTAAGCAACAGTAATGTTAGTGAGCCCGCAATTCATAATGTGCAACAGCAGATGTACAACGGTATCAACCATATGGCTCATCCCAGTTACACAAATCAAAATTATTTTTATAATTATCCCCCTCCAAGTATGCAAATGCCGATGATGCCCCCTCATAGCATGACCGTGCATCCACCACCGCCTCCTCCTCCGCCATTTATGTTTCAACAGTATTACGCACCTCCAGGTTATATGTATCAGTCGGCCGATTTATACGCACCTCCGGCGGTGGGAGGGGCCGGAACTAATGACGCCCTTCCTCCATTACCGCAAGATCCCCCTCCACCTCCTAATAAACCACCGCCACCTCCTCCCGATTTTTAAGACCATTGCGACCTAACCTAAATTTGAATTAGGTTACGGTTAGGTTAAGGGTATAGTGTAACGATGATTTTCGTTGTATGTTAACACAGTCTACCTGTAGTTACCTTCTCTTAATTATGATGACGATGAATAAGCTCTCTGCATGGAATATTAAGGCGCACTCTTGTATGTACATATTTAAGAAATAGTTTTGGTTTGTGTATTTATTTGTTTTACGTGCTTCGCTCCTCATGATACATCTTGCAGAGGTGGAATTAATTTATGATTGTTTGTGTACATATTTATGTTACATTCGTATGTTACTTTAGTAGTAGGTATAAAGATAAATAATTGTAGTTTAAATTTGATTTTGTCAGTTGTACGCTAAGTAGTTGTAATGCACACATTAGTACTTTCTATTAAACACATTTCTTTTTACATATTAGAAAGTTTCTGTAACAGTGACGATCTTCACTTTTGCATGTGCTTCCTTCACTGTGCATGCGCAGCGACTTCCGACTTGTAGCTTTTGACTGTTGAAACCGAATTTGTTAAATGATGTACGGGCAGAAACCAATGGAGTAATGAAATCATTTGTGGCATGTTGTGATAGATTGCCTCGTATTCATATTATGACGGTCTTTGGTGCTTTGCAGGTGGCTCAACTAGGTGATGGCGAGACATCCATACACAGGTTGGCTGAATCTAAGTATATCAACAAGGGGGCGGCCACATAGTACTGTTCCGCAGATTTACTTTGTTGGTTTCATTTACGAAAAGTAGCGAAACTCGTTTTATAAATTAGGAATTTCTGAGAAGACAGTTTATTACGGGAATATGATTTAATTTTGATGTTATTAGAGCTTGTGTAGTTAGTTCCACTGTATAAGTAAATATCTTTTTGTTAGTCAAAAACGAACATACTTAGATATAATGTCATGCCTATTTGTGAATGAGTATTTAGATTATGCCAACTTGGAGTTTCCGCTGTGGTTTGTTTGATCATGTATCGTTAACATCCATTGATCATCATTTTTGCTAAATCATCGATGGCAAGTTACCAGTGTATATTTTAATTTGAAACTGCTTCATTGTGTTTGGCTATAGGTATCGACATTAACTCCCACTTTTGTTTGTTTTTTTTTTAATATAATACAATACTAATCTTGTTTTAGATATTTATTCACAATTAGGGAGGGCACTAATAAAAAATTGAAATGTGTTGTTACCTCTTATTACATATAAGTTAAGTTTTGTATTTTTGTAAGAGTATATTTTAATTAATTCGCCCGCAGGACTGTGATCGTCACCGTGATGATTTGGGCTTTGTACATAGTGAAACAAAACTAAAATTAATTTATTAATTACACTAGCGTAGAATATGTGTTTTGCGAGATATTGTAACTTACAAGAAAAGCAAAAAAACTAAAAGATACTTAAAATTTTCATGAGATATTTTAATGTGATGCATGTCATTTTAATATATTAGGTAGCTTAGATATGAAATTGGAAAATATCGCAATCACTTTAGTAGAATAGTGATTTACGAAATTAGTAAAAAGGTATAATGAAGAAATTGTGTAACCTTATGAAAACATACTTCTAGAAGTATAACGGAAGTAATCTGCACTTATAGGACTGAATTTTATATAAATAAATGTATTTCTACCTTATGTGGCATGTGGCAGTGCATGCCACAACTTTTGCTCTAGGCGTCATTTTATTTCTAATGCGGCAATCGCCGTACTATTGATCACATTGTCTTGTATTATTGAATTTTATAGCTTGGAGCAATTATTTCCCCAATTGAAAATGTGTTAGTTTCCACTTAAACATTGTGGAATTATGCAAATGTAAATAAATCATATTTTGTACTACTATTGTTATATATTTTGTTATAAATTTAATTTTTGAAAACATCAAAATGACTGTGTTTATTAAATATTCATTTTGATAACTGCATAAGTGTACTCGAAAGTCTATCATTGAAACATCGGAGTTTGCAATCTCAAGTGGAAGCTTCCCTATCGAAGTCTGAGAAATTTTATTTTATTTTAACATTTCAATTTACTGCCTGCAATACAGTGCCTAATTGTCATTGTTGTTTGGTTTCCTTTTAAAATCGACTGCTTCGACTTGCTACCAAACTAGTGCTTTCAGTAGTTGGAAGTATTCAATCAATGGAGTACATACCTATATCGGATTAATTTTTGAAATTTATTATGAATTGAATTAAAATAAATGGTTATTAACTTGTTGTACTCCTTTCTTCTAGTTGTTCATATATCTTACATACCTTTTCCTGTGAATGGTAGATATACACTTTTCTAAAAAATTTCATGAATCAAGCCTGCAGGACCGGACTAGACCTACCAAATGGCCCAGTCTATTTTGTTAAACCGGCCCACTAGGTAGGTACCTCACCAAACTTAAACAAATAATTGTTATTTTTACTTGGTGCACACGGAAATCGCACTGCTTTCAAGTTGTGACACGGCCGATACTTGTTGAGGCTGGGGACCGCGGCCCGGATTGGGCTACTTACTACTTTTTACCAAAAATCGACTACACCAAAATTTCTCTGGAAAACACTTTTTCTTATTAATTTTGGTGCGTAGAATCCAAAACAATTCGTACTTTTTCGATCAGACTTCTCAATCAAAAATTATAGACTAGAAACCAATTTCGAAAGAAAATTCAAAGGCCTGTAACTTTTGAAATAGTAGCCCAATCTTGGAACTGTTTGAAATTATGGATTCTACAGGCCACATTCTATAAGAAAATTTTTTTTCCGGGACGATCTGAGACAATTTTTTTTTCGAGCCTCAAAAAAAGGCAGTGTATAACCTTCCTTTTTTACCAAAAATCGACTACACCAAAATTTCTCGGGAAAACACTTTTTCTTATTAATTTTGGTGCGTAGAATCCAAAACAATTCGTACTTTTTCGATCAGACTTCTCAATCAAAAATTATAGACTAGAAACCAATTTCGAAAGAAAATTCAAAGGGCTGTAACTTTTGAACTAGTAGCCCAATCTTGGAACTGTTTGAAATTATGGATTCTACAGGCCACATTCTATAAGAAAATTTTTTTTCCGGGTCGATCTGAGACAATTTTTTTTTCGGGGCTCAAAAAAAGGCAGTGTATAACCTTCCTTTTTTACCAAAAATCGACTACACCAAAATTTCTCGGGAAAACACTTTTCTTATTAATTTTGGTGCGTAGAATCCAAAACAATTCGTACTTTTTCGATCAGACTTCTCAATCAAAAGTTATAGACTAGAAACCAATTTCGAAAGAAAATTCAAAGGGCTGTAACTTTTGAACTAGTAGCCCAATCTTGGAACTGTTTGAAATTATGGATTCTACAGGCCACATTCTATAAGAAAATTTTTTTTCCGGGTCGATCTGAGACAATTTTTTTTTCGGGGCTCAAAAAAGGCAGTGTATAACCTTCCTTTTTTACCAAAAATCGACTGCACCAAAATTTCTCGGGAAAACACTTTTTCTTATTAATTTTGGTGCGTAGAATCCAAAACAATTCGTACTTTTTCGATCAGACTTCTCAATCAAAAGTTATAGACTAGAAACCAATTTCGCAAGAAAATTCAAAGGGCTGTAACTTTTGAACTAGTAGCCCAATCTTGGAACTGTTTGAAATTATGGATCTACAGGCCACATTCTTAAGAAAATTTTTTTTCCGGGTCGATCTGAGACAATTTTTTTTTCGAGCCTCAAAAAAAGGCAGTGTATAACCTTCCTTTTTTACCAAAAATCGATTACACCAAAATTTCTCGGGAAAACACTTTTTCTTATTAATTTTGGTGCGTAGAATCCAAAATAATTCGTACTTTTTCTATTAGACATCCCAATCAAAAGTTATGGACTAAAAATTCAAAGGGCTGTAACTTTTGATCTATTAGACCAATCTTCAAACTGTTTGAAATTATGGTTTATGGGAAAACACTTTTTCTTATTAATCGTTTCGCCGTGATGACAAAGCCTATTCTATAGTTTAGAAGGTTGTTTTGTCAATAGCTCCTCCCATTGTGAACTGTTTATTATAGGTAGTCGTAGTCCAGTGATTTCTCAATCCGCCCGACGACACAGTGCAGGACTGGCTCTGTAGATCTTCCTGAAGATTAAATTATAAAGCTATTCGTCTTCAGGCTCTCATTCATTCTAAGTTTCTTCCAATGTTCTAACCGTACAATCGTTCACATTTGTCCTCCAACGTTTTCTGCATGAAGCATTTAAGTTAAATTAGATGCAGCGAAGGTACGAGTTGGACTAAATGAAAAATTATCTATTTCCCATATACCTACCTAGAGTTGATGGCAGCACTATATATGGCTTTCAGTTGGCTGGTATTGTTTTTTGTTAATTTAGATCTTTGTTTATGGAACATCATTTGATTTATAACTTTTATTTAATTTAAAATTGTGGCTTCTCCATTGATGATACAGAGGCCATTAACTGATAACACCAGATGGTAATATGAATATCAATTATTTATTATTTTTATATACAAAGCAATTATTTTATATACATTTAATCACGGTTTATCAAATACAATGTTTTTACAAAGGAATTAACTGTAATACCTTGAGAGGCCCTCCAAAAATACTAAACAATAGACATGATGTAGGTAATGATGGTCTCAATTATTTTTCAAATTTTAACACCTATGAAAAATACTAAGTTAAATTTATTTCATAACAGATTATACAATAACATATTACAATAGATACAAATGACATTACTTATTACACAAGACCTTTGCTATATTTTCAGTATAATTATCCTAATAAAATAGTGACCCTTTCTATAGTAACAAATAAAAATCCCACTTTAAAGGAAAATTAAACCCAATTTTCTAAAACCAAATTGCAACTGCTATAAATTATAAATATTGCACAACATATCGGAGTAGGTAGATAATAATAAATATAGGCAAAGGCGAGCCGTGAGGTGAGAACATAAGTAAGCCAACATTCGGGTTAAGGACTGGCCGGTAAACTGTCGTCACTTTCTAGATACGTCACATAACTGTCTGTGCTGTCTGGATGTGTCATTCCATCTGAAGGCGGCGCCGATAAAGGCATCGGTGGACCTGGCGGCGTTGGCCCCATGGACGGTGGTGGTAAATCGTAACCGTGCATCTAAAGTTTATTGTATAGTAAGATGGGGTTGAGATATGTCTGGACTGTACTTACTTGATTTACAAGTTGTTGGAAACCTGGTGCGTGTGGAGGCTGCTCGAGATCGCTGTGTAAAGCGAAATCGGATAACGCTTTCCAAGGTGGCTGGTAGGCTTGTACTTCTAAGGGATGGACTCCTATCGGGGAATCGTGGCGGACTGGCGAAGAAGCTACCATTGGAATTCCCTGCATGGCTCCGTATCCGAGTTTCCGCCCATCCTGTATAAAAATCTATTATCAATTAATTTTCGTTTTACAGTTTAACAAAAAAAAGTTAAAGAAGTTTTATTAATACTACGAGTAGGTATATGTATCAGGTACTAAGCATCTATATTTTCAAGGCATTTTTATAATAACATTCCACAATTTGGGGACGTTGGAAAGAATTACAGAGAGTTTTGTCCCTCAGACTCTGACCTCTCCAGGAAACTGTTTTGATTATTGTATATTTCTGATATGTTTCTAGGTAGGGACTCGCTGTCGCTTTTAAAATTGACAATGCATTGTAGGTATACAGTCATATTCATGTAGAAGTAGACATAGGGATTTCCTATAGAAATTTCCTATGTCTACTTTTACATGATAAAAACTCTTCTAAAGGACGCCTAACTTTATGCAACCAAAGTAACTACCTACAACAAATGGGGATCTGCTTGTCATATTAATTAATTTGAATATTATCGCTTTGACTTCCTTATTCTAATTGTCGTTCGTGTGGGATGTATTCAACTAAAGAAAAAGTTGATATTGTCAATTGGTATAGTGCCGATAACAGTTAAAGGAGCTTAAGGGATTTATTTTTTGTGAAGCTAAAGCAACAATAATCAAATTAATAATTAATATGACAGCCAGACCTTTATTTGTTTCAAGAAGTTATTTTGGTTGCATAAAATTAGGCGTCTTTCAGACTTTTTATACTGTAAAAGTAGACATAGGACATTCCTATAGGAAATCCCTATGTCTAATTTCTCTGAGTATTAATGTCCCGTCCGATGCAAACTTTTCCAATACATATTTCAATACTTTACTGGTGGTTATTACTCCTTGAATTTTATTGTAAGTCAATGAGACCTTCAGTAAATTTATCAAATTAGGAAGAAGATTGTTTTGAGTTCCTTTGATGGCTTTCCTTCGTTCTGGTTCAATTATGTTCAGAGGTGGATTCCTCCACGAGTGCACTTGTGAACCTTTGATACTATTCATATTATTTTCTAAGGCTACCTGTTAAAACTTGACTTTGAGGAAAGCTGAAACCACTTTAAAGATCACACAGTTTAGCAGCTGATTAATCTGCTAGTTAATATGTGTTTAAACGTTCATAATTATACACTAAACCCTCTAGAAATATTAACAAGTTAAAAAGGCAATCGTAAACGATTTACAAAAAGCGCATTCCCACTTGCATTCATTTCCCATTTGTAAGATCCAACTTCTGTTAAAATCGTAAAAATCCGGCCACAAATATTGAAAGATAGCGTTGCATAGGTGCAATCCATTTTTGACGTGCTACTTCAATTTCTATTTAATTATAAGAAGAATTTCATTTCAATGCTTCCATAGATAAAAAAGTTGGCACTGCGCATGCGCAAAGCCAAATTTTGAAACTGGCGTTAGATTTTCCTTTATTCCAAGTGCCTACGTATCAAATTTCATTCCAATACTTTTATAAGTAAAAAAGTTTGCAATTCGGTTTATAAATGGTCGAGATGCGAAAAGGGCACTGTGAATTTTGAATCGATTCGACTCAACTTTTGGCATTGCGTATTATATGGCTAAAGCTATGCCCATATTGAATTTCATGCAATTCAGTTCATAACTAACGGAGATGTCAAAGCGATCGGACATTTCTAAACAAAGTTATCGTTCACACGGACAGATAGAGGGACAGACAGACAAAGGAACAGACGGACAGACCAACAGACAGACGACAGACAGCAATACAAAATTATAAACGATCTCTAGGATCGTTAATAAACGGCAAAAGTGTAAAATTATGGAACATGTAAAAAACGGTTTTTTGTTTTTTTTACAATAACTTTTTTTAGTAAACCAGAAAAAATTCCTTCCTTGGTACAAGACTCGACACCATAACGAACCAAATAGCGAAAAAAGTAGAACAATAGCTCTTAAGATAAAGAGCTAGTAGCATCTCAACGAACGAGCGGACGGACGGACGGACAGTGGCCACAATAGCGCATTTTTTTAAATTTTTGTGGAAATGCGCTAAAAATGTAAGATTATTTAACCTACCTAGGTACTAGATACGCCGAGTAAGAAATCATTTGTTTATTCGTTCCCTTACTTACAAGTATATGTGCCAGTGTCCATTAGAGTAAGTCCCTATTTTGATTATACTCCTCAAAGGTACCAATATTCCCTACACCGGGTGTCACCGAAACTACTATTCAGACGTGCATTTTAAAACGGCTTCAGGTGAAAAATTCGTATCGACGATAGGATTGAAAAATGTGCATATTATAAACAAAAAAAAAACAATTGACAGTCACTTCCGGTTTCACCGGAAAACAATCAGAATTTAGTAATTCAGAATGGCAACCCTAATATACAGCGTGCAACATCTAAGACCCCACCGATCATAATTCCTTTTCCATAAAGGTCATAACATAAAGGATAAATGTTGAAGCAAATTGTGCAGATTTACCATCACCATTGTTTCAAAAATATTTCTGGTCACAACTGGCGTGGTGTACCTACCTATTTCCAGATGGCAAATCAAACTTACGTTTTTTTTGTAAATGGAACATCCCATACTTTATTGAGGAATTGGAAACTACTTGAACAGTACTTATTAAGCGACAGAACAAAGCGATGTAAGCTTTATAGGGGAGTCGATGGTGTCCGTCCCGTCTGTGCGTCCGTGAACACGATAACTGTCAAACGCTTGGACCGATTCGGTTCAAACTTTGCACAATTGACCTAGGTATAGGCCACAAGTAATAAGCCTATTGAAAATGGGTCAAATCCAATGACCCCTTGGAGTCACGCCTCTCTGTCTCTGCCAAACGCTTGAACCTATTCGGTTGAAACTTTGCACAGCAGACTTATATGCCACATGTAACAAGTCTTTTGAAATTGGGTCAAATCCAATGACCCCGTAGGTCACACCGAGGTGCTCTGTCGCTTTTTTAGATGCTCGTGAACAGTGGCGTCTCTTCATTTTAGGAGCCCGTCTTCAAAAATATTTGAGGGCCCTTTCCCTTACGCTTAATTTAACCCCTTGGATTTCTAATGGTAACCATCTCACAACTATAAATGAAAATTCACTACAAATCCACCCCAGAAGATTTAGATTCTTTAACAAAGATAGCACCCTCATATCTAACTTCTGACGTTACTCGACTCAGACCTTTTAAAAAAAATTGATGGTTAGTGCTAGCTACAGGAATTGCTTGTGAAGGCTTCAGGAGTTGATTATTTTAAACAATTTATTTCTTCGCTGTTCAGCGTTTTTTTTTTGCTTTTCTCTTAGAGATCCCATTTTGACATTTTCGTCCACTCTGAGATGTTTGTTTAAAAAAAAAACCGTTGGTGTAGGTATATAAAGACACCGCTGGAGATACATTAACCTTTAAATACAATGCTGTCATTTTACAACAGTGTCACAATTCTTATATCAACCATTTTTAAACAATGTTAGTCTGTATATGCAGGAAATATTGTCTTGATTTAGCTTTGCTGATTTTGCATTATGAAGTTCCTACAGGCCCATTGTAAAATTTAGTGTCACTTTGTTTTCTACGTTCAATGAGAGTCCAGTTGATTTTGTTCGAACTTTAATTGTCAATATTTGTGCATTACAAAAGGTAATGCTCTTAATTGTAATTGTAATTCTTCATTTTATTGTGAATTGTATTGCCTTCACCTACTTGTAACTAGCGGTAGGTGACCCTTGAATTTGTTTGTTATTTGCTTGTTTCACTTTAAATGTTATTCTCATTTTTATTTATTTAAGATTGGCCAGTTAATGTTTTTTTGATGTTTAAACTCCTTTAGTTTGATTGGCGACTTCAATTCTTTGTGTATGAATCTGCGTTTTTTGACGTGCATGCTGGAGTGTTTACATTCTCGAAATACAACTTCTCGTAGCCGGGACCTTCGGATACCTTCTGGATTGAAGAAGGTCCCGCTAATTAACAAAGTATTTCATGTACTTTATGTAAGAAACTTCGGAATGTTATTTTTCACAACTGGGAATGGAGTGGAGTTGCTTTTCAATCTATTTGAGCTGGCTACTTTTGAGCATATCAAATTTTGTATTAGATTAGAGTCAAATTTAAATTATTCAAATTCAAGAGTTACTTCTTCGGCCCTTTTTATGTTGGGGCCCGTCCTCACTGCGTACCTTTGAAGCATTGTAGTTACGCCACTGCTCGTGAAAAGGAATGTAAATTGGTTTAGAAATTAATGTTTTATCTATCATTCCTATTTTAATTAATCAAAAAAATAAGATATCCTCAGATTAGGGGTTTATTTTTTGTGTAAGCCTTCGCCTTCGCTGTTATAACCTTCTTTCGCCTTAAAAGTTAAGTGTTTTTTGAATGTTTTTTAGAGAAACTAAATCGCACAGGCATCTTCCACTTTTACATAATTTTGTTAGGTCCTTTATTGAAAATTGAAAATATTAGAACGCTTTCAGTCGAAAATTCTAAGAACAATAACTAATGCTCCGTGGTTTATACCGAACAGAGAAATCTTAGAAGACTTAAAAGTGAAATCAGTCAAAGAGGAAGTGAGTAACTATAGCGAAAAGTATGCGTAACTAAACTTGAAGTACATCCAAATCCACTTGGCCTAAATTTGTTAGATAATAGTGAGGACACGCACAGGTTAAAAAGACAAAAAAACTCTCGACTTGCCCTCGAGATTTAAGTAAATGTAACTAAATAAATAATTAGTAATAACCATAGCCTTAGTATATGTACCTATATATGTAGAGTAATTAACCAAGTTGTTGTCATTGGACAAAACTTTCGTGTCCACTGCAACGCATAGGTACCTACACATTGCAACATATTTGCTTATAGTAATGTAAATTATACTGATTGCAAATAGAAATATAAAAAAAAAATTATTGAAAAAAGAAAATGTTTCATTGCGACCTTCGCCAATAAATGCCAATAGAAATATTTTAGAAACATGCCGACGGTATACCTAATTTCTCATATATTTTTTGTTATCTTTTATGGTAGGTAAAGGAATTATGATTCAGGGGTCTTAGAAGGTATACACCCTGTATTATTGCATAAGTTTTTTTTTTTTATGTAGGTACTAGGTATACCTAACCATGCGCCTTAATATTATTATTAGGCAAACTTATAATACTTTTGGACCTGTGATTTGTACTTTAATCATGATCCCGACCTATAACCCTCCAATGGCACAATAAGAAAAAGGATTTAAACATTTTAAAAAAATCCATATTTTTTAAGTACGAGAGCATAGTGAAAACGCAGCAACCGTTTTACTCGCCCGCCAGGTGCGAAATGCGGTTAGTGATTCGATTTTTGAATGCAAAAAAGGTTTATCTGATAGACATTCATCGCCAGTTAGGGGAAGTGTACGGTGAGAAGTGTATAGACATAAAAACGTGCGGAAGACGAAGAGGTGCCGAGAAAACGTCCACGATAAGCAGCAGTCGGGACAGAGAACCGGAGAATAAACCTTCATGAGATAGTGTGGCTAATTTTTTATTAAAAAATAGGAGACCTTATACTTTTCAATACGCCCTCGTAAGTATATCGTACATCAAGTTTAAACTTTGATCGATGTGCATTTGAAATGACATACTATACGCAATCCTATAGTTTTAACGAGCATACTTACAGCGAGAGCAACTGCTTTCGTGTGGGCATGTGTCTTCCCCTTAAAATGGTGAAATGTAAGTAAACTTAGTTCAGTCACGTGTTAATTCATTTAATGTGTGCCATAATGGTCCAGTGACTAAAATACTCGGCTTGCACCCTGACGACTCGGGTTCGCTTCTTTGACGCGAACACTTTTTATTTCAGAAAAATGCCTACCCAATGCAGGGAGACATTAAGTTAAGTAAGTATTTGTAGGTTTAGATTATCTTCTAAAATTTTTTGAAAAGCAAACTACACCAAATGCCCAGGAGGAAGCTGTAACTCTCTGTAAGCGCTCGTCTAGTTTTATCGTACATCCATTTATAAATAGGATATCCACATTCCACATTTTTCATTTCCTGTTCTTTCCGTTACTGAAATTAACTGTATGTAGGTACATAGATCTCAGATGAGTGGATTTAATGTTATGCTTTTTGTACCTTTTGCATATGTGAGATTAGGTACAATAAAATAGGTATCAATAGGTACCTGTAGGAGCTGTAGCTAAGTATTTAATTAAAATGGATTGTCTAATGCTTTGAATATATACATATATAAATAACTATCGCAATTTTGATCTCGCAAATTTGCGTCTTGTGTAGAAGAAGGACCATTCCAAGCAAAATCAAAATTTTGAACAGAAACGTAACAAACGGCCAAAAAAAGGCAGAGAGAGACACGTTTTAAACTGCCAAAAAAACAAGTTGAACAGGAGTTTGTAATTTTTTTAATAAACCAGCAAAAAATCAATGCCTTTTATATGGATACGTTTTGAGTATGCGTTGCATTATTGGTCACACCGTTTGGGCGTGACCTGGCGGAATTTAACACGCCTTCTGAGATTTCCCGATATGGGAGAGTGGTGGGGGTAGTAACATAAAAGAGCAGGTCAGGATTCGATCAAATTCACTAAATAGAACTAACCTTTTCTTGTTGCATTTGCTGCTTCATCAGTATCGTTTTTTTCTTATCCTTGCATCGCTTATTTTGAAACCAGACCCGTATTACGCGCGGCGAAAGCCCGGTCATTTCGACTAATTGTTCTTTCATAAGGGCGTCCGGTCGAGGGTTGGCCGCGTAACAAGTTCGTAGCGTGTGTAATTGTTTTTCGTTTAGTACAGTTCGCACCCTTGTCGGTTTACCGTCACTGCCGCTATTTGCTTTTCTAGGTCCTCCTCCCTTGTGTGAACCACTTTCCGAGCCAGAATCTGAAAAAAAGATTGATGATATAAGTAACAAAATCACTGCAATGAAAGAGAAGTTTACGAGCAAAAACACATTACATTCAATCCCTAAATGGAAGCCCTTTATTTAATCCCGAGCGAGTTCTGATCCCGGTGATCCCGAGGGGTTTGTTTACTTTATACTACCCTGTACACTTGACCACTAACTTATTCAGCATTATTTCATTCCGCAATGTCGAGGCTGGATCCAGTTTTTATTTACCTACTTTTGTTGGGGTTCTTTATATGAAGAAAAATTTTGCCTAAAGATTGTAGAAGTATACCTATATGTAATGTAAAGGATACTGGATATTTATATCAAAATGTTTCCAGCGGAATACGGGAAATTAAACCGATCCGGTAACATTTATAGTTTATATTCTCATCGCCTGCCTCTTCAAAAAATTACATCGACTGCAATAACGCAAATTGATATATATATAATACGGGGGGTTTTTATATTCCCGACCTGAGCTTTTTTTAACAAAACAATTGCAACATCCTATATAGGTATTACCTAATTTTGTTAGGTATATGTCAGTTTGTGCCGTCGGGTGTTGTATAGGTATGTAGGGGAGGTATTGAAATGAATATAAAATCGAGTACCGGGTTATACAAAACAAGGGCAATCTCTAAAAATTATACTTGGAGAAATGTTGGCTGATGTATAGGTATACGGTACGGGGATGATTGTCTTTCTAAGTCAACTACTTGCGAGTGGTCAAAGTTTAAATTTTTTAAGCTGAATTTTACTTTGAATACCACCCCCACTCGCCCTTTCTCTTATATACAAGGTGTTCCTAAATATGATGTAGGTAATTCTCCGCTCTAATTCTTTGCTTATTTTATGACTAAAAGTTCATATAAATATACCTACGTACGTAAACGTGTGGTTACGGATGTACAATACAAGGTGTTAAAATTTCAAGATTTTCGAGTTTTTTCTTTACCTAGGTATGTCTCTTGCAGTTACGCTAGAGGACTTACATCATTGGTCCTGTCAGTGGTAGTGAGAATCTACAGGGTGTTGTTTTTTAGGGATCACGTTCCATTTTCTTCAATTGTTTTTCCATGAGCCACTGGTAGATACCTATACTTAAATTATAAAATAATAATTCGATTTTATAGTTTATTTAGAAACTTTTTGGTCTCTTGTAATTTTTTCGTATTTGCAACCGTTATCGAGTAAAAAAATAAAAATCATTTTCGGATTTCGGTAGTTAGCTAAATGACAGTAAGTAAATTGTTAAAATGGTCCAGTAGGCCCTGGTTTTATTTGGATAATCTCTTGTTTTTATTAGCCTTGACAGTTCGCAATTGTATCTTGTATCTTGTGTTTGCTTATGTTTATAAATTAAAGATTTAATTTGTAAAGTATACGTACGGTGAAATTATAACACCCTGTAGATCGGTAAAGAAGCGTTTGGACCTATGCTTATATGAACCTTTAGTCATAAAATAATCCAATCGAAATTTAAATCATTATAATGTAGCATTAAGTCAGTATTGTTGATTTTGGAAGACTTTTTGGAACTAAAATCAACGGAGTCAGGTTTAAAAGAAAAATAGTCTAACGTAAAAACTAAAAAAATTTGAAAAATCTTGAACAAAACCTTTGATGTTAGGTATAGGGAAATGTAGGTATCAGATGACGTAGATTTTCATGTAGATTTCGAAAATGCAATAAAATACAGGGTGTTCTATTTAAAATAAGAAAGTTGCTATCCACATCCGGTATAAAACCAGAAGTGAAACGATCATGATATCTAATATTTTCTTTCTATAGAACATGAAACATTATGTTGGGAGTGCAAATTTTTAGGTTTAAATTATTAATGAGAGCCTGGACTAAACGTTACGTTGCGACCGCATTTTTAACTTTTTTGAACAAGCAAACTTTCGCCTTACGGTGCTCGTGCTAAAAAACAACAATACTATGGTGCCTATTCCAATTTAATTACACGATATCCTCCCTCTCCCAATATCCGCGTTACACAAAAAGAAAGAGAGATGATTGCCTTTAACTTTTTCGGATCTCAAATATAATGCACAGAAGGGGTTGTAGGAAAACCCGGAAAAACCACCCCAGAGGATTCACCCAAAGATATTTCGCACAGGTAGGTACCTATACCTAACGTGTCCCATTTTAGTTGACACTGCAATTTTCAAAGATAGAGGTTTTCGCGACCCTGTGCCACTTTTTTTGTGAGCCACACATAGAATCAATCTCGCTACGTTTGTTTCGGATGTACAGGGTGAAACGAAAAAGTTTGACTTTTTTGGATGTTATCACATCTTGAAAAAAGGTAAAAACGTTTAAAGTAGAATCCAGTGGCGTAGTAAAAAAAATGTTTGTCCTCCGTTTCTGACATTTGACCCAAAGTTGGTATTTTTAAATGTAACACCCAGTACCTATGTCTTAACGTAAATTTGTTTGCATTATTTTTCCTGATTACATTGATGTATCACAACCTATATTTTTTTTTAAATTTTAGCCATGAACCAAAAATAAAAACCTTATTTTTTACGGTTTTTAAATAGTAGGCCATGGAGTTATTGAGATTTTGTTTTGTTTATTAGGTATATCCATGGCAGCCGAAACAAATCAATAAAAATGGCTGACAGTAGAAACATACCATTTCAAAATTTTGAAAAATATGATAATTATAATATATAGGTTTAATGTACCTATATAAAAAAATATAGGTCGTGATACATCAATGTAATCAGAAAAACGAATACAAAAAATTGACGTTAAGATATACAGGATGGTGCATTTAAAAATACCAACATTAGGCCAAATCTCAAATATGGTGGTCCAAACTAAAAACCAAAGTTTCATAAAAATTTGGCATAGGTCCGCGAAAACCGCAACTCTCTATCTTTAAAAATAGCTGAGATACACTGCAGTGTCAACCAAAATAAGACACACGGTACATTGAAACAAATGCAACCAAACAAATGCAAACAAATTTTCTGTGGCTAGTATAGATACCTCAATGCAATACTAATGTGCGGGAGGTAAAAACCGTATATACCCACCAGACGGGACTGAAGTGCGTCCTAATCTCTCAGGTGCTTCTTGGTGTACAACAATTTGCACCCCCGAGATTGAAACAGGCACTTTATGTCCCTTGGTATAATTACATATTATACTATTCAGCATCTTATATATTTCATCAGGACTATATGCGGTAAATTATTCCCTGGAAACTGACCTGGTAAATTCACCCTCGAAGGTTGCACCAGATTATTCGTCACCTGAGTCCTCAACGATCACTCGCGTATCATTTTCCCCAAATAAATTCAGGTCATGGAAAATTCATTCCTATAGACTCAACCCAGATATATTTTTAGTTAAGTACGCCTAGTATCGCAAACCTTTCCCGACAAGATTATTTGGATTAAGTACCTATTAAGAAAAAAAACTGTAGGTAACTTGAGATTTTCTTAATTTTAATTGTCCAGCGCCTGCGTGCGGGACAATATATCTAAACAGGCTTTGTAAACCCTTCTTTCTTACAGGGATTTTGTTTTAATTCCCTCATGTTTTTCGGAAAAAATATTTGCCACTGTCAATCAATTAATTGTGTGGTTATTCAAATCCAAAGTGCGACCCCGATACAGTTTTCGTGCCAGATTTTTCTATTCGTGCCGAAGATTTATTTCAAATGTTGATCAAAATTTGTGTAATAAATTCTTTAGAATTGTCGGAAGTTCATAGAGGCCACCGAGTCTCTCAAATTGCAGCACCTATAAAATGAGTATCTGGAGGATATAGGCGTAGTGCTTGCAAATCTTTATAAAAGCGGGTCTATTATTATTATATACAATAAAACTGATTTTTTTTGTTTAGTTGATACGCATTGACTAGAATAAAGAAATAAGTTAAACACAAAACTAATACTAAATAATAAGTATATAGTAAAGTTTTTGTATAATTATCATTACCATGTAAAAAAACATTTCGAGGAATGTTTACGAGGTGTAACAAATTAAACCAAAATTGTCTACAGTGTTAACGATACAACTTAATTAATCAAATAATAGCAAGGTCCAAAATTAACTAATGTGGGCACATAAACATTTTCATTTTTTAAATTCAAGGTTTGAGATTAAACATTTAATGAATATTTACACAATTACCTAGCTGGGTACTTATGTAATGTAAACAATTTCTTAATGTAATTTTATTGTTAATTGTGCGAACACTTAGATCCCGATGCCAATGTAGATACATATTAAATTACTTTACAGTTACGGAACAAGCGTATTGTAAAAATTTTGAATGTGATTATTATGCAAAAATATAGTTCCTTACATCATTTCCAACGTTATTTCGTACTTTCCGCTATTTAGGTCGCTGAGACTTCATTTTTTGTTTATTTAGAAAAAAGTACCTACTGCTTAATTTCACAGTGTTTAGGTTTATAGAATATACAATGCAAACTAAGCTCATGTACACCCTCTATAGAGGTGTCACTACTATTTGAAAGTTCCATAACACTTGTTTCTTATACGTTTACGGGGGATCAGAGCCGGATTTATAATGACGCACAGTAATGAGGCCCGTGCCTTTTTCCATAGACGCGCTAAAAGTACGAAAAATTCGCTTTTTGTGGAAGAGTAGAATAGAGGCGGTGTTCATCGGCTGAGCTGCTCTTCCACTCAACCTCTATATTGTAGTAATAAATAGAAAATCAACAAAAAAATTATATAATAAGAGAACAAGTGAATGTACTGCTTGAAACAAAGAAAAATGATGCTTAAGGCTCATTTTAGGAGGCATTTTTTGTATATCCCATCCATTGCAATTTGTAATACATAGGTATGGTATGAATATCTATTAGTCAACAGTTATTGTTAACTTCATACGCAAATCGATTGCTGCCTGCTGGCCACGCTATTGCTAACTTCACGTGAGTATAGAGCTTTGGAAGAGGACAAGGTAATATATGAGTACCTACGATTTAATGTAGTTTTAATCAGATAGTAATGTTTCGAGATTAAATTAATCCAATGAAGTTCAATCGCCTTGGGATTTCATACTAGAAACTGGATTGATTCTCTGAGTGCGAGATTTTGCGTTTATCCTTATACTATAGATCACACAGTGCTCTCATTTTGTCCTACGGGAATAAAATGCGCCAAACTCTAAATCTAGATATACATGCAAGCGAATTTCAAATTATTACAAATGATAGATTAATACCGAGGTATTATAAACTAAAATGCATTCAATGCAAAGATGTAAAGGATGATTCACCCTTGAGTAATCAAAAATTTATAGAGGGTGAAAATGTAGCTTTGTAATGGTCAGTAGTTCACGCCTAATATAATCCTTTCCAAATCATCGCGTGGACTAAATTATAATCCCTTAAAACCGACCCCATCCGTTTCGCTAATGGACATCAATAAAGAATAATTTAGGTGGAGGAACTTACCGGACATGCATCCCAATTCCGTGCTTGTACTACTATGGTTGTTATTACTAAGGCTTGTGTTATTGTTACTTTCTGTTCCCGGATGTGGCGTCGACGGCGCCGACGTCTTTTCCATGACGTCGTGGTCTTCTTTACAATACAGGGCTCCGCCATCTCTAAGTGCAAACTCGTCGCCCGGCACAAGCTGTCGCGCACACGCCGAACACCGAAAGCACTCTATGTGATATATTTTACTTTTCGCACGCATCACAAAGTCATTTTTACTAAACGAGGAACCGCACTTGTCGCACTTTGTACCAAATAACCTAAAACAATGAAAAAATCTATAAGCATTAGAGTTTAAACATTTGAATGTTTGAAAAATGAAAATGGACACTTCTACGTTAGCTGTTTATTTCAAATTCACTATAGCAAAACCTTTATTTGTGTCATTTCACCATTAACATTTTCGATAGTTTGTGTTTTAATGGCAAGCACGTAAAAATTTAAAAAAAGACACAAAGCATCGCATACGTACGATTTTCAGTAGGGGAATTTTTTGTCATGCAGCTGGTATTTGGAAACCAGACTTTTAATTCGGCTCATGAATAATTGAATAATAGCACTGATCCTTGAACTCGTAGAAATCGATTCTTTTTTCTTTTCGTTCTCTTAGTTAGACGAGGAACAGACGGGCAGACGGACAAAACTATAATCACATAGGGAATTTTTTTTCTTTCGAAAAACTGACTGCTTCAATTTCACATTTGTCATAGATCTGCATTAACGAAATTTTTTTAAAAAGAAAAATGTGCGCTACGCTGAGCGTTTTGTCCGTCCGTCCGTTAATTCCTTCTATATCGAGACAGAAAACAGCTATCGAGCTTGAAACTTTAACAAATTGATTTTTACGAGTTTCAGGTTCGAACCAAAATTGGCTTGACGAAGTACTTATAAAATGCTAAATAAAAATAAAATGCATCCTTTTTTTAGTAGCTAAACTGTCCTGTCCACCAAGATGTTTGACTGGGGAATAGCTCCTGGATTATTCCATTGAATAAAAACACTTTTTATTCAATGATTATTCTTTGTTGTAACATAGTACCACAAAGAATGGATGGTGATTGTTTGAATCTTTTGTACTCGATTGGCCAAGAATGGTTCCAGTAATTCTGGCCCAGTGCTTATCCAATGCAACTTGAGAATCACACCAATAAAATAATTCAGCATCTCGATTGATTTCTTTTTGGACACGTTGTATTAGCTCTTCCGCTTAATTCCAACTGCGGGATTGATTGTTGCTTTGAGAGAAGAGATTTTGAAGATACCAAACTCACGAAATGAATGTCGATGCATCTGGTATAGATACATGCACCATAAGCGCGTGGTGATTAGTGGCAAAATTCATGATTAGCCTCATATCGTTGCAAAAAATTCTTCTTGGTATCTTGATAGAGTTCAAATATGGCAATTCTGTGTAGAATTTACGCCATTCTTCAATTATATCGTGTTGTAGGTCCTCGTGCCGTTCAATATTCATAATCCATAACTTTTACATTAACTCCTTGCACCAAACAATTACAAACCTTGAACCGAGAGGGATTTTGCATGTATCATATGCCCCAAGCCAAGGCTTTGGGTGCCGATAGACAACGGTATTCCCCACTTTGAATTCCCGGTATGACACTCCTAAAGTGTAGCTTTTACAGGGGGGGGGGGGGGATTTCAAACGTGTCACTTAAGGCCCGCCATACTGACAGGAACGTGCAGTTTTTACACTGAGGACATGAATTATGGGCCTCGCGCTGTTGTTTCGTGATTTTTGTTAACAATGAACTGAAGAACAAAGATTTTAAAACGCCATACCTCTGGAGCGTCGAAAAGTAGCCGCCATAATGGGGCAGACATGTCATTTTTCGCAATGAACATGTATAAAATAGATACCGGTATGGTGTTTTGGTTTTAAAATATTCTGTTGTACCATTAAAATAAAATACTAAGGAAGGATGGTTACATACATATAACGTACGCTTGTTGGGATCCAATTAGGCTTTACAATATGGACGACTTTGGCAATTAGGTGACACTTACGGTAAAGTAAAACATAATAGAAGAAACGAAAATTATAGATCATAGGTGGTAACCATGTTATATTTCTTAAAATGGTTCTCTTTCATGATACCTAGGTAATTTGATTCATTTTATAGGTTGTCATATCGATCCATTAGCGTAGCTATAGGTAGTATGTAAAACAACATTTTGAAATAGGTACATCTATTTTTCAGATTTCCTTTAGACAGTGAATAACGAGATCAATGGATTTCGTTTATAGGAAGAAATCTGTTTGTAGTAAAATGTGTAATTTCAGTATTACCCGCAAAAAAATAAAATATATATGTAAATGTATGTATACGCCACTGCACGTATGAACGTCCGCCATATTTAGAAGCATATAGGATCCTATAGCTAAAAATATACCGGGTGAATATTTTAAAACCGAACATAGGCAATTAACATGGGAAAAAACGTTTTTTGCAGATCCACGTTAACTTAGGGTTTTTAATGACACCAATCAAAAGAAGATTTTTTTTCTCCAACCACCTGAATAAGACGCTATTTTGTGACAGTGTTCGGTACGTAAAATTGACGTTTTGCGGATTAATCGCTTTCACCATGGCAACTGTACAAAAAGTGGATACTTTTGGTCCTAGTACCAAAAAGAAATTGACCTTGAAAGTTGGCCAATTAAAAAATTACAATCACGGAGATATGTCACATTGACATCGTTTTACATTGCAGGTTGTAAGATATTTCTATACATACAAATCAAATATTTTTGCAGATTCAATGCAAATAATGATGTTACCTATACGTATGTACATGTATTGAAAATGATTTACGCTCGCTATTTTTATTTAAACCATGTGTAACGTCGTAATTTACATATTCGGTGAACGTAATTTTAATACGTATACAACCCGGCGTCGCGCGTAACGCCATCTACTTCAGACCCATTGCACTATTATCTGTCGTTTTGAATTCAAAATTTGAAAAAGTTAATTGCAATTAATTTTAATTAAAAAACTGTATGGTAAGTTCTTTATTTCAATACAAAATATAACAATATTAATTTTGTATACCTACAATAGAAATGACTGAAACTGATAGCGACATGGATTGCACTCCGCCAGAGACTATAGAAACGGCAGAACATGCTACCTCAAGATTTGCTCCCTACAAAGTCGCGAGAGGTGAGAAGTAAGAACGAATAGGTTATAAGTTCACCTAAAAACTAGAGTGGCATGACACGTGAGGACAAGAAAGCAGAAATTCTTATACTAGTAGTGAAACTGACTGAATCTAAATTCGAATATAATTTGAAGTAAAGGGGGTTGGAGAAAAAATTTTATGTTTTATTCGTACAAAAAATGCGTTTTCGGGACTCGGAAGGTTGCTGGACTCCGCTGACGCGTCGTCCAGCAACTATCTTCCTCGTCCCGAAAACTGACATTTTTTGTACTAATGAAACAAATAACTATTTTCTCATCTAATGATATACGAGTTAGTTTATTTTCAGGTGTATTTCTCATTATTTTATCAAAAATTCAAATTAAATTCAATTAGCAAAATCATGTTAAGCCATGGAAATTTCCTAAAGAATTGAAATAGGTTTTCACACAGACGGAATGGGACGCTCATTAAAATGCACGGAAAACAAATATCGCGTACTAGAGTAAGTAAATATTTCCGCTGTAAACATTGTTTCTTCTAAGTACTTTTTCCTCATGTCAACCGCATTTTACAAAAAAATTAATGCCAGTTGTCATAAACTGATATTGATTTCGACGTTTGAATCTGCTTTTTGCCCTACTATTACTAGTCATAGCTTAACATGATTTTGGTAAGTGGATTTATTGCCGAATTTTTGATAAAATAATGAGAAATACACCTGAAAATGAACTACTATAATTCGTATATCATTAGACAAGGAAAAAAATCTTCTTTCGATTGGAGTCATTATAAACCCTCTCAGTTAACATGATGAGCAACTTATCTACAAAAAACCTTTTTCCCATGTTAATTCCCGATGTTCGGTTTGAGAATATTCACCCGGTATAAGCTTCTTCCTTAGTCTTTTATTTCAATGGTTGTATCACATTTAGCGGGGATTACAATGCCATACCGAAAGCGTGTCGCTAAAGGGGTGACATACCGAAAAAACTATTTTTTTAGCGACACTCTGGAATGGCCGGGAAGATTTGCTTCCAAGAGGCAAATTTTAGGGGGCGGCAAATTTGGCCCAAACTGTTTTATCTTACACTTTTTTTTCATTTTGACTATGAGGTTTTTCTAAACCGTAAGAGGTACGAAGTCGCTTGAAAGGGCAAAGTTATGCAGAATTTTATGTGGTTAATTTTCCCTTCAAACTCCTTATACGTTTATAGCGAAATTATGGCCAAAAAAAAAACCGAAAAATGTAATTTCCGAGAAAATATGAAAAATAAACCCCTAAAGCAGATCTAAAAAAGCGACAGAGCACCTCGGTTTGACCCTACGGGGTGATTGGATTTGACCCATTTTCAATAGGCTTGTTACATGTGGCGTGTAGGTCAACTGTGCAAAGTTTGAACCGGATCGGTCCAAGCGTTTGGCAGTTATCGTGTTCACGGACGGACAGACGGACACCATCGACTCCCCTATTACATCGATTAGGTATGTTGCTTAATAATGTTAACCACACTCAGTGAGATTAATTACCGAATGAAATACTAATTATTTGGTATCTCCGATTTTGTAATTTTTTTCTCTACCTAGTGTAATCAAATATGGCGTCTATAAGGAATAATAAAGTTGATGTAAAAAGATGGGAAAAAATCACTAAGGGTTTGTTAAACCATTTTGAAATCTTTGAAAATAAGTGAAACCCAGGTCGCCAACGCAATCTCGAAATAGTATATTTCATTACCTACCAGTCCAGAAAGTCATGCAAACACGGGAAAAGCCTTTCTGGAAGTGCAATGAACGATATTTTTCGGTTTTTTGGCCAGACTACGTAATTTGTTAGTTATAAGAAATTTCGAAACGAAAATTAATTAGCATAAATTTCTGCATAACTTTGCCTACTTAAGTGACTTTGTGTCTCTTCCGGTTTGCGAGATTGACAGTCTTACATATTTTATGTCTAATGAACACTGCCATGCATAGTGATTTTTCTAAGGTTTCTAACGATGCCAAAATCAAATTTTTATGAGTGGTGGGTTTCGAGTAAATTCTTCTTCCTTATGGACGCCATATTGGATTTTTACATTAGGTAGAGCAACAAATTACAAAATCGGAGATACCAAATACTTGGTACCAAAACCTATTAGCTCGACTGCACTTCCTGTGTGTTTTTTAACCTCACTTGGTACCTATTTCATTCGGAAATTAATCTTTAATTTTTGCATTGAAGTTTACAATGTATTTCTTATGGCCATAACCCCATGGCCATGCTGATGGACACTATGCCTGACAATAAACGAAAAATGTTAAATAATTTTACGCAAGCCATGGAATTATTGCTATAAGAAACACATTATAAACTTCAATGCGAAAATTGAAGATTAATTTACGAATGAAAAATTCTGCATAACTTTGCCTGCTTATTTAAGTGACTTCTCTTCCGGTTTACGAGATCCCACACAGTGAAAATGAAAATCAGATGCCAAATTCCTGATAGAACAGCTTCCTAGCTCAAACCATATATTAAACAAAAAATTGTCAACAGTCTTACATCCTTTATGCCTAATGAACACTGCTAAAATTTTAACGGAATCAAAATAACCGTTTTGCTTTTTTAACTTAGAAATTTCGTTCTTCGTTTTTTTTTGTAATAAATCCTACCATAATTTTTGTAGGTTGTACACAGGACAAGAAAGTCTTTCGAATAGTTTAACAGACATTTTGCATTGCTATTTGGAAAATAAAGTTCGATGCCTTTACGGCGCTCCAAAAATTTTTTTTCAAAAAAAAGGTGAGCGCAATCGCCACCGAGCGCAAGCTAGGAAGCTGAAAAACTCACCCTGTATAACTAAAGAAAACGAGTCTCTAAAATTTAACAAAAACCTCAATTTTTTAGACTGTAGTGCAGTATACTGGAAGACTCTAACGTCTATAGGTACCTATATGAAAAATTACTAAAAGCTCTGTAAAGTATACTTTTGAGATCATGAATTTTTAAAATATTCCAATAGCGTTCCAATATTACAATTTAAATTAGGAGTTTCGTGTAAAGTGTGTTTATATTGGTATAAGAATTTTTAAAGCATACCTTACTGCACCTTATAATAAACCCATAAAGAGCGTCTAAAAAAGTGGCAGAGCACCTCGGTGTGACCCCACGGAGTCAATGGATTTGACCCATTTTCAATAGGCTTATTACTTGTGGCATATAGGTCAACTGTGCAAAGTTTGAACCAAATCGGTCCAAGCGTTTGATAGTTATCGTGTTCACGGGCGGACAGACGGACATCCATCGACTCCCCATAAAGCTTGCATTGCTTTGCTCTGCCGCTTAATAATCACTACCTACACGATTGAGCTTTTTTTATCTCAGAAGTTCCCAAAAAAAAAACTGACACAACGATCCCCTAGTTCACAATAATCATGCGGGAAAAAGCTATTGTAATGAAGACCATAGAGCACAAATCAAAGTTGCAATTTCTTTGTCAAGAATAAATGTAATTAATATTGCGAACTAGGGTATCGATTTTCAATTATAGTCAGTAGGAGCGGAAAAAATGGAATAGTCTACTGGCGGTAAATTTGTAAATCCGCGCCACTGGGTATAGCAGTGGGGCCTTTAATACACTTAACGTATAAAAATGTGACAACTTTGGTCTTTGGAAGCCAATATCTGACGTTGGCAACATCCCATCGTAATGGCACTTTTAGAACTTTGTTCAGGACAAAAAGTGAGAACAAAGGAAACACATTTTCATGGTGGAGCGTATTATACATGTTCATTGCTAAAAATGACACGTTTTCCCCATTATGGCGATGCCCCAGAGGTAGGTATGGCGTTTTTAATTCTTTGTCTATTACTGAGCCGGGATGCAACAGACGCAATGGATCGAAAATTTTTGCTATTGCTGACGATATACGTCTTTTGGTTGTCACAATGTTGTTTTGAAAAAGATCTTAGTTCAGTGACAAGAAGAATCTGCTGCGACACCATGAGACTTCCAACAGCATCGTATCTTCACTTTCAATCACCAACTTCGGTTCGTTCGGCGTACTGGCTACGATGGAGGTAATCAGCTGAGTGCTATTATTTAGATGTCCATTTTCGTAGTCGAAATTCGGCTTCAAGAAGAATAGCATTAATTTCCTGCTGGATACTGAAGAGCTTTTCCAAGCCGCCGTTGCCTGTTGGAAGATCATCTACGCGTATATGTCTTCGCGAATTGATCGTGCAGCCTCTAGTTGTCGTTTTGCAATTGTCTGAGACACCTTGTACCTAAGTAGGGTGCAGAGAATGTTCAAAAGGTAACTGTTCTTAGCTCATACTGATGAAGTATCGAATCTCCATAGTATGCGCCGGAATTTTCTATCTTCCAGATGGACGCAGACTTGGAGATAGGTACCTACATCTGAGTGATCAGCTGACATGAGGAACTTGTGAAGACGGAATCGCTAAAGAATGGAAACTGCTTCCTGTTGAACTACGGGTCCGGTTGCTCGAATATCGTGTCATGACTTTATTGTTGAGCCGTCAAACACAATTCTTAACTTCGTTGTTAGACTATTATGGAGTATCACACCATGGTGAAACAGAAAGTCATCTCTCTGCCAACGGCAATAGCATATAACCTCTTCCTGGTAATTGAATATGTTGAAACCAGTTCGCTAGGAGATATTTTGAATGGAATCTTTATCATGAATCGTTCGCTGGAAGTTCTAGAGTAATTGGCCAAAAAAATGTTGTTAACAAACGAAAAGTTTATACCCGGCGACGACCTATCCCGGCGACTATTGCTTTCTCTGCATCCGTTATTCCGGCAATGCACACTTTCCTAACGGCGTTTATTTAACCTCATTTGTATTTTGTTTTTTTACATAAATAATGATATACCTACATTAGAACAAGTGGTCAAAGTAGGTACCGAAATAGGTGTATTATTGACGTATTGTAATTAATTCTTAGAAATATAGGAAACCGAATATACCACAATTGCCCTAGGTGCAAAGGACACATTTTTAGAAAATTACCTATTGATCTACGCGAGTAGCTACTTGAAAACTTTACCTACCTATAAATGGCATAATTTCAATTTGATAATTATAGTCCCTATTCAGATTGTATTATATCTAGAAAGAAAAAATCCCAGTCTATAAAAATAAGAAAACTTAATTCCGGTGAATTGTTTCAATGTAATAAACATGAATATGATTCATGTGTTTAGCGCGTCTTAAATATTTTCCATCCCTCACGATCTCAGAGTTCAAATTACCGAGACTATCGAAGCCGGGAAGGAAATGGTCGCCGGGATGGCTTGTCGCCTGAAAATCAGTGCCCGGATGGTTATCGCCGGGATGGGAATCGCCGGGATGACCGTGGCCCGCTCCAAATGTTATGTACAAGGTTATCATAAAGTAAGGGATATATTTCAGACTATTACGTATTTTTAACAAACTAAGTTAACAACAGAATAAGAAACGTAACCTGGGCTGTGGTGAATTTTTCATCTGTGGCAGAGATGGGAATGTCCTTAGATCAGTTTAGAGCATTTTGCCAGCTACTCCGAATTAGGTTTTCCTGCAGTTTTCCTACTTCGTAATGTAAATACCGGCGTAGTATAGAACGTTATTGTATACCCCTTACTATTGACCCCATATATCACACTCTGCTCATTTTCTCTCAGGTTTTCCCGAAGTTTTCCTGTCGAACGCATCTCACGTTCTGAATCTACTTTCAAACTCTTCTAAAGCTCCCCATCCAACTCCTTGTCATTTTATTTTTAAATATCTGGTAAAGTTCTCCTTAAACTTATCCGAAGTTCCCAAAAAATTCTTTTCCAGTTCTTCTTAAATTACTTTCACGTTCACTTCTTAATTTCTTCTTCGATCTTTTCTCAAGCCAAGTTCATTACATTCTTCCCAAGTTCTTCTCAAGTTCTTATGTGCTCTTAAGTTTCTGCTCAAATTCTTTTCAAGGGATTTTTATGTATCGTCCATCTTTTCTTAAGCGTCCCGTTCTGTTTTCAAGTTACTTTCGGGTTCTCTAATTTCCCTTCTCGTCAAATGCTTCTCCGACGTTTTAGGATCGTATCCAATTCCCCTAAAGTTCTATGTTCTTCTATAAGCTTCTCTCTCTATTTCCTAGGTATTCAAATTTAAATTCTTGATAACTCCACAAACGCCCGGGTGCATATTTGTAAACGACAGACGCGCGCGAAAATTTACCCTTCCCCACAGCGATTTCGGAATGGGAACTCACTTTAATTATGATTGAATGTGTGCCACATTGGTCTAGTGGAAAGGATACTCGGCTTGCAACCGAATCGGATTCGATTCCTAGCATGAAAATTTTTTAAAATCTTTTTCAAAAATGCGTGGACATTAGGTTGGATAATTTTTGGGGTACTTACGAAGACTGAGTGTTGGAAAGGCAGGTATACCTAAGCAAAAATGAACACTAAGTCCAATCGAAAGAAATCTGATTAAGTAAGGCACCCAATAAACAACTAGCTATCGATACAGCAAAATTATACAGAAATCAAAAGTAGTGGCGATGGACTCGAATACCAATAAAATACAGGAATGGAGGAAACTCATTATTTCGACTAGAATTAATGCAAATATGTGGTTGGATCTAATTATCGGCACCGAATTTTGTAGGTGACAGGGGCCGAACGACTTGCACAACGTTGGCAATTATAAACCTGGCAGTTGTTTTATTTAGGCAAACGCAGAAGCTCTCAGTTTTTGAATTTAGTGATGTCGTACATCTTGAACATCTTGTGTGGTTTGGTTTGTTGACGGTAACTTGAGAAGTCGAGTTGATTTAGCGGGACCGCGATTATGCAGGCCAAACGTTAGGTTAAAATTTTAACACATCTCATCTGGCCCTACCACTGCGCGCGGTACACTTTTAGACGAAAAGCAAATATACTATAAATGCTACCGAAAAGACGTTCTTTGTATTATTAACCGAATGAAAGGAATACACTAATTGAAATTTACTTTGAAAGTAAACGTGGTCGTTTAAAAAGCCTCCACAATTTAAAGTTTGCTCAAATAGTATACCGTCGTACCCGATGAGAGTAATGGATTTAAAAATCTTACCTAACGTAATCTCTTTTGCAATACGTCTTTCCATCTCTTACGAAACACGTGCAGGACTCGTCAAGAAACTGCTGACATTCTTGACACCTTAGACATGCTGCGTGCCATTCGAGGTCGGGGGCCACACGTAGGATGTACTGATCGTGAATTTGACCACCGCACCCTACGCAATGACTTAACCTTCGTGGTTTTTCTGAAAAAAATTTCAAAAATCTTCAACGAAAAATAACAACTCTGCCTAAGATTAATAAAAAGGAGATATAGATATACTTTATCTAAAATAACAACTGATCATTTGTGGTTAGGGATGGTTTGCACATTCTTCGTAGGTAAATCTCAAGGAATTGTTTTCATTTTTTAGCAAAAAAATAGACAAAACTGAGGTTGTGCTTTAGACCCGATTCGTTATGTACCTGGTAGTATTGTCATAAACGCAAAAAAGCATATATTCTTTTGACCTCCACGCATTAGAGAATTTAATACAAATAAGATTCGAATAAGAAATAATTTTGTGTTTGAAGTTATTCTTATTGCATATCTTTTTATCTACATCTATACATACTTTAAATTTGTACTCAGTGGCGTAGTTCTGCATCATCAAAGGGGGCATGTTTTGTCTTAATGGCAACTGCTATGGTTATGCTATTAAAAAAATATTGTTGACGTATTTCGGTCCGAATACCAAAAAAAGTGACGGGACACTGTATACGACCGTATTTGAATTTTAATATGGGAGATTATTTACGAACAAAGTTGATTTATTGTACTTAAATTTGTTATCTCGGTGTCTATTTTTCCTTTTAGAATTGTTTAAATTACGTATTATTTCCTTATTAAAATGTTATCGCTTTTGTAAATTGTTTATTTAGATTTGTGTATTAAAACGTGAAATTGGGTATTAAAATGTAGGGACATCTGGTCGTTTGCAATAAAGAGTTTTTATCAGACGAAATTTAATTAACGCACGTGCTCTTATCGCTGTTAGAAGAAGGTGTGAGTGCGGAGGCGTTCCTTCGAAGCCGGCGTTATGAAGTCTAATTGTGATTGGCGGTGTTTTTGAGTGCAGCAGTAAAAATTTGTGGAAAGTTTTCAAAACTGTTTGACCCTATTCCGAAAGAGTTAGTTCGAGTGTGAGTAAACAAAACAGTTGTCAGCTTAGTAAAACTTTTTTAAAAGGTTTGTCTTTCATTAAAAGTTTCTACCTTCCGAGAAGTCACCAACTATTTCTCATCTTTTTTTATTAAGTGAAGTTTCCTGAACCTGTCAACGAATGATTTTGCGTTTTTGCTAATCGCGCTTGAGTATCGCATGCCTTTCACAAGCAGATTATTTGGATTCCTAAAAGAAGAAATTAAGATTTTTTTAAATTATCGACCGCTTGCGTACGGGGTATTACGTCAAAACAAACTTTGTAACCTTTTCTTTCCTTGAGCGATTTTGTTCTAATTGTTTCACGTGTTTCGGAATAAATTCTATGGACTTTTCGAGAGTTGATCCAGGTCACCGGGTCTACCAAGTTGTAGAGTCCATATTAGGATATAGCAGATGCTGACTGTGTACTAGGAGAAAGGAGAGTATAAAAGTTTCAGTTTTGATTTGTTTTGAGCTAGCTGGACAGGTGGTTTGTGGATGGCGTTGGGACAGCACACAGCAATATGTCGCCTTTAAAAGTGTGGTGAGTGGTGTACTTCTGCAGAATCAAGGCCATTGACTCTGCAGAAGTACGCCACTCACCACAATCAAGACGCGCAGCTTCCGAGCATGAACAATTCGAACCTCCATCATCGTACAAGTCCACTCCAGCTCTTTTAGAGTCACTCCATTATCCACCACCTATAGAGCCGCTGTGTCATACATAGAGAGAATTTATGCGCACTCAACCATCCATGTATAACATCGCCCAATACAGTCGTGTTTATAAATAGAATTAGACTACAAACGCATAATATATACAGTGATATTTATTTGGAAGTAGACATAGGGATATACATGTACCTATGTCTACTATTAAATGACAAAATCTCTTCTGAAGGGCGCCTAATTATATGCATCCAAAATAACTTATTAAAACAACTAAACATCTGGTTGTCATGTTAATTCGTTTGAATAATTGTTGCTTTGGCTTAATAGAAAATAAATCTCTTACTCTTCTTAAACTGTTAGCGACACTATACCAATTGCCAATATCAACTTTTTCTTCAGTTGAATACATCGTGTACGAACGAAATTAAAAATAAGGAACCCAAAGCAATGGACGTCGTAGTCGTAGTATAGATGGTATCTTAAAGACATCATCTCAAAATCGGCTGGAGATGAGGGGAACTGCTATAACTAAACTTTGAAACTTTATGCTCGACGATAAAGTACTCCCAGAAGTTTTGCCAATACCTTACGGAGCAACACTTATCGGTGATGACAACACGTTCAGACGCCTAGTTGGGCATGTGTGAAATTAAATGAAAAAATTCAAAAGCGCCTGGTCCCACACCAACTTGGATTGGAGTAACAGCAAAGCGTGGATGTGAAAGCACAGTTCATTCTACCTATTTCTTACGCACATGCGCAGTGTGGAATTTTCCACAAATGTTGATCACGATCTCCTAAGAAGCTCCTTGTAACGGCTGGATGCGACCTAAAGTATAGTAAAGATTTTTGGTTACGTAGGAGTCTTGCCTGTCGATGGTCTTGGCGTAGTACGATTATTGATTCGTAAATTTCCGGAGTTGCACGATTCGAGACCTTCTTCTGTGGCGATGAATTAATTGTTCATGAGCATTTGAAGATGTTGCTAATGTAAATCGGTCAGATATCGGGACATCCATTTTGGTTGGTTTGCAGAAACCAGGGATTGTCCGGATGCCGTTTATCGGGAGATTGACTTTTACTACATAAGTGGTTTAATTGGATATACACATATCTAGCAAAGAAAGACATTCGCAACACTCGGAGCTGAAGCACATCTTTCAGAGAGCTCTTGCTTGAATTCTGGAGCCGGTAAGTTTGTCAAACGACGGAAAACGACCAGATGGCGTCACTCTAGCACCATGGCGCAAAGGACAACGCCTTGTTTGGGATGTGGTCACTGTTACGGCATTATACAAAGAGTAAACATCAATAACCTCCGGGGCAGCTAGTGTAACTCAAGGGAAGAAGGAGCACGAAAAATATTCCGGCCTAAAATCTACCAATTTTTTTCTTTGTGACTAGATTGTGAAACCTTTGACCCGTGAAGTTCGGAAATATCATCATTTTTGATGATATTTCCGAACTTCACGGAGACATCCCTGCTAAAAGTTTCCTATATCCTTTGCCATCCAACGTGGGATCGCATCCAGCATCAGGGGCACCCTCCCAGATCGTCCAGGAATGGATGAAATATTCTCATTGTAATTTAATTATTTTTATGGCAATGTTAACTATCACGTTTAAATTAATCAGACATTATATTCCGTCAAGGTGAACTGCCATGACCGATAATGAACAAAAATGCTTAACATTTGTGGGGACGGACATTTAAATGACATGTTATCATGACACACATGCACCTAGTTTTTAGAATTGTTTTGTACTCACATATAAGCCAAAATGGATAAATAAATTATAATAAAAAAAATTGCAAATATAATACCAAAACCTTTCCACTTTATAAGAATATTAGGTGACAAAAGATTAGCATTTGGCCCTAATAATAATTAAAACATCAACAATTTATTTATGTCGCTCTAGATCTCTGGCATTTCTTCTTAGAAGCATATACCACATTCTGTCGAGTAGCATAAATAATTATTACCCCGGAAAACAATTACATAGCGTGACTCATAGGCGGAATAATCTAGAATCATTTCGCTTCCATTAGAATCTCACAATTTTTACAATACAAACAGCGTCTTTGAAGATTAACTTGACCATAGATTCGATGCAGAGTCCCTCCGTTATTGCGACCTACTAACTAATGAGTTAAGGGTAGCCAAATACAAGTAGTACAAATACCTATTAGAAGTCGTTAGTGTCTAAAGTAAACGAATTTCGAGTGCATTTAAATAAAATTTATTAATCACTTCAGAAGAGCCGTAACTTTTGGTTATGAAGTGGGGTTTAAAATTGAAATTGTCTATATAGATCGGTATTTATTTGTACGGACGCCGCGTCAATAAATTTTGTCTGGTCTTTTATAAACGCCAGAGCGATTTTTTGTTATTATTATAACAACACTCGCGTAAAATGATCTATTAGGCGGCGTTGATGAGGAATTTCACACACTCCCGGCATGTTTATATGGCGCGAATGTAATGCATTTAGATTGTTGACAGCTACAGACTTAGAAGTAAACATTTATATCTTAGATTTAATGCATACTGAGTGCTTTAGGCATTTACTTTTAACGTATAAATATTGATGTGAACCCGTTTCAACAAACATATGTTTTATGAGTAATATTTTTAAGTTCGAGTTCATTTCGTGCGTATTTTTAGTCACTGCCACGGGATTTATATATATTTTTTCAATTTTGTGTTTGCACACCGTGTCATTTAAGCATGTGTACGGTGCAAATTGTCTGCATTATAAAATACATCAGGCCTACTACAATAATGAATTTTTGTTGTTACCACTCAGTATACTTTATTGTTTGAACTTTGAAGGAAGTTACTTTTTGATACCAAATACCATACCTCCACACTCAAACGAATCATGTGCAAAAGACGCGATGTCAATAGCTAATTACCTTTTTCGAAACATGAACCATAAATCACGAAAAGTAGCCAGTTTTTTTTTGTAAAAGTTAGTTAAAATCACTGAATTGTATTATACTAACATAGTGGTTAAAATTCAATATTCTATTTAAGTTGCGGGTTTCACCCCATTGTATAAAAATAACAATCTCACCGGCTATACCTACTTGCGTTTTACATAAAACGTTGCTAAATTCTAGATCTAATTCAAGATTCAAATTTTCTGGCAATTTTCGTACCTATTTATTATATACGAGTTTCATAAATGCAAATTCTTATCACACGAAAATGCAATTAAAACGTTAGAAAAAATAAAATCTTATTTTAAATATTCAAATTTCTCCTGTATTAAAATTTCGACACGTTTATAATTTTTATTATTATTCATGTACTTTCGGCCGTCGAGTTGAGTACCTACACTAAAAGGCCTAATTACTTAATCAAGATATCTTCCAAGCTGTAAATCATAATATGAAACGGTTTATTTATTAAAGTAATTTATACGTTAGAAATAGTGAAAATATGTCATAGCGTGACGGCCGAGTTCGTTATGCTGCGAAGTTTCCTGCAAAAATTAAAGCACTTTTTGTGCTGCTATTTATTGGTGATTTTAATATTAAATAGATGCGAAACTAGGAGCGTAACTACATTTATAATTAGGCAAACTGCCCTGTAGAGAAAATGCTGGTAGTATCCGACACCGACACCTATAAGAATGCCAAACTTATGCACCCGTGA